AACTTCATTTATAATAAATCTGAAAACAAGTATTTGTTTACACATAGAGTTGTAACAAAATGACCGACAGATCACAAGGGCTCAACATTTTTATATAGAAATTCGAAATAACATTGTGCTGGCGATAAAATGTTTCTCTCTATTTTATATCTACATGTGCATTAAAACACAAAAAGAACTGTGTATGCCCTTGTTGTTCAGGCTATAATCCCCCCCTCCCACCAAAAAAATAAAATAAAAAGAACAGTGTCCGCCCTTGTAAATCAGGCTACAACCCCCCCCCACCAAACAAAAAGATCTGTGTCCGCCATTGTTGTTCAGGCTACCCCCCCTAAAAAAACTGTGTCCGCCCTTGTAAATCAGGCTACAATCCCCGCCCCCCACCAAACAAAAAGATCTGTGTCCGCCCTTGTTGGTCAGGCTACCCCCCCCCCCCCAAAAAAAAAGTACTGTGTCCGCCCTTGTTAATTAGGTTACAATCCCCCCTACCAAAAAAAAGATCTGTGTCCGCCCTTGTTGGTCAGGCTACCTCCCCCCCCTAAAAAAAGAACTGTGTCCTTGGTCAGGCTACCTACCTCCACCTTCCCCCCCCCAAAAAAAGAACTGTGTCCGCCCTTGTTGGTCAATGCTACCCCCCCCCAAAGAACTGTGTCCGCCCTAGTTGGTCAGGCTACCTCCCCCCCCCCCAAAAAAAAAGAACTGTGTCCGCCCTTGTTAATTAGGGTACAATCACCCCCTACAAAAAAAAAGATCTGTGTCCGCCCTTGTTGGTCAGTCTACCCCCCCCCAAAAGAACTGTGTCCGCCCTTGTTGGTCAGTCTACCCCCCCCCCCAAAAGAACTGTGTCCGCCCTTGTTGGTCAGTCTACGCCCCCCCCCCCCAAAAAAGAACTGCGTCCGCCCTTGTTAGTCAGGTTACCCCCCCACCCCCAAAAAAAGAACTGTGTCCGCCCTTGTTAATCAGGCTACAACCCCCCCCATCAAACAAAAAGATCTTAGTCCGCCCTTGTTAGTCATGCTACCCTCCCTAAAAAAAGAACTGTGTCCGCCCTTGTTAATCAGGCTACCAACACCCCATCAAACAAAAAGATCTGTGTCCGCCCTTGTTGGTCAGGCTACCTCCCTCCCCCCAAAAAAAGAACTGTGTCCGCCCTTGTTAATTAGGGTACAATCCCCCCTACCAAAAGAAAGATCTGTGTCCGCCCTTGTTGGTCAGGCTACCCCCCCCCAAAAAAAGAACTGTGTCCGCCCTTGTTGGTCAATGCTACCCCCCAAAAGAACTGTGTCCGCCTTTGTTAGTCAGGCTACCCCCCCCCCCCGCTCAAAAAAACTCTGTCCTTGGTCAGGCTACCTACCTCCACCTTCCCCCCCCCCCCCAAAAAAAAAGAACTGTGTCCGCCCTTGTTAATCAGGCTACCCCCCTAAAAAGAACTGTGTCCGCACTTGTTAGTCAGGCTACCACCCCCCCCCCCTAAAAAAAGAACTTTGTCCGCCCTTGTAAATCAGGCTACAATCCCCCCCCCCCACCAAACAAAAAGATCTGTGTCCGCCCTAGTTGGTCAGGCTACCTCCCCCCCCCCCCCAAAAAAAAAAAGAACTGTATCCGCCCTTTTTGGTCAGGCTACCCCCCCCCCCTACTCTTAAAAAGAACTGTCCCCTGTCTTATTGTTGAGACTACCCCCCCCTACCAAATAAAAAAAACTGTGTCCCCCTTGGTGATCAGGCTACCCCCCCCCCCCAAAAAAAAAGAACTGTGTCCGCCCTTGTTGGTCAGGCTACCACCGAGCTGCCGCTCACAGATGCGATCCCACTACTGCGCGACACGGGGACTTTTGCCTGCTGGGTTTCCCCCCTGGGCCGTTACGTCCCTCCTTAGTCAACCTGGAGGTCCCGAGCTCCCCCCGGACCGCCATATTGATGCCGGGCTTAGTGCGGACACCCGATCGACACGGACCACCCGGGAGTAGAACCCCCGACCTCAGACCGTCCAACAGTTCAAGCCTCCAAGTAGCTGGATTACAGGAGCTCGCCACGACTCCCAGCGAGAGTGGAGGCTGATAGTAACTTTATATACTGGGGCGTGTAGAAACCTGTTGTAAGGTTTTTATTTTCTGCTATGTAGAATAATTCACACATACTCATAATATAATATTTCAATAATTAAAGGATCTCTTGAAAAAAATTCATTAAAAATGAATAATTCGCTATCGCCATATGTTACATTCAGATTATAAAGAGTGACGTTTTACAAAGGGAGGTAATTGTTAAAAAGTAGTTATCAACATTTAGATTAGTTTACTCCCTGCGTTGAATACCATCATTCCTCGACACAACACATACATATTTATTTGTGTTAATACAATTCTTTAAATGATTTGAGAATAAACTTAAAATTGGTTTATTTAAATTGTGGCTTATGTGATCAAAATCGTCAATGAAAGCCGTACTTTTTTCCCCTCCTTCTCGGCTACATAGCATCTTGTCAAAAACTGGTCTTTAATTAACATCCTGTAAATGTTTGTTTCCTTTATGTTGTCTAAATCTCCGTTTTGTTTACTCTTGTATTCCGCTAATTTTAAATAGATATTTTAAAATAAAGTTTTAGCATAGAAATTCTACCGGTACCTGGCCATCAGTTTTTCTTATATCACGGAAATATTTTCATTTTAGTAATGGGGCAAGTGTACTTGTTCGTAAAATTTTTCACATTAAATATATTTTTTTTGCTTTAATCGATAGGTATAGGAGTATTGGTAGTTCACTCTTGTATTTTTATATATATATATTTTTTTTTTTGCTTTAAATCTATAAATATAAATAGTCCACTATTGTGTTTTTATATAAAGCAGTTTTGTGCTCTAGTCTGTTTATGTAACCTGAAAGAAATTAACTTTAATTCAGCTCAGACAACATATTGTACTGGATATTGTCATTGAAATGCTTGTCAAGATACCAGGTAAAATATAGTTATGACGTTTTTGGTTATGATTTGGTTTTCAATGTTTGACTTCAAAACACTAATGAGAAAATTTGAATTGATAACTTTTCAAAAATTGCAACCTAAAACGTATACCTTCAAATCTACAATGTTTCATGGATTTCTTCTGATTGCCTTTATGTGTTTGTATGAATTTGTTTTACGTATAAGATAGTTGATTGGATTCTGGTGATATTTATTTGAATTCCTCTGTTGACTTCATGTTCTATACACAAAAACTTCATTTATAATAAGTCTGAAAACAAGTATTTGTTTACACATAGAGTTGTAACAAAATGACCGACAGATCACAAGCGCTCAACATTTTTATATAGAAATTCGATATAACATTGTGCTGGCGATAAAAAGTTTCTCTCTATTTAATACCTACATGTGCATTAAAACACAAAAAGAACTGTGTATGCCCTTGTTGTTCAGGCTATAATCCCCCCCCTCCCACCAAAAAAAAAGATCTATGTCCGCTCTTGTTGGTCAGACTCCCCCCCCCCCCTTAAAAAAAGAACTGTGTCTGCCCTTGTTGGTCAGGCTTCCACCGAGCTGCCGCTCACAGATGCGATCCCACTACTGCGCGACACGGGGACGTTTGCCTGCTGGGTTTCCCCCTTGTTGGCCAGGCTACTTCCCCCTCCCCGCGCCCCTCACCCCCCCAACAAAAAAAAAAGAACTGCGTCCGCCCTTGTTAGTCTGGCTCCCCCCCCCCAAAAAAAAAGATCTATGTCCGCTCTTGTTGGTTAGGCTACCTCCCCCTCCCCCCTTAAAAAAAGAACTGCGTCCGCCCTTGTTAGTCTGGCTCCCCTCCCCCCCACAAAAAAAAGATCTGCGTCCGCCCTTGTTGGCAAGGCTCCCTCCTTCCTCCCACAAAAAAGAACTGTGTCCGCCCTTGTTGGTCAGACTCCCCCCCCCCCCCCCACAAAAAAAGAACTGTGTCCGCCCTTGTTGGTCAGGCTACCACCGAGCTGCCGCTCACAGATGCGATCCCACTACTGCGCGACACGGGGACTTTTGCCTGCTGGGTTTCCCCCCTGGGCCGTTACGTCCCTCCTTAGTCAACCTGGAGGTCCCGAGCTCCCCCCGGACCGCCATATTGATGCCGGGCTTAGTGCGGACACCCGATCGACACGGACCACCCGGGAGTAGAACCCCCGACCTCAGACCGTCCAACAGTTCAAGCCTCCAAGTAGCTGGATTACAGGAGCTCGCCACGACTCCCAGCGAGAGTGGAGGCTGATATTAACTTTATATAGCGGGGCTTGTAGAGGATTTCATTTTACGCTATACAATAGTTCAATAATACAATTATTGAAGGATATTGTGAACAGAATCATTGAAACAGATAGTACAATTATTTGTTATCACTACACGTTACCCGTTACATGCAGTTTGTAATGCGTTACGTTTAAGCTAAGGGAGATAATCGTTAAATAGCTATGATTAGCATTATGATTAGGTTACTGCCTAAGTTTTAAAAATGTTAACCAATTAACTTTTATTTCATTAACATAGAAAAATGTTTTTAATTGTTTGTAACACTTTAATAATTTAAAAAAAAATTGTATTTCATGATTCTAACGTTAATACCAAGCTTAGTCCGAATGAGAACGGCTTATTTAACTCAATAACTGATACTTCAATGGCTTTTTAAAATCTCTGAGTCGACTCATGCGGATCTCCTTAAAAGAAGTGGCGTTTACGTTTTTAAACCCACCTGTAACCAAATGTTTCCTATTGATCCTGCTACCAAATACACGTTTCATAATATTTTAAGAACATGCAATCTACTATTTTCAGCCTCACCTCCCCCCCCCCTATTTTCTAAAGGTCCACACCGGCCAGAAAGAAGGCTGAAATAAACTTCTGTATTCATATCTTATATTGCGCAGTAATATTATCAACCTAAACTACTGTTAAGACAACTATTATACGGAGCATTAAATTGTGTCATGTAACATTAATGCTTTCTCTACTCCCATGTAATTGTCAAACTCTCCTCCTCCTCGTACCAGCGACAAACCCAACCCGAGGGTGTACAAAGTCTGGGCAGGAGATCACAACAGTAACAACACAGACGGTTGGGAGCAGAGGCGGGACATTGAGGAGGTCATCTTACATGAGGACTACAATCGTGAGTACAATACAGAGTATGGTGTTCAACACAGCCACACAGCCACACAGCTACACATGAACACAGCCACACGTGTACACAGCCACACAACATTGTGTTAAACACAGACACACATGAACACATCCACACATGAACACAGCCACACATGAACATAGCTACACATGAACCCAGCCACACATGAACACAGTCACACGTGAACACAGCCACACGTGAACACAGCCACACGTGAACACAGCGACACAGCCACACATGAACACAGCTACACATGAACACAGTCACACAGCCACACATGAACACAGCCACACATGAACACAGCAACACATGAACACAGCCACACATGAACACAGCCACACATGAACACAGCCACATATGAACACAGTCACACATGAACACAACCACACAGCCACACATGAACTCAACCACACAGCCACACATGAACACAGCCACACAGCTCCATATGAACACAGTCACACATGAACACAGCCACACATGAACACAGTCACACATGAACACAGCCACACATGAACACAGCCACACATCTCTGATGCCTTTATACACATAACTGTAGAAGCTCTTGAGTACAAGTTCTGGTGCATTAGAACCCGCTTTACACAAGGGACATATGTGTCCCTTAAACAACAGTCAGATAACTGAAAACTGGCTAAAGATAAACGACTACACACACACCCACCCACACCCACACACAAGCGCACGCACGCACACACACACACCCACCTACACTCACACCCACACACACACACGTACACACACACAAACACATATATATTTACGACCCCCTAGGAGTTTGACCTGGTCTGACCCTACCCTATTTGAGGGTAAGACGCCCATTAATTAGGTAGGCAGGTGACCGGTGATTGAACGCCATTATTATATTAGGCCGTGCAAGCAACAATATATAAAAATTAAAAAAAAAACCCAACTTTAATAATCTTTTAAATTAATTTAAAAAAAAAGAATTTTATGGACCAGCGCATTTAATAAAGAAAGCAAACAGACATTGGGAACGAAACAAAAGCTTATACAAAAAACTGAGTTTTTCTTTCTCTTTCTTTATAAGGTAGCAGACTAAAACAACAAAACTCTGAATAGGTCTTGTAGCACGACACTTGACATTGTATTTATTTACTTTGCTTGTATTTTTAAATATTTCATCTACTGTAAACATAATTTTGGTAAACATTTTTTATGATCCTTATTTGGAGTTGTTTTGTTTGCCGTTCTAGATCTCAGTTCACCTTATTTCATGACCCCTACCTCGCCTTACGTTAGTTCATGACTCCTATATCACTTCAACCTATTTCATGCCTCCTACCTCATCCCCCTTACTCCATGACTCTCCTACCTCACCTCCCTCCTTACTCCATGACTCTCCTACCTCATCCCCCTTACTCCATGACTCTCCAACCTCACCTCCCCCCTTACTCCATGACTCTCCTACCTCACCTCCCTCCTTACTCCATGACTCTCCTACCTCACCTCCCTCCTTACTCCATGACTCTCCTACCTCCCCCCTTACTCAATGACTCTCCTACCTCACCTCCCTTTACTCCATGACTCTCCTACTTCACCTCCCTTTACTCCATGACTCTCCTACCTCACCTCCCTTTACTCCATGACTCTCCTACTTCACCTCCCTTTACTCCATGACTCTCCTACTTCACCTCCCTTTACTCCATGACTCTCCTACCTCACCTCCCTTTACTCCATGACTCTCCTACCTCACCTCCCTTTACTCCATGACTCTCCTACCTCACCTCCCTTTACTCCATGACTCTCCTACCTCACCTCCCTTTACTCCATGACTCTCCTACCTCACCTCCCTTTACTCCATGACTCTCCTACCTCACCTCCCTTTACTCCATGACTCTCCTACCTCACCTCCCTTTACTCCATGACTCTCCTACCTCACCTCCCTTTACTCCATGACTCTCCTACCTCACCTCCCTTTACTCCATGACTCTCCTACCTCACCTCCCTTTACTCCATGACTCTCCTACCTCACCTCCCTTTACTCCATGACTCTCCTACCTCACCTCCCTTTACTCCATGACTCTCCTACCTCACCTCCCTTTACTCCATGACTCCTACCTCACCCCCTTTACTCCATGACTCTCCTACCTCACCTCTTCTTCCTACCCATGCTAACACCACCTACCACACCAATCGCCTACAGACACCAGCAAAAACAACGACATCGCCCTCATCCGAGTCTCCCCAGCCCTAGAATACAACCCCTACGTCCAGCCAGCCTGCCTGCCTGAAAGTGCCGACAGCTACCAAGAAAACGTCGACTGCGTCATATCCGGTTGGGGCAACGTAAACAAAACGCCCTCTTTCGGTAAATAGTTGGTCAAAGCCGTGTTCTGTAGTTCTCGTTTTAATTATAATTAGATTGCATTTTAGTTGTATTTTAGATTTAGTAATCTATCTAACGTTTTTGTTCCGCTTTCATAAGCATCATTTTTATAGTTTTTATAAAAGTTCCTTCTTTATTAAATCCTACTTTTTTTTCTTTTCAAAATAAGTTGTTAAGTTTTTATTTTCTCGTATACAAAGTATAAAGAAAATAATGTAATCGTGCAAAAAAAAAAAAAGAATAAAAAATCGAGATTTTTGCAAATCTCGACGTTTTACACCTCCTTGAGTCGGAAAATCAATTGCAATCTTGTCCGTATGTGTGTGTGTGTGTGTGTGTGTGTGTGTGTGTCTGTAAACACGATAATTGAGTGCCGTTACAGCTAGGTTAATGACATTTTATATATAAGTATAATATAAAATTTGTAGTTCTTTATCGACTTTTCAGCGATTTCCTATAACCGGAAGTGGAACTTTTTCTACTTTCAATTTTTCAAAAGCCTATGGTACTATTTCAGATAGATAAATGAAATTTCACATATAAGTAAAAGATCTAATTCTCTGCCTTCTATCAAATTTTGAGTAACTTCCGTTGACCGGAAGTAGTAATTTAAGCTATTTCCAATTTCTCAAAAAACGCATGTGAATTTATAAAGTACAAATAATATTCCGCACTATTATACACAGATTGTTTGGCGTTCACTTGGTGCGCAATTATTTTTTCTACGAGATTCTATTCAATTTTAAAAAGTTTAAGTATTTAAAATGGATTAAAAATCATATCTATATCCCGAATTGCTATCCCCCGTTGTGTTATATAAGAATAATCGAGAAAGTTTAGGGGAGATCAATCCCTGTTTATAAAATTTGTTCCTTTAAAAACTATTGCATTATTGTAATCCGATTCAGGTAAAGTTCCAGCCCATTACCCAGACACTCTGAGACAAGCCAAGGTGCGAATCGTCAACGACGCCGAGTGTTTAATGTTGAGTAACTTTCAACCAGAGACCATGGTGTGTGCTGGGAATGTCTCAGGGGGCGTGGACAGCTGCGATGGGGACAGTGGGGGTCCACTGATGTGTCTTGTGCAAGGTGGGTCAATGTAGAGGTCTGGTGGGTCAATGTAGGGGTCGCTGGTGTGTCCAGTGCCGGCGCCAGGTTATTTAGCGACATAGGCAAAACTTATTAAAATGCCCCCCCTCGCAATTTTTTTCGGGCTCTTTATTATATATATATATATATATATATATATATATATATATATATATATATATATATATATATATATATATATATATATATATATATATATATATATATATATATATATATATATATATATTAGAAGACTGTCTCACTAAATTCTAAATTAAATAATTTTATTGCAAAGTATATTCATTATGAGACATGAGTCAAACTATTTTAATTAGTTTTATCGGCACCCCGATTCGACTATTTAAAGGAGAGAATAAGCCATGGAAGTGGTTTAAAGATTTGACTTTTTTTCATACTACAACTTATGTAGTATTTTTTTTTTCTCTTCGCAAAAGTGTGTTTTAGTTACTGTGGATACTGTAGAACAATTACTGCTGCAATCGATTAGTTTTTTTTTTTTTACATGACCACTAGTCTATCAAGGTGCAAAAAAATATAATTTTTTGTCGGAACCACCCCCCGAACGAAATGGAAGTTATATAGAAAATATATACTTTTAACAGTGCCCCCCCCCCCCTTTGAAATTTTAGTCCGTCGTTCCCCCACCCAGAAAATTTTAAGTGCCCCCACTCCCGGAGAAAAATGTCTGGAAGAAACACTGGTTAAAAAGCGCCCCGAACTTTTCAAATAAGGGAGGTCGGGGCGCATTTTCGCCAAGGCGAATACTTATAAATAGGTCTAATTTGAAGATGGGGCGCAAAATTGATAGTTCGTCTTGGAAACCTAATAGATCGCTACGCCTTTATAAATAGTTAATGTAATCTAATCAAAGTTATAAATTATTAGGTACTTTTTACTAATTACGATTTCACATTTTTGCGCCCCCCCCCACCCCTACGGACAGCGCCCTAGGCGATCGCCTAGTTCGCCTTATGAGGCCCTGGGTGTCTTGTAGAAAGTGGGTCGCTGGTGTGTTTTGCATAAGTAGGGTCAAATTAGGGGTCTCTGGTGGGTCTTGTACAAGGTGGGTCAAAGTAGATGTCTGCCTCGTGGACTGTAAGATTTTAAATGGCAGTGGGGTAGGCGGGGGGTGGGGTTAGGGGGGTCATAACCCCCCATAGACCCCTCGGTATATATAAAGTATGAGGGGGGTGCAAATCGAAAGTTTGAGAGGAGGTTCAAATCAGAAGTCTAAGGGGGGGGGGGGAGGGGGGTTCAAATCGAAAGTTTGTCCCCGGATAAAAATTGGACCCCCCCCTGAGACGATCCTGGCTACGCCACTGGCAAATGGTACTTTACTTTAAAAAACATATTTTTACCGAATTAGACTATCTGTAAAAGCAGACAATTGATTATTTGCAAAAGTTTTCAAGAAAAAATTTAACTTTATAAATGGCGTTTACTGCTTGTGCTTATTTCTATTTAAAACCTACATACGTCCTGCAACAAAAAATATTTCCCCTTCTAGAGTTCACATTAGTTGTTGATTTATCCCCTAGGTTATCACACAGTCCTGGGCATTACGTCCTGGGGTATAGGATGTGCTCACGAGTTATACCCCGGCATATATGTTCGGGTCCACAGCTTTTTAGACTGGATTTCTCGCACCATCGCCAGCTGGAGAGCGGACGTACAAGAAAAACAAATGTATTGGAGAAAGTTGAAATAAATTACACGGCATTCAAGAATACGGTTTAAAATTAAATTATACTTTACTAGTATCACAAATAGAATTTTTTTTCCATCATTGCATTTTACTTGCTTGCCAGATTTATAATTTTAAAGATTCTCAGCAAGTAACGCTCGTTTTTTTTATTGTTGAAGCTTTCTATTTGTAGGTAGATAAACTATTTGAGATACTCTACCGCTAGGCTTGGTAGCTTTTCGTATTTTGGCCTCAATGGAGCCCACTTCCCCACTGCTAGGTCTATGACCATTATCTAGCGCACCCCTACCCCTACTATTAGGTCTATGACAGGGGTCGGCAACCTGCGGCTCGCGAGCCGCATGCGGCTCTTTTGATATCAAGATGCGGCTCTCCAGCTCCTTGAACAAATACTAATAATCTTAATAAAAAAATAAGATATTTGAAATAAAAAATATGTTGGTGGCTCTTTAAAACCAGGGAAATTTTGAAAATTTTAACTTTTGGCTCTTCCGCTTCAAAAGGTTGCCGACCCCTGGTCTATGACCATTATCTAGCGCACTCCCTCCCTTTTATTAAAGAAAGCAAATTAGATTTATTTTCTTATTTTCAGTGCTTTTAAAAGCTTGTTGCTATTATAAAGGTTTTTTGTTTATATTTTTTCTCATTGGTGTAAGCTTTAATCATTTGACATACGTAAAAATTGTATATCAAATTGTTTTAATTTCTATATACGGTGAGGTCATTTGTTAAGGTAGCACGACACGGAAGGATGTGCTTTTTAAACACATTTTATATATATATATATATATATATATATATATATATATATATATATATATATATATATATATATATATATATATATATATATATATATATATTATATATATATATATATATATATATATATATATATATATATATATATATATATATATATATATATATATATATATATATATTATACTGGAGCTTTACTAATAAATATAAATACAAACACGAGCTGTCATGGTGTCAACTAATTTAGTTGTCTCGTCCAGTCCATTATCCTACAATTTTCTATTTAGTGTCACCCTCCCCATCCCCCCCCCCCACTTTAATGGTACTTAACGCTCCCGTTATGACGTCACCGCCTATCTGTAATCTAATGTTTACTCTACATGCCGGACATGTTAATTAATGAGATCTGTCATTAGAAAAAAAAAGTAGCCCGAAAAATAATATAAACAAATATGTTTGTCATTGTGTAAAAAAATTGTGGTCGGCTGTTCTGAAAGAACGACTATAGATAGATCTAACTATTTTACCATCATATGACTCATATTTCTGCCATCACAGTTGACATTTAACGATGTTTTATTGCATTAGCAACACCATTGCTATACCATTGCTATATAAGGCAGTAACACCTGTTCTGAAAACAATACCATAAAGAAATATTTTACTTTAGCCATGCATTCAAAGTGTTATCATCTGGCCAACTAGAGGGATTATATCACATACACGCGATGACCACAGAAACAGAGGCGTCGTGAGTGAGTGGGGGGGGGGGGTGGCGGGGGTTGCGGACCGCACCGGGTGACACCTTTTAAGTAAAAAATAGCAAAATATATATAGAAAAAAAAAGATTATTCAAAATACATAAATGATTAATTAGAGTTAAAAAGTCCCGACGAGGGTGAGAGATGCAGGGGAGGGGGGGGGGGGGTGGGGGTGGGGTGGGTGACACCATGACGTAAACCTGCTAACGGTATAGAAAACTATATTACATCCAGCTGTATTAATAACCGACTATAGATGAACATCGTTAGTATTATCTGTTCACAGTTTAAAGCTATCATCGGGTGTAGAAGGGGATGTGAAACCAACTAAACGTTGAAAAATTTGCCTGAAGAAAAATGTTTTCTTGAGAATTGTTATAACTGGCACGTCAATCTTCTCGTCTTGGGGTGGGGGTGTATACATACGTACATATATATATATATATATATATATATATATATATATATATATATATATATATATATATATATATATATATATATATATATTTATATATATACACACACATATATGCCTATATATAGATTTTTTTTCGCTGGAATTGGGGGGGGGGGGGGGGTTGACACGATTAGTTTCCGCACCGGCTGACACCCGACCTAGCGACCTTTTGCATCTAAAAAGACCTTAAAGAAGATAAAATGACAAATTAATGCCTATAAATTCGCTTTGGTTAAAAAAAAACACATGGTTTAATTAGCAAATTCAACTTATTGAAAATACATAATAATCTATAACTAACTTTAAATTTCTTTATTTTGAAATGGGCTCCTTTCTGAATTTTATCTGAACTTTTTTTTATTTTCTAATTTGCATAAAAAACCTATAGACACTAGAATTACGTATTGATATTCGGTAAAAGAAAGATTACTCACACTAATGACGATATATGTAAAATCAATGTTGAATCCCATGTTTAAAAAAACATCTTCTTTCAGGGGCTACAAATAGGTACATATTGTAACGTTTAGGTACAAAGAAAAACGATACCTAAGGGAGACAACTAAAATTGTTAATTTAAAAAGTGAATAAACTAAGTAAAAACTTTGTGTAATTAGCTAATTCAACTCATTTGGAAAAGTCATTTATATTTTGCAATTGACAAAAGTAGCTAGTTTATAAATTGCCGAAAATTTATTTTTGGGGAAAAATACTTTTCAAAATTACTACCAGTATTAAAAGAATAAAGACTATACGATTATGTATTAGACTTTGTTATGATTCAGATCCCTAATATTAGAAATACTATAGTGTCTGTAAAGGAAAAAGCATTAATTTTGGATCCCCATTCTGGGGACAAGAAATAATAAACCCGGAGTGATCTCCCCTAAACTTTCTCGAATACTCCTATATAAAATAACAGGGGATGGGAACTCGGGCTATAGACATGATTTTTAATCCATTTTAAATACTTAAAGTTTTAAAAATAGAATAAAATCTCGTAGACAAATTAATTGCACACCAAGTGAACGCCAAATAAAAAAGCGCATAATAGTGCGCAATATTATTAGTACTTTTAAAATTTACATTCGTTTTTTGAGAAATCGGAAGTAGCGTAAATTACTACTTCCAGTCAACGGAAATTACTCAAAATTTAACAGAAGGTAGAGAATTAGATCTTTTACTTACATGCGAAATTTCATTTATCTATCTGAAATAGTACTCAAGTTATAGGCTTTTGAAAAATTCAAAGTAGGAAAAGTACCACTTCCGGTTATCGGAAATCGCTCAAAAGTTGATACGGATCTACGATTTTGATAAAATACTTATATATGAAATTTCATCAACCTAGCTGTAACGGTACTCAAGTTATCGTGTTTACACACGGACACACAGACAGACAGACAGACAGACACACAGACAGACACACAGACATACGGACAAGATTGCAAAATTATGTTTCTCCGTATCAGTGAGGTGTAAAACATCGAGATTTTTACAGATTTGTATAAATCTCGATTTTTTTTTGCACGATTACAAGACTTTCTCTATACTTCGTATATACGAGAAAGTAAAAATGACACACAGGTTCCCTTACAAAAGTCAGCTTTTCGGATACGAGTTGTGTGGAAGCATTATTATATAATAGGGGATTCGTATATTGAACTTTTGCATGCTATTCTAAATGTTATGCCCAAATGGCAAAATGTAAGCTAATATTTGAAGTTTAACAAGTGAGCAGTTAGAGGCGTCGCGGGGGCGGGGTGCGGACCGCACCGGGTGACACCATTTAGGGGGGGGGGGTGACACCGAGACAAAGAAAAAATTGCAAGATATATAGAATAAATATGTTTTTTTGCCAGTTCAATGAGTGGTCAATTCGAGTTAAAAAGTATGTTTAGTACATATGACGATTCTGACAAGGGGCCCCTTTGGGGAGGGGGGGGGAAGGTGGGGGGGGGGGGGTAACACGTAGACATTAAAACAATAGAGAAAACAATGCTACACCCAGCGGTAGTAACAACCGACTATAGATAAACATCATTAGTATTAAATGTGAACACTTTATTGCTATTACATTTAACTGGCACCAACTTCAAAATTTACAGACAAAAAAAAAGAGGGGGGGGGGGGTGTGACACCATAAGGTGCCGCACCGGGTGACACCCGACCTAGCGACGCCACTGCACAGAAAAAAACGTACCGGAAAAAGCGCAACCGAAAACTAGGCAGAGAAAATGCGCACTTTAAACGGATGACACGCAAAAATTTTATTTAATCATATTTCGCGGAAAGATGTTTTACTATGCAACAATGTATAAGCGATCATTCTTTGTTCACATCTTTGAATTATAAAAACAAACAAACTACAATGCCCAATTATAGTAGTTTTTTTTGGATTAAGTACACTACTTTTAGACTGTTTTACAGACATCAAATAGTTCTGAAAGACACTGTGAAGTAGCTCTATGTAGACACGTCTCTTGGAAAACAAAAACCCACCAAACCTAAAAAGCCACCAAACCTAAAAAAAGCCACCAAACCTAAGAAAGCCACCAAACCTAAAAAAGCCACCAAACCTAAAAAAGCAACCAAAATTAAGAAAGCCACCAAACCTAAAAAAAGCCAACAAACCTAACAAATCCATCAAACCTAAGAAAGCCACCAAACCTAAGAAAGCCACCAAACCTAAAAAAGCCGCCAAACCTAAAAAAGCAACCAAACCTAAGAAAGCCAACAAACCTAAGAAAGCCACCAAACCTAAGAAATCCATCAAACCTAAAAAAGCAACCAAACCTAAGAAAGCCAACAAACCTAAGAAAGCCACCAAACCTAAGAAATCCATCAAACCTAAGAAAGCCACCAAACCTAAGAAAGCCAACAAAGCTAAAAAAGCCACCAAACCTAACAAAAGCCACCAAACCTGAAAAACCCACCAAACTTGTAATAATACCTACAAACCCTGACAACCTCCACCAAATAAAGTATAACCTCCACCACCGTATAAAGCAATATAACAGCGATTTAACTACACCTTGCAAATATATATCTGCGTTGTATTTCCTTATATTTTAACCACGAAAAGTATTCTGTTTCGTTAATGTGACGCAACAACTAAAATACAAAGATCGCCATCAAAGCGAAGCTGAAGATACCAGCTTCCATGCTCAGAACTAAACAGATAAACAAATTACAATTTGGGCATGGTATGGTTATTGTGACGTACACGCACCACATTTTGTTTGTTGTTTTTCTGATCTTTGCCAAACAGGAGGCACCATCCTAGCACTCATGTTTTTGACATATACCTGGGCCTCTGTTGCTCCCCTCCCCCCTTTAGAACCTAACCTAATATTAATAAATAAAAAACAAATTGCAGCTTTAGTGAAGTAGAAATAAAATAACCGACTGAGGTAAACGACCAGCATGCGGTATTTACACCGGTATCATTGGGAGTTTTTTTTCTTCTACCAAGCGAGTTAATCGGACTCAAGTATGTCGAGGCCTGCCTGGTTAATGGGGGTTGGTGGTTGGGGTTGGTGTGTGTGTGTGTGGGGGGGGGGGTGGAGGAATGTCTCAATGAACCAGGATGTCCGTATCTCGGATATAGAGTAGAGCTATAAAATAAAATAGTGTTGCCCTTTTTAAAGCTATAAAATAAAATATTGTTGCCCTTTTAGAGCTACAAAATAAAATAGTGTTGCTCTTTTGGAGCTATAAAATAAAATATTGTTGACCTTTTAGAGCTATAAAATAAAATATTATTGCCCTTTTAGAGCTATAAAATAAAATATTGTTGCCCATTTAGAGCTATAAAATAAAATATTGTTGCCCATTTAGTGCTATAAAATAAAATAGTGTTGCCCTTTTAAAGCTATAAAATAAAATATTGTTGACCATTTAGAGCTATAAAATAAAATATTGTTGCCCACTTAGAGCTATAAAATAAAATAGTGTTGCCCTTTTAAAGCTATAAAAATAAAATATTGTTGCACTTTTAGAGCTATAAAATAAAATATTGTTGCCCATTTACAGCTATAAAATAAAATAGTGTTGCCCTTTTAGAGCTATAAAATAAAATATTGTTGCCATTTTAGAGCTACAAAATAAAATATTGTTGCCCTTTTAGAGCTACAAAATAAACTGTTGTTGCCATTTAAGAGCTATAAAATAAACTGTTGTTGCCCTTTTAGAGCTACAAAATAAAATAGTGTTGTCCTTTTAGAGCTATAAAATAAAATATTGTTGCCCTTTTAGAGCTACAAAAATAAAATATTGTTGCCCTTTTAGAGCAACAAAAATAAAATATTGTTGCCCTGTCGTACCCGCTGGTCAATGGGGCAGGGTGGAGCTCGAGTGTATGTTTACCTGGTATAGGGGGATTGGTCGGGGAGGTAAAGCACACGGTTACTAACCCGAAAATCCCGAGTTCGAATTCTCAGAGCAGATGAGGATCGTTAGCTTGGGACAGAAAACCACCCGGAGTTAAAATGGAAGTGGAGTCCCTTAGGTGACATGACTTTCAACACTGGGTACCGTTGGGTAGCTCCTGCGACACTGCTGATTCCAAGCTGTACAGGTAACGTCCTGTCCTTTGGGCCCATCAGCTTTGTGGGGAGAGGTGGGTCTGACACAATGTGGGTACTATCTGTCTTTTCTCAACTTACTGCGCAGGATTTGTGCTAGGATTGACTTTATCTATTAGACGCCTTTCTTCTTCTTCTTAAGGATACGTGTCAAATGGTTATGCGCCATTGATGTCATTGACTCCGATTTCCAACCAAGAACAAACTACAAGGCAGCAGTTGTTTGATTTTGGAGTTGTCTCTCCTAGAAGAGTGGCTGTCCCCAGCTAACGAGGCTCATCTGCCCGAGGGTTCGAACTCGAGAGTTTTCGGTTTAGCAACCATGAGCTTTACCGCAACTCGACCACGCCGACCCCCTATTAGACGCCATTATAGCGGAAGTCCTCGTCCAATCTCCTGTTGGGGAACCGAACTCGGGCTTTGGTAGTATGGGCAGGCAGGCAACGCTCTATCCACCGACCACGCCATCCCACACCACCCACAGAAAGCCACATACATTTTAAACACGCAATAACGGCTTTCTAATATTACTAAAAATCTTTTCGCCACCAATTGAACTTTGACCTTTTGCCGAACAATGTAAATAAACAGTCAAGCCAAAAGGGGGCGGGGCCAACTATGATTTTGTTTGTTTTTTGTAACAATAACGAGTTAATGGAAGAACAACACTGTCAAACATACGTAGGAAACTGCGCACCGATTGGTTGTCTCGTTCTAGCCCCAGCCGCGAGCATGTTTATAAATAAGTTGTCGTTACACTGCAGCAGACAAAAGCTTTTTACGCCGGGGGCCGTTCAGTGTTAAAGTGGGGAACCCGGAAATGACGTTTTCACCAGTTGTGTGTTGTGTTGTCGTCGTCGTCGTCTGCTGTTTGGTGATTGGATCCTGCTATGAGACGAGTCAGGTAAATCATCCAGTGTTTCTTCCAGACTTTTTTCTCCGGGGGGTGGGGGGGGGGGGGGGGTAGGGCGAATACTGTCAAAAGGATGTTTTTTATATAAATTCCATTGCGTTCGGGAGGGGGGGGGCGGCTCTGCCTGGAAGAAACTCTGAAATCATCTGGGTGGGGGATGGGGAGTAGGGGGTGGAAGTTGGTTGAGCTAAATGGGGTTTAGCTCAGGGTAAGTTCGTTGTCAGCTTAATGTGGGGGGGGGGGGGGGGGGGAGGTTGATAAAGGGGGTTGACACAGGGTAAGTTTGAGCTAAACCTAAAGGGGTTAAGCGTATGGTAGGTTCGTTTTCAGATACAGCGGTTAAGCTCAAGATGGATTCGTCGTTGATTAATTGTTAAATCTGAGCTTAACGATTTATTACAATTAGGCTAGGGGCGGGTTAGTTATGTGAGCTAAAAGGGGATTTGTTGATAGAGCTAAACACGTGCTAAGCTTTAGGAAAACTGGTTTATGAGCTAAAATTTTGTTAAGAGTTGTTTAGTTGCGTGAAACGTGTTCTCGGAGCTAAGAATATTCTAAGCTCTTAGTAGGGTATCATCGAGTGGTAATAAATAATTAAGCTCAGAGTAGGGTATTAGTAGGGTATTAGGTATTAGGGTATTATTATATATTAAGCTCAGAGTAAGCTCATAATGAGAAAAATAAGTGTGTTTCTTGTTTGAGCTTAATGGTGTGCTTTTGTTATATAGGGTTAAGCTCAAGACAGTTTTGTCTCTCTATGAGAGCTAAGGGTGTGTTAAGTTAGGAACTATTTTTTTTTCTGGGACTAAAGTCTGGCCCATCGTTGTGTAAACGAAGAGTTTTTAAAATTTTTATTTTTAAAATAACCGCATGCTGTAATCTTGGCATGAGTAATTTACTATGTTTTTTTTTAAAATGCTTGATGTCATGTCATACTTGTCATGTTATGCATGTCATGTCATGCATGTCATGTCATACGGCCTTGCTGTTGTATACAAGTGAATGCCATGCCACCATAGCAATGACGTCACAGCGCGACAATGCTTGAATGCAGCGATTTGTAAACTGTGTGTCAATGGGACTCCTTTGAAAGCAACACAATTCTGTACCTGCCTGAAAAAAAAATCCTGGCGAACCCCTCCCACTCACATCTCATTGAAAATTAAAATTATCATGGGAAGACGTGGCCTAAACGGTAGCGCGCTAGTCTGCTAACTCAAAAGTCTCGAGTTCAAAGTCAGTAGAACGTCCCTGAGTCCACCCGTCTTTAGGTAAAGGGAAGGCGGCTTGGCATAGTCCCTTTATATGCCGAGGTCAAGGAACATATCACACTCTGTTGAAATAGTTTGGTACACTTTTTTCTAAATAGCCTAAACCTTGAGCGAAATTTTAAACATTAGGAGTAAAATTAGAGCAGTGGTTCTTAACCTTTTTGCAAGAACCCAACCCAACCAGTTTCATATGCGGCGCATTCAACGAACCCTTCTTAATAATTCATTCGTCCGCACTGACAATATCAAATCGTGAGTTATGTGAGTCGGGTGTGTGTATGTGTGTGTGATGTGTGTTTGTGTGTGTGTGTGTGTGTGTGTTGACCTCCACCAAAACACTGACGCACCTTCTTCTTCTTTCTTCTTCGTTCTTAATTATTAGTGTTGAAGGGGTTCGAGATTTATCTGCCAGTGGGTTTGAACTCGAGACTTTGTTCGAATTTATCAACCATGAGCTTTTTGCCGACTCGACCACGCCTCCATCACAATTAAGGATTACGTGTCAACTGGTTATGCGCCATTGAGGCCATTGACTCCGATTTCAGCCTGCTTTTCTTTTTGGATTTGCTTCCATAGCCTTTGTCCAACCAAGAACAAACTACAAGGCAGCAGTTGTTTAATTTTGGAGTTGTCTCTCCTAGAAAAGTGGCTGTCCCCAGCTAACGAGCCTCATCTGCCCGAGGGTTCGAACTCGAGACTTTTCCGGTTTAGCAACCATGAGCTTTACCGACTCGACCACACCGACCCCTACTGACGCACCAAACCTCTGGGGTCCGATCGAACCCAGGTTAAGAACCACTGGTGTAGTGTTTTGTTTTGGCTTAGGCTAAGAGTTATGCTTTAGGTTAGTATTACAGTCACCATAGGCCTTCGCTTGCGTACCGGTATCACTGATATGGATACAAGGGTACGGCTAATCGACCTAGAAGGTAGAGCCAGGTGACCGACGACACATCCCGACATTCGCTGTCTTTAACACACCAACACACGACACACGACGACATGTGCATTTTCGACGTGTGTTCAAAACCGGCTCACTAATGTTTAACCAACTGCCTGCTTACTAATTCAGTATAAAACTTGTGTACTTGTATAAATAGTGTAACAGCGTTATCACATAAACTACAGAATACCCAAGACCCCAGTTAATTAACTAAGATCGCCAGTAAATCAACGAGTGCTTTTATTTACTGTGAACACATGCACACAATTTTATAAAATACCAGATTACAATCTCTCGGCCTGTGCAGTTTGAAGTCTAGGTTAGGTTATTTGGCCTTGCTTGATTTTGATACAGTTATATATATTATAGATATAGTTGTAGATATTGGGCGTTCTTTCAGCTTTGTAAATTATATGTGTATCATTATAACACTGACTCACACATGTGCACGAGTAATGAAAAAAATGCACGCACAATGCACAGGTAAAAACACAATGTGTCTTGTAAAAAAAATAATGAGACATATTGTTTGTTTTCAAATGGTGCAGAGTCGACCAAACGTCAGAGGAAGGGGAAGCAACTCCCAATCGGCCAAAAGAGTAAGATTTGATTTACTGACGTTATTGAAACTGATTTGGTTGAGGGTGGTAGAAACCTATAAATAGACTCGGGTATCTCTGCTTGTAACAGACAACAGAGACTGAAAACTCATTGACAGGAATCTAGGTTTGTGTTTAAGGGGGGGGGGGTGGGGGTTTGGGTCAGGGGAGAGAGTTCATGTTGTCAGTATCAGATTGAGGGTTGAGGGTTGAGGTTTAAGGATTGAGGGTTGAGGATTGAGGATTGAGGATTGAGGGTTGAGGGTTGAGGGTTTAGGATTTAGGATTTAGGATTGAGGATTGAGGATTAAGGATTGATGCTTGAGGATTGATGGTTTAGGGTTGAGGGTTGAGGTTTGAGGGTTGAGGATTGAGGATTGAGGGTTGAGGATTGAGGGTTGAGGATTGAGGATTATATTATTAAAAAAAGTGACACCATGCTTTTGTATGCATGCATGGGTCAGACATTAGCCGCCTGGCTAAAAAAACCACTTGTCGCGTGAAGCTCGTAGCTGGTAATGACAGTCAAGTGCTGTCTAGGTGTTTGTTGTGAAAGAGACGGGGCAGAAATTCATCCATGTCGATGCAATACTAAGTTGTAACATGGTAGCATAGAGGAGGCAAGGGCAGCAGGGCTTACGTGGGCGTGAATAAAGAGTTTCCCGATGGAGAGGTGTGGCTATAGCCCTTTGCTCCCCAGGAGAGGTGTGGCTGTAGCCTTTTGCTCCCCAGGAGAGGTGTGGCTGTAGCCTTTTGCTCCCCAGGAGAGGTGTGGCTGTAGCCCTTTGCTCCCCAGGAGAGGTGTGGCTGTAGCCCTTTGCTCCCCAGGAGAGGTGTGGCTGTAGCCCTTTGCTCCCCAGGGGAGGTGTGGCTGTAGCCCTTTGCTCCCCAGGGGAGGTGTGGCTGTAGCCCTTTGCTCCCCAGGGGTCCACACAGGAATACGTCACGTCACTATGGATGCATGGTTGTGGGTGGTGGTGATTTGAATTGGCACTCAACTGGTTCTTTCAATGACGAATAGACGCGGTGTGACGTAATCTTTGCGTAAGTTTGACGTTATGGGGATGTAGAAATCAGAGTCATCATAAGCTGACGTAACGATTGGGCAGAGATGAGGTCACATGGGCGTAACAATCTGTTAGTCTGACGTCATCTAGGTATAACAATTTGGTGGACTGCCGTCAAATAGGTGTAACAATTTGGTTTACTAAGGTCACATGGGTGTAAAAATTTGTTAGTCTGATATCACGTAGGTGTAACAATTTGTTGGACCAACCAACTTCAACTTGACATGGGTCTTCTTTTCATATTTATTTTTTATTAACAATTGTTGCATTGCATTTAAACTGTTATGCAGTAATTTAAAAAAAAATAAACTTTTTATTTCCCTTTACCATTCTTCCACCTGTAACAGCCTAAACAAGCAATCCATCCCAGGTACAATGCGAATAATGTGACACTCAACAGAGGTTAGTTGTTATTTAGAATTTAACTCAGCTCACAGCAAGCTAGACTGATAAACCTAGATAGTAGTGTTACGGATATTAAGAATAGAACCCCTCCCTCCCAGCACCCACGGATCTAGAGAGTGCAGTAGTAGTTTGATTCCATCATATGGTTAAGGTTTGGTTTATTTCTTTAACCCTAGAAGGGTTAGAGAACTCTTGTATGTTTGGCCTAACTTTGGAGACAGTTGTGGGAACTGTTCAAAAGTTTAAATAACAGTTTTTTGTAGGTGATAGCTAGCAATGGTGTGGTAAGTGCGTGAGGGGGGGGGGGGGGGTTTAGGGTTTGGGTGTGTGTGTGATTGAGGGTTTGGGTTGTGTGTTTTGTGTGTGTGTGTGATTATGGTGGGAATTTGTGTGTAGGTTTGGGTGGTGTGGGTGAATGCGGGGGTTTGAAGTGGTGTGTGTGTGAGTTTCGGTGGTGTGGGTCTGGTTTTGGATGCTGGGGGCTGTGTGTTGGTGTGGTTGGTGTGTGTGTGTGAGGGTGTGGGCTTGAGTGATAAAGTTGTGTGTGTAGATTTAGATGGTGGGGGTTGTGTGTGTGGTTTTGTGTGGTGTGGGCGAGTGTGTGTGTGTGTGAGGGATTGGGTAGTGTGTTTTATGTGTGCTTATGGTGGGACTTTGTGTGTGTTTTTGGGTGGTGTGTGTGTAGATTTAGATGGTGGGGGTTGTGTGTGTGGGTTTGGGTTTGGGTAATGTGTGCGAGGCTTTGGGTTTGGGCGGTGTGTGTGTGTGTGGGGGGGGGGGGTTGGGTTCGGGTGGTAGGTTTGTTGAGTGTAGTTTCGTGTTTTTGACGAGTTTGTAGTTTCTACTCGGTACTTGCGTTGCTGTGTTCATCTACTGTAGTTTTCATCATCAAATGTCCGGTTAGCAAGAATAAAGTCTACGGCATCCACTTTACCCAGTGGAAAAAGTAAACAAGGGTATATTGTCCATGTGATTTATTTCAGGTAGGACCTACACTCAGAGGACACCCGTAGACAGGACACGTAGAATTGGGACAATTGACAACCAAGTAACGGTTTCATATTCCTTGTTTTAGCTGTCTAATGTCAATCTCTCAAGGGCTAGTCGTATTGACTGATTCGATTAGTTAGTGCTGCAGAAAACGATACTGGTATCGTAACCATAACGATTTAAAATAAGCCAGACACCACCCCCCCCCCCGGCCTACAACCCCCTACCCCCCGCCTTTCAAAATTGCAGACGTCTTCTGTCTTAACACTTCTTCTTCTTCGTTCTTAATTTTTAGTGTTGGATGTGATCGAGCCTTATCTGCCAGAGGGTTTGAACTCGAGACTTTTTTCGACTTTATCAATCATGACCTTTGCCGACTTGACCACTATTAAGGATACGTGTAAACTGGTTATGCGCCATTGAGGCCATTGACTCCGATTTCAGCCTGCTTTTCTTTTTGGATTAGCTTCCATAGCCTTTGTCCAACCAAGAACAAACTACAAGGCAGCAGTTGTTTGATTTTGGAGTTGTCTCTCCTAATAGAGTGGCAGTCCCCAGCTAACGAGCCTCATCTACCCGAGGGTTCGAACTCGAGACTTTATCGGTTTAGCAGCCATGAGCTTTTACTGACTCGACCACGCCGACCCTTTAACACTTCTGACTCAAGACATCTGTCACAACACTTCTATTTGCAGCATGTAAACAAAGACTCTTGATGGGTTTCCGTCTTGATTTCCGGTTGTGTCAGTAGCCATAGCCTTTCATTCTGTGTATGTGTATGAATATGTGTGTATGTGTGTGTGTGTGTGTCAGTAGCCATATCATCCCAGTTTGTGTGTGTGAATGTGTGTGGTTGTGAAAGTAGCCATATAAGTATACAGTATGTAGTAGAATCTTTCAATAGATGTTCTATTCGATGACCAATGTTGGCTGATGTACTCGAGTTAGTTTTTAAAAATTTGTTTTTAAGATGGGTCTGATACTAATAGTGGTGGTGGTTGTAATTGTGTGTGTGTGTGTGGGGGGGGGGATTAAAAGGGTCCGTGGGCCGGGACCGATTTAGGGACAGAAAAAATATATGTAAAAACGACTTGTTTATCAAATCAATGCTATATTCGCCCCAGCACAAGGCAATTCCACGCAATTTAAAACTGCAGAAACTATGTACTCCATAATATGGTTATGTTAGGTAATATCGCTGCGCTAGGATTGAGTGGTTTAATGTAAATATAACGTGTTGTGTGCTAGAGAGTCAAGTGATACAGCCAACAAGTGGTGGCTCGCGCTACTGTTACACACGAGGTTATACAACTTCCGTGTGCCGGCTCAGCTCTTAAAAGTACTCGGCCTAAATGTGCGGGCTCAGCTCTTAAAAGTACTCGGCCTTAATCCATCTGCCCCGTTAACCAGCCAGTCTAACACACAGTCCATGGGACAAGTGAAGTAGAGTTCACCTGTTTCCGTGACCATCTGAAAGGATAGTGTGATCAGCACTATGCCCAGTCACTTTTACTTTCCCTAACCCGGATTCGAACTCGAGATTTTCGGGTCTAGCGCTCTACCGCTAATCCATGTCGTCCCATTTAACTTACTTGAACCTTGTACAATCTTGTATAGAAAACGAACTACTTACAATGGCTACTAGGAGTGTCACCAAGCAAAGAAAAGCAAATCACACAGCCTTATTCGGGGGAATCGATTCGGTAAGTTTGCTGTACAAGATTTAAGTAAGTTTGAAAAAAAAAAGTCCAACCAATGTATTGTGATTTCTTTTTGTTTTTGTTGATCTATACAGTTATATCCGTAAATGCATGTATAAAACATGTATTTTAAAATTATGAATATCTTTGTCAATTAAATTTTTTTATAATAAACTTTAAGAAATAATTAGAAATTTAAAAAATGGAAGAAAAACCTATTATACAGTCGTTTAAAAAAAAACCCACTAAAATAAAACAAAATAAAGTATACCCATGATTATCTATGAAATGTTTCTGTAAAATCCAGTGGCAAAAAATGTACAGTGTTTCTGTAATACTCGTTAAGCCATGTTTGAAAACTCAATCTTATGTGTACGAGAGTGGTGAAAAATCAATCAGGATTTAATCCACGTGATACGTGACTACTCTCTCAAATCACGGCTTAACCCACGTGACAACTCTCTCATATCACATTTGACCCACGTGATACGTGACAACTCTCTCAAATCAAAACCACGTGACAACTCTCTCAAATCACGACTTAACCCACGTGACAACTCTCTCAAATCACGACTCAACCCACGTGATACGTGACAACTCTCTCAAATCACGACTTAACCCACGTGATACGTGACAACTCTCTCAAATCACGACTCAACACATGTGACAACTCTCTCAAATCACGACTCAACACATGTGACAACTCTCTCAAATCACGACTCAACACATGTGACAACTCTCTCAAATCACGACTTAACCCACGTGACAACTCTCTCATATCACATTTGACCCACGTGATACGTGACAACTCTCTCAAATCAAAACCACGTGACAACTCTCTCAAATCACGACTTAACTCACGTGACAACTCTCTCAAATCACGACTTAACCCACGTGATACGTGACAACTCTCTCAAATCACGACTTAACCCACGTGACAACTCTCTCAAATCACGACTCAACCCACGTGATACGTGACAACTCTCTCAAATCACGACTTAACCCACGTGATACGTGACAACTCTCTCAAATCACGACTCATACATGTGACAACTCTCTCAAATCACGACTCAACACATGTGACAACTCTCTCAAATCACGACTCAACACATGTGACAACTCTCTCAAATCACGACTTAACCCACGTGACAACTCTCTCATATCACATTTGACCCACGTGATACGTGACAACTCTCTCAAATCAAAACCACGTGACAACTCTCTCAAATCACGACTTAACTCACGTGACAACTCTCTCAAATCACGACTTAACCCACGTGATACGTGACAACTCTCTCAAATCACGACTTAAGCCACGTGATACGCGACAACTCTCTCAAATCACGACTTAACCCACGTGATACGTGACAACTATCTCAAATCAAACCCGCATGACAACTCTCTCATATCACATTTGACCCACGTTTTGACCCACGTGACACCTCTCTGGAACCCAGGCTCCGCAGCAGCCAAAAGTTCTACACGTCTGGTCTGGTGGAGGTCTACAGAGCCGGCAGGTGGGGCTACGTCTGTGACGACAACTGGGACCTCCAGGACGGCAACGTGGCATGTCGACAGCTGGGCTTTATCAAGTAAGGAACAACTTTCACATAGGTCTCTGTACATATAATATATATATATATATATATATATATATATATATATATATATATTTACATATATATATGTATATAACACTTATTTCCGGATACAGGAAATCGTGGAAGGTGTATACAATGTAAATTGCGTCAAACTAATTTAAACGGTACTCAAGTTATAGGTTTTTGAGAAACAGGAAGTGGAAAAAAAGTACCAATTCCGGTTTCCAGAAGTAGCCCAAAAGTTGAAAGGAAACCACAAATTTGTTATAATACTTATACATGAAATATCAAACTAAATTGTACTCAAGTTATCGTGTTTACATACACCGACAGAGAGACAAGCTGACAAACTGACAAACAGACAAACAGTTAAACTGACAGGCAGACAGATGGACAAGGTTAGGAAACCTCATGGATTTTTCGCATGATTACAACATGAACATAAAAATGAATGAATGAACAAATGAACGAACGATAGAACGAATGAACAAATGAACGAATGAACGAATGAATATATATATATATATATATATATATATATATATATATATATATATATATATATATATATATATATATATATATATATACGATACAGAGGAGCCTCAAAAGTGAGTATGGGAGATGAAGTGGTCCCCTTAAGAAACATGGACAGTCACGAGGTTCTGATGGATGATGTGGCATGTTCGGGGGACGAGTCAAGGCTTCAGGACTGTGAGTACAGCACGCTACACGACTGCTCACCGGCTGAGGCGGCAACGGTCACGTGTCAAGACAACTCAGGTGGGTCGTCTTCTTCCGTCACGCTAACCCGCGTGGGTCATTGATTGTATGCGGCATTGCTAAGGGCGTGGGGGGGGGGGGGGGGGTGGGGGTGGTGGGGGTGGTGGTTGGACCAGAATTTTTTTCTCAAACGTTTATTTTCTTATTTTAATAATGGTTTGTTTTTTTATCTTACAAAGTTATCATCAGCGCCTTGCTGTTGTAAAACAACAACAACAACAACAAACAAGAAAAACAAACAATAGGCATGTTACTTGAAACTAACAGTTTTATGGAATAATCTAATTCTAACCCCTAAACTTGACACACTTCGCTTAACGCCCAAGTTATCCCCTATTTCTGTGTTTACTGCTAAGTCCCAATACCGGAAAACACCAACAATAAGCCTAATGGATGCTCGATTCAATAGTACCATTGAGAAATCACGGTCCTTTACAGATAGCTTTTTCACAGAGGCCAGTGCATGGCCTGGCCGGGACGGCTGGTTCTTTCATATATCTTAATAGCTGGTTTCCGAGTTTCGTATTAAAAAAAATAGCCAGTTATTATATTAGCTGCACTAAGCCACATAAACCACACTCTCACCATGTCCAGACTACCAAGTACCTTGTTCTTGGTCGGACAAAGGCTATGGAAGCAAAGAAAAACAAGCTGAAATCGGAGTTAACGGCCCTTTAACCATTTGACACGTAATACTTAGTTGTGTTGGAGGTAATATCCTCCAACATTAGAATTAAGAGCGAAGAAGAAGAAAGAAGATATGAAGTACATACTAAGATGTGTAGCTGTCTTGGTCAGGCCACAATAAAACCATTTTACGCAGGAATATTTCATGAATTGGAAACCATTGAAATATTAACTAGAAATCCTTTTAACAATATGTGTTCTTTGACATTATAGGTACATGGTATGTTAAGGAGCGTGGATGGATGATTGTTAGAAATTTTCCAAATATTTGTTTTGATCTGTTTTTTTCTGGGCTTATTTTATGAGCGATTTTATTGAAGACTCCTTTTTCTATTATTGTAAAAAAAATAAGCCGATTTCCTAATATTTTATGCGACATTTGGTCTTTAACAGTGCTATTTTTGTGTGCAATATAATTTCAGCGAGATTTCTTTATTGGCAAATACTTTGACTTCTAAACTTGATCTTTCCCCCCTAACTCCCCCCCCTTTATAGAATACACCAATCACACTCCATATTGTGGCTTACACAAACTTTTTTTTTTCAAAGGATGCCCGGAGGGGTGGGTGTCAGGCTTCGGAAAGTGCTACAAGTTTATCGCAAAAGCTCCCAACTACATGAAAGCCCTTGAGTACTGCTTGAGTAAAAATGCCACGCTGCTGACCATAGACTCGGCCGAGGAGAATCATTTCCTGTCGAATGTGATTAAAAACAACATGCCTGGTAGGTTCATTGTCTAAAGTCGACAAAATACAACATGCTCGGTAGGTTTATCGTCTAAAGTCGACAAAATACAGCATGCCCGGTAGGTTCATTGTCTAAAGTCAACAAAATACAACATACCCCGGTAGGTTCATTGTCTAAAGTCGACAAAATACAACATGCCCGGTAGGTTCATTGTCTAAAGTCAACAAAATACAGCATGCCCGGTAGGTTCATTGTCTAAAGTCAACAAAATACAACATACCCCGGTAGGTGCATTGTCTAAAGTTGACGAAATACAGCATGCCCGGTAGGTTCATTGTCTAAAGTCAACAAAATATAACATGCCCGGTAGGTTCATTGTCTAAAGTCAACAAAATACAACATGCCCGGTAGGTTCATTGTCTAAAGTCAACAAAATACAACATACCCGGTAGGTTCATTGTCTGAAGTCAACAAAATACAACATGCCCGGTAGGTTCATTGTCTAAAGTCAACAAATTACAACATGCCCGGTTGGTACATTGTCTAAAGTCAACAAAATACAGCATGCCCGGTGGGTTCATTGTCTAAAGTCAACAAAATACAGCATACCCCGGTAGGTTCATTGTCTAATGTCAACAAAATACTGCATACCCATTTAGTTCACTAATCCAAATTAAACAAAAACTGCATACCCGTTTAGTTCACTAATCCAAATTAAACAAAATACAGCATACCCATTTAGTTCACTAATCCAATTTAAACAAAAACAGCATGCCCATTAAGTTCACTAATCCAAATAAAACAAAAACTGCATACCCCTTTAGTTCACTAATCCAAATAAAACAAAAATTGCATGTCCGAAAGGTTCAGTTCTTGACTACGTGGCCTCGAAAGACCCGAGTACGGATCCCGGGCCTACCTCTGATGGGAGCCCTACTCACTTTAGAGAAATTCAGGACGGTTAAGCATAGTGTTGACCACATTACCCCTTTAGTAAAACAGGTGAACTTTACTTCACCTGCCCCATGGACCATCAGGTTCGAAGTGGTATGTTACTTACTTACAGATACACTTTTCTATAATCCCTTCACCCACAGCATAGACTACACCATCCGAGTACACATTCACCTCATCAACCGTCATACGTCAGCACCAATTTACCCAATCTCTCTCTCTCTGCCCCCCCCCCCCCCCCCCAGACCAACGCCAGTGGCTGACCGGTGGGAAAAAGTTGCAAGGCGAGTGGTCCTGGTTTCAAGTCGTGACCCAAAGGTCAAGGACAAGCGGCAAATCCTACAGGCTGGTGGCGTCACCTATTGTGGGTGATAAATGGTTCCCAGGTGAGTGCTAATGGTGGGTCACCAATCCTACAGGCTGGTGGCGTCACCTATTGTGGGTGATAAATGGTTCCCAGGTTAGTGCTAATGGTGGGTCACCTAAAGTCTCCAGGTTAGTGCTATTGGTGGATGACCTAAAGTCTCCAGGTTAGTGCTAATGGTGGGTCACCTAAAGTCTCCAGGTTAGTGCTAATGGTGGGTGACCTAAAGTCTCCAGGTTAGTGCTAATGGTGGGTGACCTAAAGTCTCCAGGTTAGTGCTAATGGTGGGTGACCTAAAGTCTCCAGGTTAGTGCTAATGGTGGGTGACCTAAAGTCTCCAGAATAGTGCTAATGGTGGGTGACCTAAAGTCTCCAGGTTAGTGCTAATGGTGGGTGACCTAAAGTTCCCAGGTTAGTGCTAATGGTGGGTGACCTAAAGTTCCCAGGTTAGTGCTAATGGTGGGTGACCTAAAGTTCCCAGGTTAGTGCTAATGGTGGGTGACCTAAAGTCTCCAGGTTAGTGCTAATGGTGGGTGACCTAAAGTTCCCAGGTTAGTGCTAATGGTGGGTGACCTAAAGTTCCCAGGTTAGTGCTAATGGTGGGTGACCTAAAGTCTCCAGGTTAGTGCTAATGGTGGGTGACCTAAAGTTCCCAGGTTAGTGCTAATGGTGGGTGACCTAAAGTTCCCAGGTTAGTGCTAATGGTGGGTGACCTAAAGTTCCCAGGTTAGTGCTAATGGTGGGTGACCTAAAGTTCCCAGGTTAGTGCTAATGGTGGGTGACCTAAAGTCTCCAGGTTAGTGCTAATGGTGGGTGACCTAAAGTCTCCAGGTTAGTGCTAATGGTGGGTGACCTAAAGTTCCCAGGTTAGTGCTAATGGTGGGTGACCTAAAGTTCCCAGGTTAGTGCTAATGGTGGGTGACCTAAAGTTCCCAGGTTAGTGCTAATGGTGGGTGACCTAAAGTTCCCAGGTTAGTGCTAATGGTGGGTGACCTAAAGTTCCCAGGTTAGTGCTAATGGTGGGTGACCTAAAGTTCCCAGGTTAGTGCTAATGGTGGGTGACCTAAAGTTCCCAGGTTAGTGCTAATGGTGGGTGACCTAAAGTCTCCAGGTTAGTGCTAATGGTGGGTGACCTAAAGTACCCAGGTTAGTGCTAATGGTGGGTGACCTAAAGTTCCCAGGTTAGTGCTAATGGTGGGTGACCTAAAGTTCCCAGGTTAGTGCTAATGGTGGGTGACCTAAAGTTCCCAGGTTAGTGCTAATGGTGGGTGACCTAAAGTTCCCAGGTTAGTGCTAATGGTGGGTGACCTAAAGTTCCCAGGTTAGTGCTAATGGTGGGTGACCTAAAGTCTCCAGGTTAGTGCTAATGGTGGGTGACCTAAAGTTCCCAGGTTAGTGCTAATGGTGGGTGACCTAAAGTTCCCAGGTTAGTGCTAATGGTGGGTGACCTACATTCTCTAGGTCAGCTACAGCTGTTTTAAATAAAGTCTTACATAATATGTAAACACATGCCCCAAGGGGTGCTCCAGCACAAGATCTAAAGATAAAGGCTGATTTGTTAAGAACTTATTTGTGTTGTTATAAAGTCATCCCACTACTGGTAGTGTTAATTCATCCCAATATTTGAAGTGTTATAAAGTCATCCCACTATTGGTAGTGTTATAAAGTCATCCCACTACTGGTAGTGTTATAAAGTCATCCCACTAGTGTTATAAAGTCATCCCACTACTGGTAGTGTGAATTCATCCCAGTATTTGTAGTGTTATAAAGTCATCCAACTAGTGTTATAAAGTCATCCCGCTATTGGTAGTGTTATAAAGTCATCCCACTATTGGTAGTGTTATAAAGTCATCCCACTATTGGTAGTGTTATAAAGTCATCCCACTATTTGTAGTGTTTTAAAGTCATCCCACTATTGGTAGTGTTATAAAGTCATCCCACTATTTGTAGTGTTATAAAGTCATCCCACTAGTGTTATAAAGTCATGCCGCTAGTGTTATAAAGTCATGAAACCATTGGTAGTGTTGTAAAGTCATCCCACTAGTGTTATAAAGTCATCCCACTAGTGTTACAAAGTCACCCCACTAGTGTTATAAAGTAACCCCACTAGGGTTATAAAGTCATCCCACTAGTGTTATAAAGTCATCCCACTAGTGTTATAAAGTCATCCCACTAGTGTTATAAAGTCATCCCACTAGTGTTACAAAGTCACCCCACTAGTGTTATAAAGTAACCCCACTAGTGTTATAAAGTCATCCCACTAGTGTTATAAAGTCATCCCACTAGTGTTATAAAGTCATCCCACTAGTGTTATAAAGTCATCCCACTAGTGTTATAAAGTCATCCCCCTACTGGCACCTGTAGGTTTTTATCCCCCCCCCCTAGGCTGGCATCAGGTCAGAAATGTCCACGCTGAGCCAGCCAATCGGAGAAAGTTTGACTGCCTGACCTTGTCTGACGAGTACCTTGATCCCTGGAACATCACGAGAATACTGGACTATTTCTTCTGGAAGGCTGACACCTGCCAGAAGTCTGCGGGCATCGACTTCATCTGCCAGTCCACGGCAAGTGAGACGGAGGACAATACAGGTAGCGATAGCCTTGGTACTGTCTAAACGTTGGTACTGTCTAAGCCTTGGCATTGTCTAAGCTTTGACTCCGTCACCATCTAAACTCTGGCACTGTATGAGCTTTAGCATTGTCTAAATTCTGGCACTGTCTAAACCTTGACTCTGGCACTGTCTAAACCTTGACTCTGGCACTGTCTAAACCTTGACTCTGGCACTGTCTAAACCTTGACTCTGGCACTGTCTAAACCTTGACTCTGGCACTGTATAAACTCTGGCAATTGTCTAAACCTTGACTCTGGCACTGTCTAAACCTTGACTCTGGCACTGTCTAAACCTTGACTCTGGCACTGTCTAAACCTTGACTCTGGCACTGTCTAAACCTTGACTCTGGCACTGTCTAAACCTTGACTCTGGCACTGTCTAAACCTTGACTCTGGCACTGTCTAAACCTTGACTCTGGCACTGTCTAAACCTTGACTCTGGCACTGTCTAAACCTTGACTCTGGCACTGTCTAAACCTTGACTCTGGCACTGTCTAAACCTTGACTCTGGCACTGTCTAAACCTTGACTCTGGCACTGTCTAAACCTTGACTCTGGCACTGTCTAAACCTTGACTCTGGCACTGTCTAAACCTTGACTCTGGCACTGTCTAAACCTTGACTCTGGCACTGTCTAAAAGTAACGCTCACCTCGTCTAGAAGTAACTCTCGCATAATCCAGTAGAAAAGATGAAGGCTTGTCTTTGATGCAGGCTTCCTAAGTGTGTATCCAATCCTTTTTTATTTTATTTCATGAGTATCTCATCAAATGACAGTTTGTTCGCTTCCATAGTAACGCATTAAAAATATCTCATTACGCCCAAAATCACGACTTTCTTCCAACTTTCATGTGTTCCTTACGCCCTATAATAATTACGACAGTTTACTAAGACCCTAGATAACCTCTATCTATTTACAACTTATCACCACAGATTGTTACACAGAGGACGGCAGCACGTACAGAGGGTTGGCTCAGACCACGGTCAGTGGGAGTCTGTGTCTGAACTGGGACGATTCCATGGTCGTCAATAGCCGGACACACCCGAACATGGTGAGCTCGTGTAGGGTGATTGTACTATCTAACAGACAAATTGTGATCTTCACTATAGGGCTGGTAAGTAGGTCACCAACCTACGGCTCAATAAAACCTGCATGGGCCATAGAACTAGTTGGTGACCTACTTACCAGCCCTATTGTTGTACACAAAGTGAGATCTTCTGGAGTGTGGTTCTAGTATCTAACACGCAATCAAGGTCAGATCTCCACCACCATCTTAAGATCCAACACACAGAGACACAGACACACAGACAAACACACAGACACAGATATACAGACATACAGAAAAACACAGACACACATACACACAGACACACAGACATACAGACACACAGACAGACACACATACACACAGACACACAGAAAAACACAGACACACAGACACACAGACATACAGACACACCGACATACAGACACAGACAAACAGACACACAGATACACAGACACACAGACACACAGACACACATACATACAGACACGCAGACGAACAAAGACACACAGACACACAGACGAACAAAGACACACAGACATACAGACACGCAAAAAAACACAGACACACAGACACACAGACACACAGACAGACACACATACAAACACAGATACACACGTAAGAGACCGAATAAAATCCAATGCCAGACGTCAGCTGCTGATGCCATGTGAGGCGTAGTACATGCCTGGAGATGAGAAAAAAAAATTAAATGTTTTCTTAAGTCTAGAATATTTCAAACGTCTACGCGACTTAAATCATTCATTGCGAGACTTTTGCACTTTTAAATCAATAAACCCAAGACAAGTACATATTTTTTAGCGAGACATTTGGCTCTGGTAGCAAGAAAACAAAACATACGCGTCTAAACTGAATTCAATCGACCTAAAGAAATTAAAGGGTCTCGGCGATCGCGAGACTTTACTTAAATCCCCATAGCGGAATAAAAACCATTTCGGAACAGAAGGTTTACGGAACTGATAAAGAAGAGTTCACCTGTCCTCTGCATTTGGAAAAAAGAGTTTAGTCAGCACTATAGGGCTGCTAAGTAGGTCGCCAACCAGTTATATGGCTCATGTAGGTTTTATTGAGCCGTAGAACTGGTTGGTGACCTACTTACCAGCCCTATTCCCAGATGGCTTTACTTTGTACAATCCAACTCGAGTACTCGTTAAAGCTAAGTGACAAGTCCAAACTGGCTCGAACTCGTACACTGTACACTATAATCTTGGATTAGCCAACGTACGACCACGCCGTTCCCTTACAGCTAAAGTCAAAAGGTTCAAACGTAATCTGTACACTATAATCTTGGGTTAACCATCGTACGATTACACCGTTCCCTTAAAACTGAAGTAAAAAGGCTCAAACTCGTAAACTGTACACTAGAATCTTGGGCTAGCCAAAATACGACCAACACGTCCCCTTACAACTGAATGCAGTTGACCTTTAACCTTTCCTCTCTTAGGGGCTGGGCGACCACAACTTCTGCAGAAACCCAGACCGCGAGAAAAGGCCCTGGTGTTGGGTGAGCCACGAAGAGCAGAAGTTTGGTTTCTGTAAGGTCGACAGGTGCACCCACGCGTCCGTCGTAGAGGTCACCACAAAACGTAAGTTCAAAACACAAACTGACCCTAGACCTAACTAACACAAATATAGGACCTAAACCTGACTCTAATACAAATACTGAACCTAGGCTTAACTCTAACACAAATACTGAACCTAGGCTTAACTCTAACACAAATACTGAACCTAGACCTAACTCTAACATAAATATAGAACCTAGACATAACTCTAACACAAATACTGAACCTAGACCTAACTCTAACACAAATACTGAACCTAGACCTAACTCTAACATAAATATAGAACCTAGACATAACTCTAACACAAATACTGAACCTAGACCTAACTCTAACACAAATACTGAACTTAGACCAAACTCTAACATAAATATAGAACCTAGACATAACTCTAACCCAAATACTGAACCTAAACCTAACGCTAACCCAAATACTGAACCTAAACCTAACGCTAACCCATATCTTCACAGCAGCCAGTGCACTCAATTGCCCGGCCAGCGAATTCTATTGTTCGCTCGATCAAAAGTAAGTACAGCACGTAGTCCATGGGGTAAAGCACGTAGTCTAGGGGTACATGACGTAGTCTGATGGTACCGCACGTAGTCTACGGGTACAGGACGTAGTCTAGGGGTACAGGACGTAGTCTGATGGTACCGCACGTAGTCTACGGGTACAGGACGTAGTCTAGGGGTACAGGACGTAGTCTGATGGTACCGCACGTAGTCCAGGGATACACAACGTATTCGAGGGGTACAAGACGTAGTCTGATGGTGGTACCGCACGTAGTCTAGGGGTACAGGACGTAGTCTGATGGTACCGCACGTAGTCCAGGGGTACACAACGTAGTCGAGGGGTACAAGACGTAGTCTGATGGTACCGCACGTAGTCTAGGGGTACAGGACGTAGTCTGATGGTGTTACCGCACGTAGTCTAGGGGTACACAACGTAGTCTAATGGTATCGCACGTTGTCGAGGGGTACAGGACGTAGTCTGATGGTATCGCACGTAGTCTATGGGGTATGGCACGTAGTCCAGGAATACACAACGTAGACTACACACATTCATATTTGTATAATGTACTAAGCAGTCTAGTGGGACGGCGTGGTCTAGAGGTAGGGTGCTGGATTGTAAACCCGAAAGTCTCGAGTTCGAATCCGGTTTCAAGTGAGCAGAGCGTCCTTGAGTCCACCCAGCTCTGATGGGTTCATAACTCACGTTAGAAAAAAAAGGCAAAGTGCTGACCTCACTATCCCTTCATATGCCGATGTCACTGAAACAGTTGAACTCTACTTTATCTGCCCCCATGTGTCTTGTGCACGAACGGGAAACAATGATGACGAGGCAGTCTAGTGGTAGTAGTCCAACGGTAGAGGTCGTTGTACAATGGCATATTAATAGTCTCTAGTGGTACACCAATAAATGCATCGATACATTTGTATTAAATAAAAACTCACCGCCTGGGACTGCCGCACCCCTGCTCCTCCCTAGATACGCCCCTGTCTTTCTGTGTTATTCTTTCACTCTGTGTGTATCGTACCTTGTTTTTACACAGGTGCATACCTGCCCTGTTTCGGTGTGATAGAGATTTTGATTGTCCATCAAAAGAAGACGAGGACGACTGCGGTAAGTGATAACACAATGGTATGGCGAGATGATTAGGATTATGGGAAGCAACTCTTGATTTAAAAAAGGGAAGCAACTCTGAAATTTACAAGTCTAAATTAACTATTGGAAAAATACCCTACCCCCGTACTCATTTTTTTTCCGTTTCTATTAAAAACATAGTAAACCATTTGAAAGTACTTGTGTTATTACAACAAAAAAAATAAATAATATAAATAAATAAATATAATTTAAAGGTTTATTGAATGTCACCGTGATTTGAGTCGATCAAGGATATATGAAGTAGAGCTTAACTGTGTGCTTACTTCAGAAAACCGTTGAACCGAACTAATAGTACGATCCCCGAACAACAGACAAAAAAGGATGAATTACAGAATACACGTTTTCACCAGTTATTTATAAACATTTTAAACCATAGATTCCCACACCCCCCCCCCTTAAAAAAAAGATCTTTTAAAGGGCAGTAACTCGTGCGTGTACTTACTGCGCGGGTTTAACCTTTCTTTCTTCCTCAGAATATGCCACTAGTATATTCGAACGGTATAAAGATCAAGTTTTAACCTTGAACGATGATACACTCGTCTACTCGACCACCGCCTACGAGGGGATCAGTGCAGAAATGGTGGGTATTTTTTTTTTAAGTCGGGATGTTTTCTAACACCAACACACCTCAACTCTACTGCTGTACACACCTAAACACTACTGCCCTACACCAACAAGATACACACGTCCACTCTACTGCCCCTACGATACTTCACTCTACTAAACCTACAACACCCCAACTCTACTTCCCCATACAACACCACCTCCACTCTACTAGCCCTACAACACCTCCCCTCTACTGCCCCTACAACACCTCAACTCTACTGCCGCTACAACACCTCCCCTCTACTGCCCTACCATACCTCCACTCTACTACCCCTTCAAAACCTCCACTCTACTGCCCCTACTTCCACTCTACTTCCCCTACAACACCTCCACTCTACTGCCTCCTACAACACCTCCACTCTACTTCCCCCTACAACACCTCCACTCTACTTCCCCTACAACACCTCCACTCTACATCCCCCTATAACTCCTCCACTGTACTGCCCCTACAACACCCCCACTCTACTGCCCCTACAACACCTCCCCTCTACTAAACCTACAACACCTCCCCTCTACTGCCCCTACAACACCTCACTCGACTAAACCTACAATACCTCAACTCTACTTGCCCCTACATCACCTCACTCTACTAAACCTACAACACCTCCCCTCTACTGCCCCTACAACACCACCACTCTACTGCCCCTACAATATCTCCACTCCTCTTCCCCCAACAACACCTCCACTCTACTTCCCCTACAACACCTCCCCTCTACTGCCCCTACAACATCTCCACTCTACTTCCCCCAACAACACCTCCACTCTACTTCCCCTACAACACCTCCCCTCTACCGCCCCTACAACATCTCCACTCTACTTCCCCCAACAACACCTTCACTCTACTGGCCCTATAACACCACCCATCCTCTTCTGCCCCTACAACACCTCCACTCTACTCCCCCTACAACACCTCCACTCTACTTCCCCCTACAACACCTCACTCTACTAAACCTACAACACCTCCACTGTACTGCCCCGACAACACCTCTCCTCTACTGCCCCTACAAAATCTACACTCTACTTCCCCTACACCACCTCCCCTCTACTTCCCCTACACCAGCACTCTTGTACTTCCAGTGCGCCAGAAAATGCCGAGACGCCTCCGAGTTCCTGTGTCGGTCATTCACCTACGACACCCGTCTGGTCAGGTGTGCGTTGTCCAGCTTCAACACCAACCACGGCACCCTGAAGCCAGCCTCAGCCATAGACTACTACGAGATCACCTCTCAACGTACGTGTTCACACACCTTACATGCACAACCTAAGGCTTTATTTATTTTTTTAAGTTATGTATATTTTTATAGAGAAATAGAAGTTTTTTTTTTAAATGTGAGTTATCTTTTCCTGACAGGGGACTGCACTGGGAAATTTATCTGCGAGAATAAATTTTGCGTTGATAAAGGTGTGGTGTGTGATGGCGAGAACGATTGTAAGGACATGTCGGATGAGCTGAATTGTAGCACAGGTGAGCTGTCTTAGGTTGTAGCACAGGTGAGCTGTCTTAAGTTAAGTTGTAGCACAGGTGAGCTGTCTTATGTTGTAGCACATGTGAGCTGTCTTATGTTGTAGCACAGGTAAGCTGTCTTATGTTGTAGCACAGGTAAGCTGTCTTATGTTGTAGCACATGTGAGCTGTCTTATGTTGTAGCACAGGTGAGCTGTCTTATGTTGTAGCACAGGTGAGCTGTCTTAAGTTGTAGCACAGGTAAGCTGTCTTATGTTGTAGCACATGTGAGCTGTCTTATGTTGTAGCACAGGTGAGCTGTCTTATGTTGTAGCACAGGTGAGCTGTCTTATGTTGTAGCACAGGTGAGCTGTCTTATGTTGTAGCACAGGTGAGCTGTCTTATGTTGTAGCACAGGTGAGCTGTCTTATGTTGTAGCACAGGTGAGCTGTCTTATGTTGTAGCACAGGTGAGCTGTCTTATGTTGTAGCACAGGTAAGCTGTCTTATGTTGTAGCACAGGTAAGCTGTCTTATGTTGTAGCACAGGTGAGCTGTCTTAATTCACGTGTGGTAGCACAGGTGAGCTGTCTTAGGTTATGTTGTAGCATAGGTGAGCTGTCTTATGTTATGTTGTAGCACAGGTGAGCTGTCTTAGGTTATGTTGTAGCACAGGTGAGCTGTCTTATGTTATGTTGTAGCACAGGTGAGCTGTCTTAATTCATGTTGTAGCACAGGTGAGCTGTCTTATGTTGTAGCACAGGTGAGCTGTCTTATGTTGTAGCACAGGTGAGCTGTCTTATGTTGTAGCACAGGTGAGCTGTCTTATGTTGTAGCACAGGTGAGCTGTCTTATGTTATGTTGTAGCACAGGTGAGCTGTCTTAAGTTATGTTGTAGCACAGGTGAGCTGTCTTAGGTTATGTTGTAGCACAGGTGAGCTGTCTTATGTTATGTTGTAGCACAGGTGAGCTGTCTTAGGTTATGTTGTAGCACAGGTGAGCTGTCTTATGTTATGTTGTAGCACAGGTGAGCTGTCTTAAGTTATGTTGTAGCACAGGTGAGCTGTCTTAGGTTATGTTGTAGCACAGGTAAGCTGTCTTATGTTGTAGCACAGGTAAGCTGTCTTAGGTTATGTTGTAGCACAGGTGAGCTGTCTTATGTTGTAGCACAGGTAAGCTGTCTTATGTTGTAGCACAGGTGAGCTGTCTTATGTTGTAGCACAGTTGAGCTGTCTTATGTTGTAGCACAGGTGAGCTGTCTTATGTTGTAACACAGGTAAGCTGTCTTATGTTGTAGCACAGGTAAGCTGTCTTATGTTGTAGCACAGGTAAGCTGTCTTATGTTGTAGCACAGGTAAGCTGTCTTATGTTGTAGCACAGGTAAGCTGTCTTATGTTGTAGCACAGGTAAGCTGTCTTATGTTGTAGCACAGGTAAGCTGTCTTATGTTGTAGTACAGGTGAGCTGTCTTATGTTGTAGCACAGGTAAGCTGTCTTATGTTGTAGCACAGGTAAGCTGTCTTATGTTGTAGCACAGGTGAGCTGTCTTATGTTGTAGCACAGGTAAGCTGTCTTATGTTGTAGCACAGGTAAGCTGTCTTATGTTGTAGCACAGGTGAGCTGTCTTAATTTATGATGTAGGACAGGTGAGCTGTCTTTACTTATGTTTTGTAGCAAAGGTATGGTGAGTACCTAAAAAGCGTTAGGGGAAGTAAATTCGGCTGGGCATAGTGCTGGCCACGTTATCCTTTTCATATACCGAGGTAAAAAAACCGACCGTTGAACTCTACTTCATCTGCTCTATCTGAAAAAGAAAGTTATCTGTTTTTCATCTTCTCCTTCAGAAGTCACGCCTGACAGCGTAGATAATGTCCTGAGTGTTCGTCTCGTGGGTGGCCAGGAACATTCTGGAACCGTGGAGGTGACCTACATGGGGGTGACGGGCGTGGTCTGTGATGACGAGTGGTCCATAGAGGACGCGCAAGTCGTCTGCCGGATGTTGGGCTACAGGTCAGGAGGTTTAGACCAGGTTTATGCTAGGTTTATGCCAGGTTTATGCCAGGTTTATGTCACGTTTATGCCAGGTTTATGCCAGGTTTATACCAGGTTTAGACCAGGTTTATGCCAGGTTTATGCCAGGTTTAGACCAGGTTTATGCCAGGTTTATGCTAGGTTTATGCCATGTTTATGCCAGGTTTATGTCAGGTTTATGCCAGGTTTATGCCATGTTTATGCCAGGTTTATGCCAGGTCTATGCCAGGTTTATGCCAGGTTTATGCCAGGTTTATGTCAGGTTTATGCCAGGTTTATGCCAGGTTTATGCCAGGTTTACGCTAGGTTTATGCCAGGTTTATGCCAGGTTTATGTCAGGTTTATGCCAGGTTTATGCCAGGTTAAGCCAGGTTTAGACCAGGTTTAGACCAGGTTTATGCTAGGTTTATGTCAGGTTTATGTCAGGTTTATGCCAGGTTTATGCCAGGTTTATGCCAGGCTTATGCCGGATGTTGGGCTACAGGTCAGGAGGTTTATGCCAGGTTTATACCAGGTTTATGCCAGGTTTATGCCAGGTTTATGCTAGGTTTATGCCAGGTTTAGACCAGGTTTAGACCAGGTTTATGCTAGGTTTATGCCAGGTTTATGCCAGGTTTATGCCAGGTTTATGCCAGGTTTATGCCGGATGTTGGGCTACAGGTCAGGAGGTTTATGCCAGGTTTATGCCAGGTTTATGCCAGGTTTATGCCAGGTTTATGCTAGGTTTATGCCAGGTTTAGACCAGGTTTATGCTAGGTTTATGCCAGGTTTATGCCAGGTTTATGCCAGGTTTATGCCAGGTTGATGCCGGATGTTGGGCTACAGGTCAGGAGGTTTATGCCAGGCCTATGCCAAGTTTATGCCAGGTTTATGCCAGGTTTATGCCAGGTTTATGCCAGGTTTATGCCAGGTTTATGCCAAGTTTATGCCAGGTTTATGCCAGATTTATGCCAGGTTTATGCTAGGTTTATACTAGGTTTATGCCAGGTTTATACCAGGTTTATGCCAGGTTTATGCCAAGTTTATGCCAGGTTTATACCAGGTTTATGCCAGGTTTATGCCAGGTTTATGCCAGGTTTATGCCAGGTTTATACCAGGTTTATGCCAGGTTTATGCTAGGTTTATGCCAGGTTTATGCCAGGTTTATGCCAGGTTTATGCCAGGTTTATGCCAAGTTTATGCCAGGTTTATGCCAGATTTATGCCAGGTTTATGCTAGGTTTATACTAGGTTTATGCCAGGTTTATACCAGGTTTATGCCAGGTTTATGCCAAGTTTATGCCAGGTTTATACCAGGTTTATGCCAGGTTTATGCCAGGTTTATGCCAGGTTTATGCCAGGTTTATACCAGGTTTATGCCAGGTTTATGCTAGGTTTATGCCAGGTTTATGCCAGGTTTATGCCAGGTTTATGCCAGGTTTATACCAGGTTTATGCCAGGTTTATGCCAGGTTTATGCCAGGTTTATGCCAGGATTATGCCAGGTTTTTGCCAGGTTTATGCCAGGATTATGCCAGGTTTATGCCAAGTTTATGTCAGGTTTATGCCAGGTTTATGCTAGGTTTATGTCAGGTTTATGCCAGGTTTATGCCAGGTTTATGCCAGGTTTATACCAGGTTTATACCAGGCTTATACCAGGTTTATACCAGGTTTATGCCAGGTTTATACCAGGTTTATGCCAGGTTTATGCCAGGTTGAAACCGGATATGGATGCAAATATTTTTGAGAGTGACGAATATAGACATTGACAATATTAGTGGTAAAAATAGACATTCATGACATCAGTAAAAAATAGATATTGACGATAGCAGTGAAAAAAGATATTCCTGACGGTAGTAGAAAATAGACATTGAAAATAGCAGTGAAAATTGATGTTGACGATAGCAATCATATATATAATTTTAACTGCATTGAAAATAAATATTTACGATATGCCTACTTGTAATACATTGATGAAATTAACCAAGGTAGAGCTTTACAAGAGCACTGAACAATAACAATATTATACAATACTGAAAATAGACTTTTATGACAAACGCAAAACACACACACACGCACACACACACATACACACAAATATGTATGTATATATATATATATATATATATATATATATATATATATATATATATATATATATATATATATATATACATTGTGTACAAGAAACAAACCCTACTTCGTCACACAACATTGTCCTATCATCTCATTTAAACATAGTCAGTCCCAACAATTGTGTAGTGTGTAGCAAGTCTCCCAAAGATCGTGTAGTGTGTAGCTACAACGAGTGTCTTGTGTGTTGTTTCAGGGCAGCCAAACGACACACGATCTTAAACGAGTTCGACTACCCGACAGAGGGCTTTCAATTCCTGCTGGACAATGTCCAGTGTTCGGGCAACGAGACCTCGCTCAAGGACTGCAAGAAGGAAGCGTGGAGGACACACGACTGCCGGAGCTATGAGATAGCCGGGGTCGAGTGTAAAACATCCAAAGGTAACTTTTGCTTTAAATTATCGCTCAAGTAGAACATCCAAAGGTAACTTTTGCTTTAAATTATCACTCAAGTAAAACATCCAAAGGTAACTTTTGCTTTAAATTATCACTCAAGTAAAACATCCAAAGGTAACTTTTGCTTTAAATTATCACTCAAGTAAAACATCCAAAGGTAACTTTTGCTTTAAATTATCACTCAAGTAAAACATCCAAAGGTAACTTTTGCTTTAAATTATCACTCAAGTAAAACATCCAAAGGTAACTTTTGCTTTAAATTATCACTCAAGTAAAACATCCAAAGGTAACTTTTGCTTTAAATTATCACTCAAGTAAAACATCCAAAGGTAACTTTTGCTTTAAATTATCACTCAAGTAAAACATCCAAAGGTAACTTTTGCTTTAAATTATCACTGAAGTAAAACATCCAAAGGTAACTTTTGCTTTAAATTATCACTCAAGTAAAACATCCAAAGGTAACTTTTGCTTTAAATTATCACTGAAGTAGAACATCCAAAGGTAACTTTTGCTTTAAATTATCACTCAAGTAAAACATCCAAAGGTAACTTTTGCTTTAAATTATCTCTCAAGTAAATCATCCAAAGTACAAGGCACGTCTAGGATGTGTATCGCTTCTTACTAAGTCGTTTTGAGTCTAGTTCGCAGTTGAGGTAATTTCCGAGTCTAGTGCGTTTCAGATAAGTTTTCCTTCAGCCTTCGTATCCCTTGTTTCCATAGTGTCGCCGCGTCTCATATTGAGATGATACGCCACTAAATCCAGGCAGTGTCTCTTCCAGACTTTTTTCTCCGGGGAGCATTTGATATTTCTGGGGGGTGGGGGGGGGGGGGAACGGTCACATTTTCCGGGGGCGGGGGGAGCGGACACAGGTAAAAGTATATGTTTTCTATATAAAATTCAATGTCATTTGGGGGGGGGGGGGGGATGGTGGTAGACTTTCTTCGAAGACATGCCAGGAAGAAACACTGAATACCAGGTTATCCTTGCAGTTAAAAATAAATCCAAGGTTGTCCATTTTTTTGTTACAGTTTGTGAACCGAGCCAGTTCAGGTGCAAGAACTCCTTCTGTGTGGAGCCCAGCGATGTCTGTAATGGAAAAGACGATTGTGAGGATAACTCTGACGAAACCAATTGCTCCAGTATGTTTTTTGTTTTCTTTATTTTTAACCCACCCAACTATTTCAACATAACTTTTAGCTGCAAGTAAAAAATGTTTAAGAAAAACAATATGAAGAATGGAGAGGTAGGTTACCCTCGATAAATTACGACCCTGTGTTATTCGCAAAAACTCCGAAAATAAAGTTAGTAATGGAAAGTTAGATGGGTTTAAAATTTTATTACGAGAAGGGCGTTAAGAAAGTGTGATGCATGCTTTAAAAAGTAAGTTTTAAACCAATATTCTAGAATTTTTTTTCGCATTTTAAAGACGTTTTGCGAATTGTCATAAAAAATCTACGAATATATACCTAATTTTGGTCCAGTTTTATTTTAAATCTACTACTTTAAATGAAATTCTTTCATGTAATTTTTGAAACGGTGGAATCTTGCAGTGCCAGAGATACAAGTCCGGCTGGTCAACGGGAGCGACATCTGGGAGGGGAGGGTGGAGATTGTCAGGAATGGGCTGGCTGGAACCGTGTGTGATGACCACTGGGACGACAAGGATGCTCAAGTTCTTTGTAGGATGTTGGGATACAGGTAAGTGGTGGGATAAATGGGATACAGGTAAGTGGTGGAATAAATGGGATAAAGTAAATGGTGGGATACATGGAATACAGGGAAGTGGTGGGATAAATGGGATACGGTGGGATACATGGGACACATGTAAGTGGTGGGATACATGGGATACAGGTAAGTGGTGGTATAAATGGGATACAGGTAAGTGGTGGGATACATGGGGTACAGGTAAGTGGTGGTATAAATGGGATACAGGTAAGTGGTGGGATACATGGGATACACGTAAGTGGTGGGATACATGGGATACAGGTAAATGGTGGGATAAATGGGATACAGGTAAGTGGTGGGATACATGGGATATAGGAGATTGCGGGGTTTAAGATAAATGCTGGAATACAGGTAAATATTTGATATAGGTAAATTTTGGGATATAGGTAACCTTTGGGTTAGAACTAAATGTTGGGTAAAAGTTGAATGTTAAGATATAAGAAGGTGATGGGATAGAGATTCAGATAAATGTTGGATTAGAACTAAATGTTGGGATACAGGCTAATGTTGGGACATAGGATAATGTTGGGATACAGGTAAGGGGTGAAATATAGGTAAATTTTGGGATAAAGGTAAATACTGGGATACATGTGAATGGTGAGATATAAGCTAATGCTGCGATTAGGGTAAATTATGGGATAGATCCAGCGATAAATGTTATGAGATAATCAAATCGCTTGAACATTTAATTATTTTGGTTATATATATATATATATATATATATATATATATATATATATATATATATATATATATATATATATATATATATTTGAAGGCACGGAGGTGAAGCAAAGTTGAATGGTTACTACGGACGCGGACAAGGTCCAATATGGCTGGACGATGTCAGATGTTCAGGCACCGAGCTATCCCTGTCCAACTGTTCCCACGCAGGGTGGGGGCGGGCAGACTGTGAGCACAGGGAGGACGCGGGGGTCCGGTGTCACCTGACCTCCGGGCTGACGTCCAGGCGATCTATAACCCACACCCCGACGACGAAAGCGATACCGAGTGCGCCGACGACTTTACCGCCGAGTGATAGTGAGTGTATTTTCTTCTGACTAATTGTGTTTTCTTTTGACTTTTGAATTTAATTATGTAATATTTTCTTCTGACTAATTTCATTGTGTAATATTTTCTTCTGACTAATTTAATTTTGTAATATTTTCTTCTGACTAATTTAATTTTGTAATATTTTCTTCTGACTAATTTAATTGTGTAATATTTTCTTCTGACTAATTGTGTAATATTTTCTTCTGACTAATTTTATTGTGTAATATTTTCTTCTGACTAATTTAATTGTGTGATATTTTCATCTGACTAATTGTGTAAAATTTTTTCTGACTAGTTGTGTAATATTTTCTTTTGGTCTAATTGTGTAATATTTTCTTTTTGACTAATTGTGTAATATTTTCTTTTTGACTAATTGTTTAATATTTTCTTTTTGACTAATTGTGTAATATTTTCTTTCTGACTAATTGTGTAATATTTTCTTTTTGACTAATTGTGTAATATTTTCTTCTGGATAATTATGTAATATTTTTTTTGGTCTAATTATCTAATATTTTCTGCTGTCTGGATGTTTATTTTGTGTTTCACGCATATTAGCGACATGCCACACGGTTTATCTACATTTCCACTAATTTTAGCCGTATTGCCACGGGTTTTAACCCCATTGCCACACGTCTTAGCCACATTGACACACATAAAAACCACATGACCACATATTTTTCTCAAATTTCCACACGTTTTAGCCCCATTGCCACGGGTTTATCCACATTACCACACATTTTAACCACATTGCCATACTTGTAAACCGTGGACCTTTCCTACAGCTATCACCGTCAGACTTGTGGGAGGTTCGAAACCATCTGAGGGCAACGTGGAGCTGCTCGTCCATGGCAAGATTTTCCGTGTCTGTGACGACAACTGGGACGTCAACGACTGTCGTGTCGTCTGCAGGATGCTGGGATACACGTACGTCACCATACGACAGCACACACGTCTGTGGCCACGCCTATCACGTGGTCTTGTTGAGTCCACTCAGCTCTGATGGGTACCCGACTCACATTGGGGAAAGTAAAAGCCGAGGTCTCGAGTTCGGATTTCGGGCTCGTGTCCGTATGACGACACTGAGCCCACTCAGCTCTGATGGGTACCCGACTCACGTTGGGGAAAGTTAAGGCTGAGCTCATTGTAAAAAAGGTGAACTCTGTTTCACCTGTCCCAAGGACCGTGAGGTTCCAAAGTGTAAGATATGCATGGTAGACCTTTCCAAAGTCTCGAGTTCGGATTTCGGGCTCGTCACTGAGTCCACCCAGCTCTGATGGGTACCTAACTCACGTTAGGAAGAGTAAAGGTGGCTGGTCATAGTGCTGGCCACGCTATCCCTTCATGTAATGAGGACATAGTCTACTTCGCCTGCCCCCGTGAGCCATAATTTTTTTTAAAAAGTATTATAGATTTGGTTCAGCTTTTTAAAAATAAAACTTACGATAAAAAACAAAAAACAAACAAACAAACAACTAGCATTATACAGCATCCTTTGTGGTTGAATTGTATTTTTAAATAAAATTTTACGCAGTATACCACTCTGCAAATCTTTGAAAAACAATTTAACCCACTCCCCGTTGTCCGATTGAGCTAAAATTCGCCACAGTGATAGATCTCTGGTGACAATACAAGAATATCTTACTTTAATTTTCAATCAAATTAAACTCTTTTATTTTTTAATATCCTCGTTTTCAGAAACGGCGGTCACCCGACGAAGGAATCATTTTACCCCGATTCCAAAACGGTGCCCATCCTGCTGGATGAGGTGGACTGTGTTGGCACCGAGCAGAGTCTGGAGATGTGCATGGCCAACAGCCTAGAGCACGACTGCACCAACAAGGAGTATGCGGGGGTGGTGTGTAGGGACAACACAGAGACATCGTCAGCTGGTTGGTATACATGGGGGCGGGGCGTGCCGAGTTTTTTTTTACATGGGGGCGGGGCGTGCCCGAGTTTTTTTTATGCATGGGGGCGGGGCGTGCCCGAGTTTTTTTATACGTTGGGGCGGAGCGTATTCACTACACATGGGGCGGAGCTAGTTCATCCCTACACAAGGGTCGGAGCCTATCTATCACTAAACATGGGGCTTAGCCTGACCATCACAACATATTAGGCGGAGCCTCACCATTACTAAACATGAGGCGGAGCCTATCGATCACTAAACATGGGGCGGAGCCTGACCATCACTACACATGGGGCGGAGCCTATCCATCACTAAACATGGGGTGGAGCTTCTCCATCACTAAACATGGGGCGGAACTTGTCCATCACTAAACATGGGGCGGAGCCTATTTATCACTAAACATGGGGTGGAGCTTGTCCATCACTAAACATGGGGCGGAGCCTATTCATCACTACACATGGGGCGGAGCTTGTTCATCATTACACAAGGGGCGGAGCCTATCACTAAACATGGGGTGGAGCTTGTCCATCACTAAACATGGGACGGAGCTTGTCCATCACTAAACATGGGGCGGAGCCTATTTATCACTAAACATGGGGTGGAGCTTGTCCATCACTAAACATGGGACGGAGCTTGTCCATCACTGTGGTGTTGTTCAACGGTTGAAAGTGATGTAGCTAGCTAGAGGAATGCGGGTGAAGCGGCCGCCTTGGATGCCGACCCAAGGGGGGGGGGGTCGAAAAAAAGTTTACAAAAATATATAAAAAGCGACAAGTTATCATACACATTTTTTTCGGAGGAGGCGCAAAACGTCATAGTTCGCCCCGGGCGCCAGAATGAGTCGCTTCCATCCGCCTGTTGAGGGTGTTACATAAGCCAATAGGATGTCACCAAGAACAGTATTTCCTAAACAAAATTCTTAGCATCTTGTAGTCGTCTGTATAGAAGCAGTATCGCGCCGTTAAACACAAGGACTATGTTTTGTGCTGGATACTTGAGCGGCAAACACAACATTTTCATTTGTTAACATTTATTTTCTGGTAGTCTTTGAGAGAAAAAAAATGGGTTTAGCACTATATGAGCTTTGTACAATAATCTTGTATATAAACTCACAAACATCGGGGTCATAAAAGTTCAAGGTAAAGTATAATATAGTAAAGGTAAACTGTTTATTTAAGCTTGAATAAAGTCATTGAAAACTCCACAATTGTGTTGAGGGTGAACGTCACACATCTGTTAATTAGAACTTGATTAACGTCAATGACAACTCCACAGGTGCGCTGACGTGTGGCGGCCGACCGTTTGACCACAAGGACGTCTTCAACCACTCACGTGTGGCACGCGACACCAGCCACGCCCACCCACACTGGGCCACCAAGATCATCGCGGGCCGGATCGCCATGCACGGGGCCATCCCCTGGCAGGCCAAGCTGAACCTCGTGTTCAGCCCCACCCACATCGGACACCAGTGTGGGGGAGTCGTCTTCAGTGAGCACTGGGTACTCACGGCTGCGCACTGCGTCACGTGAGTTGTTCTTCGCTCGTTTTAGTTCCTGGGGGTTAACCTCTTTTAGTTCCTGGGGGTTAAACCTGTTTTAGTTCATGGGGTTTAAACTTCTTTTAGTTCCTGGGGGTTAAACCTGTTTTAGTTCCTGGGGGTTAAACTTCTTTTAGTTCCTGGGGGTTAAACTTCTTTTAGTTCCTGGGGGTTAAACTTCTTTTAGTTCCTGGGGGTTAAACTTCTTTTAGTTCCTGGGGGTTAAACTTCTTTTAGTTCCTGGGGGTTAAACTTCTTTTAGTTCCTGGGGGTTAAACTTCTTTTAGTTCCTTGGGGTTAACCTCTTTTAGTTCCTGGGGGTTACACTTCTTTTAGTTCCTGGGGGTTAAACTTCTTTTAGTTCCTGGGGGTTAAACTTCTTTTAGTTCCTGGGGGTTAAACCTCATTCATTTTAGTTCATTGAGGCTTAACCTCCTTTAGTTTCTGGGGGTTAACCTCTTTTTATTCCTGGAGTTTGAACCTCATTCGTTTTAAGTCTTGGGAGGGGGGTATTATTCATTCGTTTTCTTTAGGTGGGGGGAGGGGGGTATTTTTCATTCGTTTTCGTCACGGAGGTGTGTGTGGGGGGGGGGGAGGGGTTATTCTTCATTCATTTTAGTTCTCCATTAATTTTTCCGTACGGGAATATACTTAGACTGTGTTTTTAGCGCACAACTAACCACGCTTTTCGTGGTTTGAAGTTACAACTAAAACTGTTTATTCCAATCGTGTTTGATACATGTAGACGTTTGATTAGCCATTTCGGCTTGACGGGCAAACAGTGCAGATGAAATAGACCTCAATCGCTTTTATGACCTGGCCTAGAAAGGGATAGTGTGAATCAGGCGTAGGCAAGGGGGTGTTGTGTGTGTGTGTGTGGGGGGGGGGGGGGGTTATAACCCCTCACATGCACCCATATATATGTATATATATATATATATATATATATATATATATATATATATATATATATATATATATATATATATATATATATATATATATATAATTTTATACATATGGACAAAAATGAACCCCTCCCATGACCAATTCCTGGCTACGCCACTGGTGTGATCAGTTCAATTTCGAAGCTGCTTTTACTTTACTTAACGAGTACCCATTAGAGCTGGACGGACGAAGAAAATGACCTCGATCTCATGTCCAGGGGAACCCAGTTACTATCTCTACCATATGACTACGTCGTTCCATTTGCTGTATTAGACCCTGCCAAAAACATTTGCTGTATTAGACCTTGCCAAAAACATTTGCTGTATTAGACCCTGCCTAAAACGTTTGCTGTATTAGACCCTGCCAAAAAACATTTGCTGTATTAGACCTTGCCAAAAACATTTGCTGTATTAGACCCTGCCTAAAACATTTGCTGTATTAGACCTTGCCAAAAACATTTGCTGTATTAGACCTTGCCAAAACATTTGCTCTATTGGACCTTGCCAAAAACATTTGCTGTATTAGACCTTGCCTAAAACATTTGCTGTATTAGACCTTGCCAAAAACATTTGCTGTATTAGACCTTGACTAAAACATTTGCTGTATTAGACCTTGCCAAAAACATTTGCTGTATTAGACCTTGCCAAAACATTTGCTCTATTGGACCTTGCCAAAAACATTTGCTGTATTAGACCTTGCCAAAACATTTGCTGTATTGGACCTTGCCAAAAACATTTGCTGTATTAGACCTTGCCTAAAACATTTGCTGTATTAGACCTTGCCTAAAACATTTGCCGTATTAGACCTTGCCTAAAACATTTGCTATATTAGACCTTGCCAAAAACATTTGCTGTATTAGACCTTGCCAAAAACATTTGCTATATTAGACCTTGCCTAAAACATTTGCTGCGGAAAAGAAACTGCATGTCCTTTGATATATTTATTGAATGGATTTTTTTGTCTGCATATAGAATTATACGGAATTATACGGAAGACATATTTCCGTCATTGAATTGTTTTTTTTCCTCTGTATACAGAGGTAGACGGAAATCACATTTCCGTTTATCAGTTGGTGAACACAGCGGCAAGAAAACCGATGTGGGGGAGCAGACATTTCAATTAGATAACATCATTATGCACCAGAATTATGCTGGTAGGTCAATGTGCGTTTTTCCTTTCATGTCTGTCTATATTCAACCAATCATTATATATATATATATATATATATATATATATATATATACACTTATATATATATATATACACAGAATTTAGCAATATTCTTTAAGTCAACTTAGCGTACAAACTTATATCTCAATGTACTCTCTTGGGAGCAATGTGCAATTAACGTACGTTTTTTTCTTCTTCTACCCGTACGCACTACGGGTTCAAGAGCTAGTTCTATAAATTAATAACGTTCACTTACCTCCCTCAGCGAAAAACAACGACATCGCCCTGCTCAAAGTGAAACCAATCAACGGACGAGGGATACAGTTCAACGATTTCGTCCAGCCCGCCTGTTTACCTGGGCCGGAGACCGAGTACATCGAGGGAACCACCTGTATCATCTCAGGCTGGGGGAACATGGAACGGTCAGGTAAAGTTGTCACGTGATGTGGTCAGCCAACACATTCTTTGTTTTGTTTTTGTATTTGTTTGGTGTTTTCACCCTATATGCACGCTCAACAACGTTCGTGTCTCAGTTGTGGGTTGTTTTTTTAAAAATTGCATTGTCATTTTGTTTTCTTTGGGTAACTTTTGTAGCTCAAAGGGCAGTGTCAATAATTTGTCTGTCCCCATTTGGAACTAAAATGAGTGAATAATACACCCCCCCCCCTGGAGCTATAATGAGTGAATAATACCCCCCCCCCACAGGAACTATAATGAGTGAATAATCCCCCAGGAACTATAATGAGTGAATAATACCCCCCCCCCCCGAAGCTATAATGAGTGAATAATAACCCCCCCCCCCCAGGAGCTAGGGCCTATAGTGAGTAAATAATACCTCCTCCCTCAAGAACTAAAATGAGTGAATAATTCTCCCACCCTCAGGAACTATAATGAGTGAATAATAACCCCCTAGGAACGATAATGAGTGAATAATCACCCCCCCCCCAGGAACTATAATGAGTGAAGAATAACCCACCCCGAAAAAACCCACCTATTGATTTATCGTCTTGTCTATTTTCTGTTACAGTCAGTAACTCTGTTTTAAGTTATCGTTTCAGTTTCACGTATCCGATTCGGTGATAGTAAAAAGTATTGTACCTGGAGTAATTTATATAATACGCTTATTTCAGAGAGACGGCACCTAAAACATAGCCAAGCTTTGCTTTAGTCTATTAGACTATGGAGCCATATTATTGATTTTTTTTATATAAAATATTCAGATGATTGTATTGTCTCGATTGTTTTTCTTCTGTAGAGCTCTATACGAGTTATCCGTAGCCATTTTATTGTTTTTTTAGTAAAAAATTGAGATGATTGTATTGCCTCGATTATTTTTCTTCTGTAGAGCTCTACACGAGTTACCCGTAGCCATTTTATTGTTTTTTTAGTAAAATATTGAGATGATTGTATTGCCTTGATTGTTTTTCTTCTGTAGAGTTCTACACGAGTTACCCGGACTTATTGAAGGAAGCAGACGTTCCAATAATGTCAGATCGAACTTGTAGTCGTCTGTATAGAAGCAGTATCGCGCCCTTAAACACAAGGACTATGTTTTGTGCTGGATACTTGAGCGGCAAGATGGACTCATGTGCCGGGGACAGTGGCGGTCCTTTAGTTTGTCGTTTAGATGGTGAGTAGAGCAGGGATTAGTGGAGGTCCTCTAGTTTGTTGTATAGATGGTGAGTAGATTAAGGATTAGTGGAGGTCCTTTAGTTTGTCGTATAGATGGTGAGTAGATTAAGGATTAGTGGAGGTCCTTTAGTTTGTCGTATAGATGGTGAGTACAGCAGGGACTAGTGGCGGTCATTTAGTTTGTCGTATAGATGGTGAGTAGATTAAGGATTATTGGAGGTCCTTTAGTTTGTCGTATAGATGGTGAGTAGATTAAGGATTAGTGGAGGTCCTTTAGTTTGTCGTATAGATGGTGAGTAGATTAAGGATTAGTGGAGGTCCTTTAGTTTGTCGTATAGATGGTGAGTAGATTAAGGATTAGTGGAGGTCCTTTAGTTTGTCGTATAGATGGTGAGTACAGCAGGGACTAGTGGCGGTCATTTAGTTTGTCGTATAGATGGTGAGTAGATTAAGGATGATTGGAGGTCCTTTAGTTTGTCGTATAGATGGTGAGTAGAGCAGGGATTAGTGGAGGTCCTTTAGTTTGTCGTATAGATGGTGAGTAGATCAGGGATTAGTGGAGGTCCTTTAGTTTGTCGTATAGATGGTGAGTAGAGCAGGGATTAGTGGAGGTCCTTTAGTTTGTCGTATAGATGGTGAGTAGATTAAGGATTAGATTAGTGGAGGTCCTTTAGTTTGTCGTATAGATGGTGAGTAGATTAAGGATTAGATTAGTGGAGGTCCTTTAGTTTGTCGTGTAGATGGTGAGTAGATTAAGGATTAGTGGAGGTCCTTTAGTTTGTCGTATAGATGGTGAGTAGATTAAGGATTAGATTAGTGGAGGTCCTTTAGTTTGTCGTATAGATGGTGAGTAGAGCAGGGATTAGTGGAGGTCCTTTAGTTTGTCGTATAGATGGTGAGTAGATTAAGGATTAGATTAGTGGAGGTCCTTTAGTTTGTAGTATAGATGGTGAGTAGATTAAGGATTAGATTAGTGGAGGTCTTTTAGTTTGTCGTATAGATGGTGAGTAGATCAGGGATTAGTGGAGGTCCTTTAGTTTGTCGTATTGATGGTGAGTAGATTAAGGATTAGATTAGTGGAGGTCCTTTAGTTTGTCGTATAGATGGTGAGTAGATTAAGGATTAGATTAGTGGAGGTCCTTTAGTTTGTCGTATAGATGGTGAGTAGATCAGGGATTAGTGGAGGTCCTTTAGTTTGTAGTATAGATGGTGAGTAGATTTAGGATTAGTGGAGGTCCTTTAGTTTGTCGTATAGATGGTGAGTAGATTTAGGATTAGTGGAGGTCCTTTAGTTTGTCGTTTAGATGGTGAGTAGAGCAGGGATTAGTGGAGGTCTTTTAGTTTGTCGTATAGATGGTGAGTAGATTAAGGATTAGTGGAGGTCCTTTAGTTTGTTGTATAGATGGTGAGTAGAGCAGGGATTAGTGGAGGTCCTCTAGTTTGTCGTTTAGATGGTGAGTAGAGCAGGGATTAGGTTAGTGGCGGTCCTTTAGTTTTGTCGTATAGATGGTGAGTAGATTAAGGATTAGTGGAGGTCCTTTAGTTTGTCGTATAGATGGTGAGTAGATTAAGGATTAGTGGAGGTCCTTTAGTTTGTCGTATAGATGGTGAGTAGAGCAGGGATTAGTGGAGGTCCTCTAGTTTGTCGTTTAGATGGTGAGTAGAGCAGGGATTAGTGGAGGTCATTTAGTGTGTTATATAAATGGTGAGTAGATGAGGGATAATTTGTCCAGATTAGGGTAGATCAGGGCATTACCCCTCCATTCATTTCCCCACGGACATCCCCTTGTCATTTACCCCCCCCCCTCCCAGTCATAGCTTAAGGTACAATTAGGGCTATGGCTAGAGCTAGGGCTAGGTTAATGTCTAGGTTTGGGGTTGGTTAAGTTTATCGTCAGGACTCTTGAGGTAGTGTGAAGGGGGGTAATTACCCACAGGGGTTATTGACGATGGGGTAGGGGTAATGACCTAGGCCCGACGGTCACTATACATGGCATTCTACCCACAGGCGTCTACACAGTATTAGGCTTGACCTCCTGGGGCAACGGGTGCGGACAGCCCAACTCCCCAGGTGTTTATGTCAGGCTGAAGGAATTCATCCCCTGGATTCTCTCTACAATCCAAGCCCACAGCAGTGACAGCCAACAGAAAGAACTTCCCAAAAATCCGTGATCGAACATCTGATGAAATATTTTTTTCCTCTTCTAATTTTGAATATAACAAGACACATTTCTGAAGTATGTGATTGTTACATACTCACAAATATATGCAGCTTTGAAACTTGAGTGCTTTAAATGTGAATAAATACACTACGATTTATGTTAACTAGCTTTTTTTATATCAGTCAATTTGTTTGTGTCTTTGTTGTATGTATATCTATAAGAAAATCGAGTGCATAGTGTTGTTAGTACTATGCCAAGCCGCATTAGTTTCCTTAATGTGGGTCAGGTACCCATTAGAGCTGGGTGGACTCAGGGAAGACCTACAGTATCGAACCCGGGATCCGAACACGAGACTTTTGGGTCAGCAGTCGGAAGCTCTACCAATCGACCACACTGTTTCCGAGCTCTGATTTAATCTTCTTCTTCTCCGTTCTAAATTCTAGTGTTGGGAGGGTTACACCCCCCCCCCCCCTCAACACAATTAAGAATTACGCCCCATATAACTCTCCGATAGACTCCGATTCCAGCCTGCTTTTCTATTTTTTGTCCATCCAAGAACAAACTACAAGACATCATTTGCTTGATTTTGGAGTTGTCTCTCCTAGAAGAGTTTGCTGTCCCCAACTAACGAGCCTCATCTGCCTAGGGGTTCAAACTCGGGACTTTCCGGCTCAGCAACCATCAGCTTAACCCACCCGACCACCCGAAACCTCTCTGTTTATTCAAAATGTTTATTAAGTGTCTTAAATTATTTAGCAGTAAAATAGTTTTTACTAAACTATTCAGGAAGAGACGGTACTTTTTAGTACCGTCATAGGGCAGAGGTCGACAACGAAAGAGGTAGTTTACAGTGTCTGGCATTAAGATTAGAAATTTACCACCAGTGAAAGGGTTAAGAAAACATACACACGTCGATGTTTATGTATGTTGTCTCCATAGATATGAACACACATGTAGGCCTACTAGTTTGTACTCTTTATCGTTACAGGCGTTACACTGGTACACATCGTGTACATTGTATATTTTTGGGTAGTAAAGTAAAAAGTAAAGGCTATCTATAGAGCCTTACGGTGCCTTACGGGCCATGGTGCTGGTGAAGTAGAGTTCTCTTGTTCAGTGATCTCCTGCATATGAAGGGTTAGTGTAACACCTTTGGTAAAAAAAAAATAAAAAAAAAAAGAAACGCTCCTGTTTTAGACCTAACTATCCATAGGTCAGATATGGTTCACATGTTTCTTGACCTCGGCAAATATATATATATATATATATATATATATATATATATATATATATATATATATATATATATATATATATATATATGTGTGTGTGTGTGTGTAAAAACAACAACATGACAATGCATCGAAGACATTGTAGCCTTGACATTCTTGTTCCCTTGTGACCTTACCCTGACCTAACTTACCGCCACACACGTGACACAAATCATCTGCCAATTGTGTTTTATTACTTTTATCGAGCGTTGAGCGGCCCAAATAAATTTACTTAAAACGGTGGGGGAGGGGTGTGGGGGGAGTGTGTTTTCCCAATACGTGACCTGCACTTTGATGAGTCTTACTGAGAAGATTTATTGTTTTCGTTTCAAAACAGCAACACAGCATTAGTAAATTATTGAATGTAAGAGACACATTAAAAAACGGGAGTTATCTCCCCTAAACTTTCTCGTGTATTTTTATATATCCTTAAGGAAGATGGCACTCCCAGTGCTCGGGATATAGAAATGTTTATATTTTTTATATTTTTTTTTAGTACTTAAAAAAGAATAGCGCACCAAATGCCAAAATGAACGCATACGGTAGTGTATAATAGCGCGGAAAATTAATACTTTTCAAAAGAAATATTGATTAATTTACAAAAAAATTAATTAAACATCTAATTAAGTCACATTTTATTTCACAGTTCATTGTCATTGAGTCTTTGCCTACATGGAAAGTTTGAAACAAAATGGTAGAGTAGTAGTGATCTTTTTTGAGAAATTGGAATTACCGTAAAGTACTCCTTCCCTTCTCTGGAGATCACTAAAAAATGTGACACATTCAAAATAATAAGATTTGATATCTATGTATAAAATTTCTTTCACCTAAATCTCATTTCTTCTTAATTTTAGTGTTGGAAGGGATCTCCTTCCAACACAATTAAGGATGCGTCTCAACTGGTTATGCACCATTGATGACATTGACTCCGATTTCAGCCTGCTTTTCTTTTTGGATTTGCTTCCATAGCTTTTGTCCAACCAAGAACAAACTACAAGACAGCAGTTGTTTGATTTTGGAGTTGTCTCTGCTAGAAGAGTGGCTGTCCCCAGCTAACGAGCCTCGTCTGCCCGAGGGTTCGAACTCGAGACTTCTCGGTTTAGCAACCTTAAGCTTTACCGACTCCACCTCGCCGACCCCTTTTCACCTAAATGAAATGGTACTTACGTTATCGGTTGATTGTATTGGTTGATTAGTACTGTGAGTAGATGAATAGTTTGATTTGTACTGTGATTAGATGAATAGTTTGATTTGTACTGTGATTAGATGAATAGTTTGATTTGTACTGTGATTAGATGAATAGTTTGATTTGTACTGTGATTAGATGAATAGTTTGATTTGTACTGTGATTAGATGAATAGTTTGATTTGTACTGTGATTAGATGAATAGTTTGATTTGTACTGTGATTAGATGAATAGTTTGATTAGTACTGTGATTAGATGAATAGTTTGATTTGTACTGTGATTAGATGAATAGTTTGATTTGTACTGTGATTAGATGAATAGTTTGATTTGTACTGTGATTAGATGAATAGTTTGATTTGTACTGTGATTAGATGAATAGTTTGATTTGTACTGTGATTAGATGAATAGTTTGATTTGTACTGTGATTAGATGAATAGTTTGATTTGTACTGTGATTAGATGAATAGTTTGATTTGTACTGTGATTAAACCCATTGTTTTTTTAGTATGATCAAATACAGTTTTGCTTCAAATGTCATTGCTAGAACTCATAAAATAACAGCTTTTTTAAAAACAATAGCTACAAACCTTTTAGGGGTAGGGATCTACTTTTAAAGTTTGAGATCTGCTGTCTGTTACCTGCAACAAGTTCCCACACTGTTAAATTAATTTATGCACACATGGGCGGAGCTTGAGTCAGCTGTCAATACACCTGGCAGTGGCACGATCTGCAGACACGAGTTCCCATACGACGTGATTCAAACACATCGGCTGGTGTTAGAGTCGATGTTAAAGTCGATGGTCAAGTCGATGGTCAAGTCGATGTTGCAGTCGATGCTAGTGTTGATTCAGCCAGGTATGATGAAACCACAGAAGATGTTGACATCACTTGTGAGCTGTACCCTCATCTTTACCACTGTCATGTCTAGAGTCTCTTCAGCACCCAGTTTTCATCAGGTTAAATTTTATCTTTCCGTGTTTACATTTTGTTTTATTCCAATGTATTAGGTACCATAGATTGTATAATAACTTAAGTACCATTATATGCGTACTGTATATAGGCTACTTTATTCTAGTTTTATTAAATCTGACATAGTTTATGGGTGTCTTAGATTTAATCGAGAGAGTGAGACATACATTTTTTTTTAAACACAGTCTTTTGATTTAGATGTTAATGGACCAAACCGAGAATATAGTCTCAAAGGTATTCGAGAGGCCATTAAAAAGTAAAGTTTCCCTTTCATACCTGACGGTATATGGGGCAAGTGTAGTAGAGTACACTTGTTTCTGTGACCTCGGCATATGAAGAGATAGTTTGGTCAGCACTATGCCCAGCCGCTTTTACTTTCCCTAACGTGAGTTAGGTACCCATCAGATGTTGGGTGGACTCAGGAACGGTCTACTGACTTGAACCCGTTTTCGAATAGAGTCCTTTCATATGACGTCACGTCCGTTCGTGATACCTACGCCCGCCGCCACAGTGGTGTACACCAGATGTAAACACAATCAGCTGTTCGCCAGCGCTGGACGTGTTCACCAGCTCTGGACGCGTTCACTGTATGTAAAGAACCGCACCCGCGGAAAAGGGAAAATACGTTAAAAAACTTGAGCTCTTAGGAATTGAAGATCCTTATACTGTTACTGACAGTTTCGTATAAATAAATATGTGAACAAAATTTCTAAATAAAAATACTGTTAGTAATACTGTTTGCGTTCAGAGTTAAAGTAGCGGAATCTGATCAAATGCAGTTCTCGATACTTTGTTTCAGGTAAGGACAGTAAAATAATAAACTTCATTTTAATTATAAAAGATAACTATTAATAAAACAAATATGCTTGACCTTCACAAATACTAATAGTAAAAGACAAAGTCAAAAGTAATAGGCTAATAAGAATAATAAGATCTAATAGTAGGCCTAATACCTGGCTCCGCTGGGTAGACATAGAATCTAGAATCTACTTCTTTACTTAAATTTAATTACTTTAGATCTACATTCGATTCAAAATACACCCATAATAAATCAAAAGTAGTCATAGTAGGCCTAATAAAGCATTTAATTGTCTCTAAGATCTAAAATCTCGCTCTATTATCTAATCATTTTTTTAGCAAACGAAATTTTCTGAAATTGAAATAGATTATATGACTAGACTTAGATCTAGAATCTGCTACTTAAATTAAATTGTAAAAACTTTATACAAGCATGTAGTTGATATTATTGTAGTAGAAGGCTTTAATAAATTACTAAGGCCTACCTACTTTGTTGTCTTTTTACAGCAATATGTATCTGATACTGGACTGAGTTTAATTAAATTCAAATTCATATCTAGTAATTGGTCTACCAAGTTTTTGTAGCCTAGTAGTACAATCTAGATCATACCAGCCAACAACAAATAACCACATTATTATTATTTGGTTAATGATTAGGCTAATTTTTTTTAAATCCACTGTTTATAAAAGAAACAAATCAAGCTAGAAACATAAGTGAGATGGTTTAGAATAATAACAATGGACCCAGTCTACAATTGATACAATTGCAGGTCTACATAGGGCCTACAGTCTAGTAGTTTACAGTAGGCACCTAGTGTGTAGCTAGTATACTAGTGTGTAGCTGTCCAGAGTTAAGATTCTTAATGCTTTCCCCTGATAAGCCATGTGTGCTATAAATGACATAACATGACACCGAGGTGAGAAGTGTTGAGGGGAGAGCAGTGGGACTTTCCCCTTTGTTTTCCCTGCTGGGCCCTGAGGGTCAAAATTATATAAGAAATACTATCTCTGTGGGGCTGGGTATCACGGAGGTGAGACATTTTCAGGGGAGGGCAGGGCAGACTCCTCTTTGGTTTTATTGTGGGCTAGATACAGGTGGGGGCAGCCACCATGAGGGTTGAACGTCAGTATTAATGTGTCTGATTACTTCCCTGCTGGATTATAAGGGTCTTAAATTGTATAACATGCTACCCAGATTGGTTATTACCCATGGATTATATTAGCCGTTGTAGTGTGGGTTTTGTAGGAGTTAAGTGGTCTCACGTTTGCTACAGTAGATAACCTCTAATATATTACTGCATTTGATCAGCTTCGTCTACTTAAACTCTAAACGCAAACGGTATTACTAACAGTATTTTTATTTAGAAATTTCGGCCACATATTTATATTATCCACGAAACTGTCAATAACTGTATAAGGATCTTCAATTCCTAAGAGTTCAAGTTTTTTAACATATTTTTCCTTTTCCGCGGGCGCGATTCTTTACATACGGTGAACACGTCCAGCGCTGGTGAACACGTCCAGCGCTGGCGAACAGCTGATTGTGTTTACGTCTGATGTACACCACTGTGGCGGCGGGCGTAGGTATCACGTGATTTAGGTCACGTGTTTGCAAGGACTCTATTCGAGACTTACGGCTTAGCCGTCCAGCTTTCTACCGCTAGACCACTCGGTCCCATCGAGAGGCATTAAATATTAAAAAAAAAAAGCATGCGCAGTGTAATTAAAATTAATTTGGTTCTAAAATCCTGACTGTTTTTTTTCGGACTGAGTGTATGTATTTGATGTGTGAGTATTTTCAGTAATTAAACACAATTTAAAAAAAAATGCAAAAGCAATTAGTTTTCACGTGGTGATGGAGACATTAACAATGCAATTCTATATTCTAGGATAAATATTATTTTGCAAAATGTAAACAAAATGGCAGAACTAGGTCATGTGGTTTAAAATAGCATTATGTTATTTAAAATTTTTATCTGCAAAATTTTGTTAACAAATAACAATCGATCACGGAGTTCCTATACAGCTAATCAATGTTTCTCTTACGAAAGTGAAGCATCCGGTTATAACTTAGGCTTGATGAAAATAAATAAGAGTTGTAGCCTTAAACTCAAAAAAATATTTTCAAGTTCATTAAATTTCTGAATTATTTTTAGGCTTAAGTTTTTCATTTTTAAAATTATTTTTACGGCCCCTATGAAGTCAAAATATAAAAAAGAAACGAATTTTATCCGTGTCAATAACATGAGATTCACGTCAACTCGGTGGCCTCTATTGGTCCTCAGAACATTCATGGCGTCACTTACGTACTGACTTAGAAATATACTTAGTTTTTCGTTGTAAGTGCTCTTAGGCTTATATATGGAAATGGGGGTGGGGGCGTGGAAGTCGAAAGTCGTGTACTTGACCCACAACATTTATGGTAGAAGGAAGAATTTATTGAACATAATTAAGTTGCTTTTTTGCTCTAACGATTATTTTTTCTCGAGAAAACGTCACAGTATACGCAAATTAACAAAGTAGGTTGCATGTAATATATATATATATATATATATATATATATATATATATATATATATATATATATATATATATATATATATATATATATATATATATATATATATATATATATATATATATATACAGACACAAACCCCCCACACCCCTCCCCCCTACATCTCTCTCTCTCTCTCTCTCTCTCTCTCTCTCTATATATATATATATATATATATATATATATATATATATATATATATATATATATATATATATATATCGTGAAGCTGTATTATAATAAATTTCAGCAGCACGGGTTTTTGGACTTGAAGGCTTATAGAGGTAAGTTCTTAAAGCGTTCAACTCCTATAGTGTAGAGTTTTAATATGTAGGCATTGGTTGGATTGGAAGCAAATGTTAATCTATTTTCATAAAGTAACGTGTAAGTCGCCAAATGCCGAGATAATGGATAATCAAACCTAGTGATACAGTTTTAAGTATTTGATCATCATCATCATCAATTAGTCGTTTGTGAACATGACACGGATGTCAATCAGTTTCAATGACCTCGGTGTAGTGTAATAAGCATAGTGCCCAGCCGTCGTTGTTTCCGTAACGCGAGTCAGGTACTCCCTGCAGCCGAGTGGACTCAGTCATACGGACTCGACCCAGGGATCCGAACTCGAGACTTTTGAGTTAGCAGTTCTACCATTCAACCACGGCGTCAACTATTTGATGCATGCTATTCAATTGACTGGAAAAAAAACTTAAAAAATGGACAAAAAATTCATTCTTCTTTGCTACGTTTAGAACTGTTTTCCTACTGTAAGTAGAATCAGGACCGTCTTTTAGCTTACAGCATCAGGTTGGTGGGAGGTTCACACCCAGGGGAGGGCAACGTGGAACTGGTCAAGGACGGCAGGGGTTACCGGGTGTGTGACGATAGCTGGGACCTCAACGATTGCCGCGTCGTCTGCCGGATGCTGGGATATACGTACGTTACGAGATTACATTTCCTGTACTTTTAACACTGCTTGACCTTGATAGGGTCTGACTTCAACCCAGAGTGACCTTGACCCAGACTGACCTCAACCCAGACTTACCTTAACCCAGACTGACCTTAACCCAGTCTGACCTTAACCCAGTCTGACCTTAACCCAGACAGGCCTTAACCCAGACTGACCTTAACCCAGACTGACCTTGACCCGGAATGACCTTAACACAGGCTGTCCTTAACACAGATTGACAACCGAGACTGACCTTAATTTAGACAGATCTAACAAAGACTGTCCTTGCTTAGATTAACCATACTCTAACTTAAAAGGAAAGAACATAAACCAAACTGACCTTACTGATGAAAAAACTATACACATATCTAGACAATATGTTCAACATTCTGTAAATGACAACGCCTTGCAAACAGTTTCAGATTTTCCAAAAAAAAATCTAACACAAGATTTCTTTATCTTCAACGCTCGCGGTTCTAGAGACGGGGGCTACCCAACCTCTCAGACATATTTCCCAGACGACATGTCGGTGCCGATTCTGTTGGATGAGGTCCAGTGTGAGGGGACGGAGACTTCTCTGGCGTCATGTAAGATCGGGACATGGAACCACGACTGTACGGGCCAGGAGTTCGCTGGGGTTGTGTGCAGGAATAACTCACTGCCAGAAACAAGTGGTGATACAGGTTGGTGGTGTGTACATACAGGTTGGTGGTGTGTACATACAGGTGGTGCTGCAAATTGGCGGTGTAGACGTACATGTTATTGATGCAGGTAGGTGATGTGTACATGTGGTGATACAGGCTGGTGATGTGTACATACAGGTGGTGATACAGACTGGTGATGTGTACATACAGGTGGTGATACAGGTTGGTGATGTGTACATACAGGGTAGTGATACAGGTTGGTGATGTGTACATACAGGGTAGTGATACAGGTTGGTGATGTGTACATACTGGTGGTGATACAGGTTGGTGATGTGTACATACAGGTGGTGATACAGGTTGGTGATGTGTATGTTGTCATGGGTAACAACAATACATCTGTGTCATCATGGGCGACATCCGCACATCCTAATTATCATGGACAACACCAGTGCAATCATACTAATATGTTAAGTACATATTACACCATAATACGAAATTCTGGTTAAATACTTTATTAGCGTTTGTATTAATTTTTTGTACAACAGGTATTACAACGTGTGGCAACCGACCATTTGACCACAAGGACGTCTTCAACCACACGCGTGTGTCACGCAGTGCCAGCCACATCCACCCACACGGACTTCCGGTGTCCGGGGAGGGGTATCATTCCTCAAAGATTATCGGGGGCCGGGTATCCACCCACGGGTCCGTCCCCTGGCAGGCGAGGCTGAGTCTCGTGTACAGCTCTAACCATGTCTTTCATCGATGTGGTGGGGTCGTCATAGGAGAGCACTGGGTACTCACTGCTGCTCATTGCATCGGGTGAGTTATCTACCCCTGCGTTGAGAGAGTTATCTTTACCTGTTTTTAGTGAGATTTATTTCGTTGTGTTGAGTGTTTTATCTTTCCCTGTGAGTTCACGGAGTTCTCTTTACCTGTGTTGAGTGAGTTATCTGTCCATGTGTTGAGTTATCTTCCCTGTGTTGCATAAGTTATCTTCCCCTGTATTGAGTGAGTTATCTTCCCTTTGTTTTATTCATCTACTAATAATAGGTATTTGACACTTAATCATATTTTCTGTCTATTAGCTATAAACATGAGTCACAGTCAAACTTATCCCTTTCATCTCGTATTTTCTGACTGTTAACGATACACGCGTCACAGTAAAACTTATTCCATTCATCTTCGTAATTTCTGTCTGGAAGCAATGCACATGAGTCACAGTCAAACTGATCCCACTCATCTCGTATTTTACTAATCCCACTCACCTCGTATTTTCTGTCTGTAAGCAATGCACATGAGTCACAGTCAAACTAATCCCACTCATCTGGTATTTTACCTATCCCACTCACCTCGTATTTTACTAATCCCACTCACCTCGTAATTTCTGTCTGTCAGCAATGCACGTGAGTCACAGTTCCGTGTTGTGGTGGGTGACCACAACGTCAAGAAACACGACGAGGGTGAGCAGACATTTGGTGTGGAGAAGATCATCATGCACAAGCGGTACAATAAGAAGAGTAGGTTAACGATTGTGTCGATGTTAGGTTAACGATTGTGTCGATGTTAGGTTAACGATTGTGTCGATGTTAGGTTAACGATTGTGTCGATGTTAGGTTAACGATTGTGTCGATGTTAGGTTAACGATTGTGTCGATGTTAGGTTAACGATTGTGTCGATGTTGTTCTGTAGATAAGAAGAGTAGGTTAACGATTGTGTCGATGTTGTTCTGTAGATAAGAAGAGTAGGTTAACGATTGTGTCGATGTTATTCTGTGATCAATGTTCATCATCATTACGATAAGAAGAGTAGGTTAACGATTGTGTCGATGTTATTCTGTGGATAAGAAGAGTAGGTTAACGACTTTGTCGATGTTATTTTGTGGATAAGAATAGTAGGTTAACGATTGTGTCGATGTTAGGTTAACGATTGTGTCGATGTTGTTCTGTAGATAAGAAGAGTAGGTTAACGATTGTGTCGATGTTGTTCTGTAGATAAGAAGAGTAGGTTAACGATTGTGTCGATGTTATTCTGTGGATAAGAAGAGTAGGTGAACGATTGTGTCGATGTTATTCTGTGGATAAGAAGAGTAGGTGAACGATTGTGTCGATGTTAAGAAGAGTAGGTGAACGATTGTGTCGATGTTAAGAAGAGTAGGTGAACGATTGTGGCGATGATAAGAAGAGTAGGTGAACGATTGTGTCGATGTTGTTCTGTGGATAAGAAGAGTAGGTTAACGATTGTGTCGATGTTATTCTCTGATCAATGTTCATCATCATTTCCCGTTCGTGCCCAAGACACATGGGGCAGATGAAGTAGAGTTCATCTGCTTCAGAGAACTCGGCATATAAAAGGATAGTGTGGTCAGCACTATGCCCAGCCGCCTTTGTTTCCCTAACTTGAGTTAGGTACCCATCAGAGCTTGTACGTTCTACTGACTTGAACCTGGATTCGACCTCGAGACTCGGGTTAGTAGCAGAGGCGTAGTGAGGGGGGGGGGGGGGGTGCGGGGGGTGCGGACCGCACCGGGTGACACCATTTAGGGGGGGGGGGGGTGACACCAAGGCAAAAAATAGCAAAATATATAGAGAAAAACTTGGGGGGGGGGTGCAAATCGAAAATTCGAAAGTGATCCAAGTTCACTTTCTAACAGCTTACTTTTATAAATGAATCAAGTTCACTTTCTAACCCCCTACTTTTATAAATGAACCAAGTTCACGTTCTAACCCATTACTTTTATAAATGAATCACGTTCACTTACTAACCCCCTCGTTTTATAAATGAACCAAGTTCACTTTTTAACCCCCTACTTTTATAAATGAACCAAGTTCACTTTCTAACCCCCTACTTTTATAAATGAACCAAGTTAACTTTCTAGCCCCCTACTTTTATAAATGAATCAAATTCACTTTCTAACCCCCTACTTTTATAAATGAACCAAGTTCACTTTCTAACCGCCTACTTTTATAAATGAACCAAGTTCACTTTCTAACCCCCTACTTTTATAAATGAACCAAGTTCACTTTCTAACCCCCTACTTTTATAAATCAACCAAGTTCACTTTCTAACCGCCTACTTTTATAAATCAACCAAGTTAACTTTCTAACCCCCTACTTTTATAAATGAATCAAGTTCACTTTCTAACCCCCTACTTTTATAAATGAATCAAGTTCACTTTCTAACCCATTACTTTTATAAATGAACCAAGTTCACTTTCTAACCCCCTACTTTTATAAATGAATCAAGTTCACTTTCTAACCCCCTACTTTTATAAATGAATCAAGTTCACTTACTAACCCCCTCAGCGAAAAACAACGACATCGCCCTGCTCAAAGTGAAACCAATTAACGGACGAGGGATACAGTTCAACGATTTCGTCCAGCCCGCCTGTTTACCTGGGCCGGAGACCGAGTACATCGAGGGAACCACCTGTATCATCTCAGGCTGGGGGAACATGGAACGGTCAGGTAGTGGTTTGATAGTGGTCTCATTTGTTGTAAGCTTTTTCCTGTTCTCAAGGCCTATAAGTGTTAAAACAGTTTAAAAAATAAACTGTTTAAAAGAAATGCATATTAACAATAAAAATAAAATATGCTTAACCTATTCGAAAAGCCTTCAAATTCGAAATTGGTGAGTCAAATGATAATGATGATTGAAGACTATTATTATCTGCCAAATGCTTACATGCGATGTGAACAAGCGCTCTATATAATGAGTTATCTTTTACTCTTTTACTGAGTTACCTCCCCTTACTAGTGGGATATCTATAAACTAATTTTAAATGACCCTTTTCAATATCTGTAGATCTTATTCGACTTCGCCAACTACATAACCACCCACGAACCCATTCACCAACCCACCTACATACACAAATACGTAAAACAAAACAGTTATTTTGTCATTAGAAAAAAACTTGCAGTAAAGTTTTTGGTTATCGTCATTGTTTAACAAGTTATAATTTAAAATGTTCAGGTTTAAACGTTATATTATTGTCACAATTTAACAATCTATAAAGTTCATATTTACTTTTTAACTGAAAGGTTGGATACCTTTACTAATATTTTGGAGAGACCCACGCTTTTCTTTATTTTTATTTTACTGAAAGGTTCAGATTTAAAAGTCTGTAAGTTTTTTTTATTGTAATTTATTTAACAACCTATTAATTACAGGTTTACTTTTTAACTGAAAGGTTCAGGTTCAAATGTTTATCCGGATGTGCTGATGGAAGCAGACGCTCCACTGATAGCAGACGATATCTGCGAGGCCCGGCTGCCGTCTACCACACCCGCGCGATTTGACAGGAGGACTATGTTGTGTGCTGGGTACATGAGTGGGGAAATGGACACGTGCAGTGGGGACAGTGGCGGGCCTCTGGTCTGTCATGTAGAGGGTGAGTGGTGGGCCTCTGGTCTGTTGTGGTGAGTGGTGGGCCTCTGGTCTGTTGTGGTGAGTGGTGGGCCTCTGGTCTGTTGTGGTGAGTGGTGGGCCTCTGGTCTGTCTTGTAGTGGGTGAGTGGTGGGCCTCTGGTCTGGTGAGGGGTGGGCCTCTGGTCTGTCTTGTAGTGGGTGAGTGGTGGGCCTCTGGTCTGGTGAGTGGTGGGCCTCTGGTCTGTCTTGTAGTGGGTGAGGGGTGGGCCTCTGGTCTGGTGAGTGGTGGGCCTCTGGTCTGTCTTGTAGTGGGTGAGGGGTGGGCCTCTGGTCTGGTGAATGGTGGGCCTCTGGTCTGGTGAGTGGTGGGCCTCTGGTCTGGTGAGTGGTGGGCCTCTGGTCTGGTGAGTGGTGGGCCTCTGGTCTGGTGAGTGGTGGGCCTCTGGTCTGGTGAGTGGTGGGCCTCTGGTCTGGTGAGTGGTGGGCCTCTGGTCTGTCTTGTAGAGGGGTGGGCCTCTAGTCTGGTGAGTGGTGGGCCTCTGGTCTGGTGAGGGGTGGCCTCTGGTCTGGTGAGTGGTGGGCCTCTGGTCTGGTGAGGGGTGGGCCTCTGGTCTGGTGAGTGGTGGGCCTCTGGTCTGTCATATCAGCAGCTGTTCTTTGGTCTCACACCCCACCCCCACCCACACCGTTATGTCACCCAACTATGTCAACTCTATATGTCTATACAAACCATTACGATCAATCTGGTATTTTACTTATATTCCGTCATTGCTCAGCAGTTTCTACCCAATGTTTTTTTAATTTATAATACATATTCTCTTTATATATGATGATTTTACAGTCTATGTTAAATTACCCAATCCCCGTTAAAAAAATCGCAGCCTCAATCATATTTATTTTCCCTCAGGTTCCTACACAGTACTAGGTCTGACGTCATGGGGCGTTGGGTGCGGCCTACCTAACCTCCCCGGGGTTTACACCAGGGTCAGGGAGTTCTTACCCTGGATCTATGACCATATCCAGGCCTACAGTGACAGCGAAAAGCAGATGGAAATACCCCCTCGTCCTTGACCTAAGAAAACATGACCTTCGCCTGTACTTCATAAGAGTTTACATTAAAATTTGTTCTTGGTTAATGTCTCAGATATTTTATTTTAAAACCAAATAATTCATAGAGAATTATTCCTGTCAGTGCTTTTATAATAAAGTACAGATGATATAAACTTCGAAGCATGTTACATTTATTATTGGATACTTGCTTTATTATGAGAAACGATTATCTTCACAAAGAAAAAACAACGTCGGATTAAATTTTATATATATATATATATATATATATATATATATATATATATATATATATATATATATATATATATATATGCCCCTATATATATATATGCCCCTATATATTATATATATATATATATATATATATATATATATATATATATATATATATATATATATATATATATATATATATATATATATATATATATATATATATAGGCCTACATATAATTGAATTGATTTATGGATTAATCTAGGGGTCATATTATAATTAATTTAGAATAATTTGTATGTGTATAATTTGTATAAGTGAAAGTGCTATTTATAATTTAATGATTTGTACAGAATTTTAGCCCACACGATGTGAGATATCAGCCATAAAGCAGTGGACTTAAACAAAAAAATTTTTGCCGAGTAAACGTTATAAATTCTTGGACCTGACGATAGATAGGGAAGATGAAGTAAGAGTTCCTTTGTTTCTGTGGCTGAGGAGGTTCAGTGTCAACAGTTCCATGACGAGTCTTTTTTAGTTTCAGTCCGGTACCCATTTTAGCTGGGTGCACTCATGGACTCAAGGACGACCCACGGTCTGAGAGATGACCCACGGGCTGTTAGACGACCCACGGTCTGAGAGATGACCCACGGGATCAAGGACGACCCACGGTCTGAGAGATGACCCACGGGCTGTTGGACGACCCACGGTCTGAGAGATGACCCACGGACTCAAGGACGACCCACGGTCTGAGAGATGACCCACGGGATCAAGGACGACCCACGGTCTGAGAGATGACCAACGGGCTGTTGGACGACCCACGGTCTGAGAGATGACCCACGGGATCAAGGACGACCCACGGTCTGAGAGATGACCCACGGGCTGTTAGACGACCCACGGTCTGAGAGATGACCCACGGGATCAAGGACGACCCACGGTCTGAGAGATGACCCACGGGCTGTTGGACGACCCACGGTCTGAGAGATGACCCACGGGATCAAGGACGACCCACGGTCTGAGAGATGACCCACGGGCTGTTGGACGACCCACGGTCTGAGAGATGACCCACGGGATCAAGGACGACCCACGGGCTGTTAGACGACCCACGGTCTGAGAGATGACCCACGGGATCAAGGACGACCCACGGTCTGAGAGATGACCCACGGGATCAAGGACGACCCACGGTCTGAGAGATGACCCACGGGCTGTTGGACGACCCACGGTCTGAGAGATGACCCACGGGATCAAGGACGACCCACGGTCTGAGAGATGACCCACGGGCTGTTGGACGACCCACGGTCTGAGAGATGACCCACGGGATCAAGGACGACCCACGGTCTGAGAGATGACCCACAGGATCAAGGACGACCCACGGTCTGAGAGATGGCCCACGGCCTGTTGGACGACCCACGGTCTGAGAGATGACCCACGGGATCAAGGACGACCCACGGTCTGAGAGATGACCCACGGGCTGTTGGACGACCCACGGTCTGAGAGATGACCCACGGGATCAAGGACGACCCACGGTCTGAGAGATGACCCACGGGATCAAGGACGACCCACGGTCTGAGAGATGACCCACGGACTTCAGTACGGCCACCGGACTCTAAACTACTTGTATTTATATCGTCTCTAACTTCTGCCCCGCTGATTCACCTAATCCTAATCCTAATCCTGATCCGAACTCTAAAAATGTACAACAAAATCAGCAGTAAAAAATCCTCTCGCTCTGAAATGCTCTAACTGGCTATCGTATAAACAACAAGAGCCCCCTAAAATAGTCTAATTATACTTTAACTGAAAAGTGATGAGATTTTAGCAATCAACATTAACAATCAAACTAACTAAAATGTACAGACAATATATACAGCGGAGGACCCAGACAGATGGCGTAAAGTTATGAGAAAATCAACTGGCTTAAAAGGTTTCATGGTTGATTGGTTAATTGATAGTTAAGTTGATTGATTGATTGATAGTTATTGCATTGAGCTAGACACAACATGGGCAGTGTTAAACACAGATCTCGATCTGTAATAATTTATAATAATTATTATTTATTAATATCAATCTGGTTTACAATACAACACAACGGGGGGGGGTTGATCTTTATCAACCATATTAACCGCAAAAGCAGTATCATCGTGAATGTGAAATATTGCTGAATCTGTTCGTAATTCACTTGTTATCTGAACGCCTGGCAGTGTTCATGATTAAAAAGATTTTTTTTTCGGAACACGCACACGCATACACGCATACACGCAAACACACACAGACACAGATGCACTGACGCACGCCCACGCACACTCACACACACACACGCACACACACATAGAGCCACACACAAGGACGCACTCACGCACTCACGCACGCACGCACGCACGCACACACACAGACACACACACAGACACACACAAACACACAGACACACACACACACACATATATATATATATATATATATATATATATATATATATATATATATATATATATATATATATTTGTATATATATTTGTATATATATTTATACATATTTTTATATATACACTCAGTTTTATATGTGGAGACCGGCGTGCACCACGCCTAAATACATACAAATATAGTTTCCTGATATATCTTGCATTAATTCTGTAATTAAACTGGCGAGTGGGGAGAAACACAGCTAAATTCTGCAGATATATCGACATGGCTCCCCTTTTGTATCAAGATAATTAATCTTTTTAACAAAAATGAACAACATATTCCTAAAGTATAAATTCGACATAAAGCTGCAAGCTTTTTGTTGTGGCGACTTAGTGTCAGTTGAACTAATTCAGGCAGGGGAATGGAATCTTCAAACAATCGTCTTCTGTTGCTGGTCTGCGCTTTGCTCTTCATGCTAGGGAACTGTATGGAGGTGACTAAGTTTTGGAGTCTGTAATGTCTTGTCAGCTGTCAGTGTTTAAAGAAATGTGTCAGTGTTTGAGATGCCTCGGTCATCAGTCAGTGATTAGAGAGATAATTTAACCTGTGATGGTTTAACCTGAAATAATTTAAGTTAGTGACCAGTACGGCTAAAATAATTCTTACCAGCGTATCTGTGAAAACAGGCTGACGCAACATTTTAAAAGGATTTCATCAATGCGCAACCAATCGTGTAATTTTAGACACCTGAGCTTGTTTTCTAAAACTGAGTTATTTCAATTAAAATTAAAATGAACGTAGGTGCCATATTTTATATATATATATATATATATATATATATATATATATATATATATATATATATATATATATATATTCGAAACTTTTATTCTACTAAAAAACAAACTATTTTTTTGTTAATAAAAATTCAGATATCAAGAGAAACGACAGGCTCCATCCGTAAGTAAAGAAATTTGAAACATGGTCATATTTAAATATATATTTTTTTTTGTGTCCATACGCAATTTTACACTAAAGGTAAAATAGTTAATTAGGTCATGAGATGTGTTTGAATAAACAAAACTAGGTAATTTGTAAAAAAAAAAACGATAGCAAAATATAAAAATACAAGTTAATCTACCATTTCAATCCTTAGAACCGCTGAAGTAGAATTTACCTCGGTATATCAAAAGAATAGAATAAAACAAAAATAAAAATAAAACGTTAAAAAAAATTCAACACCCAACAGACTGACACACATTTCTAAAACAAAACCTCACACAACAAGCACACAGACAGATACCTTCTGAAATAACAATGACATCCTACTCAGCTTCTGACCCCACCTGTGGCTATCGACCTCGGATTGATGACCCTATCAAAATTGCCGGTGGACAGAACTCAAATCGTGGATCGGAACCATGGCAGGCCAACTTATTGATCGATATTTCACCAGAGAAAGATGAGTATGGACGATCTATAGTCCATCACTGCGGGGGTACAATCATTAGCGAATATTGGATCTTGACTGCAGCTCATTGTTGGGAGTAAGTATTGATCGAATCATGTAATCATTAACATTTCATTTTGTATTCCAAAAATTTACTTGCTACGCTAAATTATATAATGGAAAATATTAAACTCATTGATACTATTATAAATATGTAAAAAAATAAGGTGTTTACTAATTGTTTTATCCTTAAAGGCAACGAAAACCACCAATGTGCTAAGTATAGAGTATATGGCGTAACTAGTGGGGGGAGGAGGAGGGGTGGGGGTACCAAATTTGAAGTTCGCTGTATATATGTCCCAAGAATAAACACTGGAAAATTATTTTATTGTAAAAAAAAGAGATTCCCCCCCCCCCCCACACAGATTGTATAATATCAAGTGGAAAGGAGAATTAATGAAACGAGTTCATGAAATGTTTATAATGCTCCTCAGTGGCGAAGCGAGGTCGGGTGTCACCCGGTGCGGCACTTAATGGTGTCACCCCCCAGAGGCGTAGCGACCTATCAAATTTTCGATTTGCATCCCCCCTCAAACTTTCGATTTGCACCCCCTCAAGTTTTTCTCTAAATATTTTGCTATATTGTGCCTTGGTGTCAACCCCCTAAATGGTGTCACCCGGTGCGCTCCGCACGCCCGCCCCCCCTCGCCACGCCTCTGAAGCTCCTTAAAAACTGTTAAAGCAAAAAAATTTTTTTTAGTATTGTGTAATATTTTTTTTTTACAAAACCTTTAAACTATTCTCACAGGGAAATATTAGAGGTAAACGTCATATCTGGTGAGAATGAAAAAACCGTAAAGCAAATACCCATGTAAGTAATGTTCTTTTTTTCATAGTTTATATATATATATATATATATATATATATATATATATATATATATATATATATACAAATGGGGTGCGCTGAAGGAATATCCACATCTATGCGACGCATATATATACAAGAACCGTGCCACCGCCACCAGCGCACAGCGCAGTGCAGCCGCTCTGCTAGTATATATATATATATAAAATATATATATATATATATATATAATATATATATATATATATATATATATATATATATATATATATATATATATATATATATATATATATGTATACGTATATATATATATATATGTATACGTATATATATATATGTATACGTATATATATATATATATATATATATATATATATATATATATATATATATATATATATATATATATATATATATATATATATATATATATATATACGACCATAACCGTGGCATCACAATGTCGAGTGACACCCAATCATTAAATATCATATCGCACCCTCTGCCAAAAACTATATAGACCTATATATCACGTTGTTACACTATATCGTCATCCCTACCTCTAAAACGTGTCACGCTGTACCTAATTAGTTATTTAATTCAAATATAAATGTAGTTTTAAAACAAGTTCATTTGTTTTTGTGCCACCCCCTTTGATAGTGTTACGCTGAACTGTCATCACCCTTCGTACCCTCCTTGTGACTCCACTGTTTATAACAATTTAATAATTTCACAACCTTCTCATCTGCTTTGTGACTTCACTGTTTATAACAATTTAATAATTTCACAACCTTCTCATCTGCTTTGTGACTTCACTGTTTATAACAATTTAATAATTTCACATCATTCGTACCCGCTTTGTGACTCCAATGTTTATATCAATTTAATAATTTCACACAATTCGTACACACTTTTGTGACTCCACTGTTTAAAAAAAAATAAAAATTTCACACCATTTGTATCCACTTTGTGACTCCACTGTATATAACAATTTTATAATTTCAGTAACGAGAGCAATTATTTCGTTGTGGTTGGAGATAATAACCAATGGGAATATGAGCAGGGGGAGGAAACATTCGAAAAGTTGGAGTTTATCAGGCACGAGGATTTCATTCTGAAAAGTGAGTATCTTATTACATAAAGCAATAAAACCTTATATATAATATGACACATTACTTTCAGTCTGAAAATGTGAATATCTTATTCCATTTAGCAATAAAACCTTCTGTAACACATTACGTTAAGCTGTTTCGATGGTCTTAAGTTTAAATCAAATTCTGGCTGACGATAGGCGTACACGATGGACTTAGTTCTAGATATAAAAAAAACTGTAATTAAGTTTATAAAATTTTAAATCAATAAAGCTTCTCCTCATCTCAATTAGTTATTAACAGAAGTAGCTAAAATAAACAATAATACTATAATAATATTTACATCAATTTCTTATCTGAAGCATGTTTTATATTCAGTCTTTAATATTTGTTTAATCGGATGCACCACTTCGCACTTCAGTCTACAATTCAGTTGCTACTTAATCATATTCCCCACCCTAAAACTCAATTCTTGTTATACATTTTTCTTTGTTTAACAGCGCTTGTCAACGACATTGCCTTGCTGAAGATCTTACCAAAAGACGGTCCTGGTATAAAGTTCACCGAGTACGTCCAACCTGCCTGCCTACCTAATGCCGAGACTCCGTATACACCCGGTGAAGAATGCATCATTTCTGGATGGGGCGACACGGACAAAGATGGTAATCTTTTATTCATTAGTCAATACAGGAAGATTTGGTGTCGAAATCGCTATTGTTGGAGGATAAGAAATAGATTCGATATACATCACAACGAGTATATTACATTTCTCAAAGTTTAAAGACTTTATGAGTAGACAAAGTATAGTCATACATTATATTCCATGTATTGAGGCACCGAATTTCAACGAAGAGAATATACCAAATGCAAATGAAGTGTGGTCTAACAATTTAAAATTAAGAACGTAAAGTATCAGAACATAAAGAGAAAAGTAAACCTCTCTCTGTTTGAGCAGTAGGTCACAAAAACATTCACTTTTATTTGGATGGGTCATCAGAATGACACACTGCCACCCTGTCATCTCCTGTCCTCTCCTGTCCTCTCCTGTCCTCTCCTGTCCTCCACTGACCTCTTGATACCTCAAAATGGACCGGCAATGAACGAAATAAATCGTATTTCATACAAACTCTGAACATTATTAATCCTAACTTCAAGCATAACTCTTATACTCATCATAAACCTAGGCCTAGTCATAACCCTATCATTACCTTTCGATTAGCGTTGCGTACAAAGTTAGGATTAGGTTTAGGGTCCCATCCTAATGAATACATTTAAAATTCTACTGCAGTGTGTTATGTTGAAAAGGAGGTAGGGTGGAAGGAATTCATCTCAGATAGAGGGAAGGGGTGGAATATCTAAGGATAAGTGGGAGAGGGAATATATATATATATATATATATGTATGTATGTATATATATATATATATATATATATATATATATATATATATATATATATATATATATATATATATATATTTACATTTTTTATTTAAACTTAAAAAAAAAATAATTTTCTCTGATATGTTTGTGTAGGAAATGTAGAAGTTGAAGCTACTATCCTGCAAACCGCTGTTGTGCCTATTGTGGACAATGAAGCTTGTGCACGTCTTCTATCGACCTTTGACCCGGTCCCAATGATGTGTGCCGGTTATGCTGAGGGCGGGATTGATACTTGTCATAAAGACAGTGGCGGGCCTTTGGTTTGTCATATTGATGGTATGTTTGATTGTGGGCCTTTAGTTTGTCATATCGATGGTATGTTTGATTGTGGGCCTTTAGTTTGTCATATCGATGGTATGTTTGATTGTGGGCCTTTAGTTTGTCATATCGCTGGTATGTTTGATTGTGGGCCTTTAGTTTGTCATATTGATGGTATGTTTGATTGTGGGCCTTTAGTTTGTCATATCGATGGTATGTTTGATTGTGGGCCTTTAGTCATAAAGACAGTGGCGGGCCTTTGGTTTGTCATATTGATGGTATGTTTGATTGTGGGCCTTTAGTTTGTCATATCGATGGTATGTTTGATTGTGGGCCTTTAGTTTGTCATATCGATGGTATGTTTGATTGTGGGCCTTAAGTTTGTCATATCGCTGGTATGTTTGATTGTGGGCCTTTAGTTTGTCATATTGATGGTATGTTTGATTGTGGGCCTTTAGTTTGTCATATCGATGGTATGTTTGATTGTGGGCCTTTAGTTTAACGTATTAATTGTAAATCTGATTTTGGCTTTAATTAGAACAAAGCTACACTGTGTAGTTATTAGGTTTAGATGAGTTATTCATGGTAATTCATGGTAATTACTACACACTGAGCGCTCGGCGTTGTCGAGTCGGTAAAGCTCATGGTTTCTAAACCGAAAAGTCTCGAGTTCAAACCCTCGGGTAGATGAGGCTCGTTAGCTATGGACAGCCACTCTTTTAGGAGAGAGAACTCCAAAATCAAACTACTGCTGCCTTGTAGTTTGTTCTTGGTTGGACAAAGGCTATAGAAGCAAATCCAAAAAGAAAAGCAGGCTGAAATCGGAGTCAACTGCCTTAATGGCGCATAACCAGTTGACACGTATACTTAATTGTGTTGGAGGGAATCCCTTCCAACACCAAAATTAAAAACGAAGAAGAAGACGACTACACACTGTAATTAACCATGTATTTTCTAGTCGACAATTACCATAAAATTACCTAACCCTTGTGTTATTAAATAGAATAGCTTCAATCATCAACATCATCTTTTCCGGTTAGTGTCCAAAGCAAACGATATACAAGTTCAAACTCTTTTTTCTACAGGTTCCTACACAGTACTAGGCGTGACGTCATGGGGCGTTGGGTGCGCCCAACCTGACCTCCCCGGGGTTTACACCAGGGTCAAGGAGTTTTTACCCTGGATCTACGACCATATCCAGTGACGAAAAGCAGATGGAAATCCCAAGGCGTTTTTGAACTATAAAAAAAAACAACACTTTTGCATTTACTTCACAAATGTTTGTTTTATTTTTTAACGGTTTTGAAATGTTATTTTGAAACCGCATAATTCATCCAAAATTACTATACAAGAGGTTCTTCTAGTTACTGGAATAATAAAGAACAAATGATACAAAAGTCTTTACATTTTTCCTTCATCATTGGATACTTGCTTTAATAGGGAGTTAGCTCTATGTTCATTAAGAAAGAAGAATAACGTCGGAATAAATTATTTAATCTATTAAATATGTTACGGTCAAAGCCCGAAGTCGGCCAAAGCACACAATGGCCAATATAGCCTCCCATTGACCGGTCAAAGTACCAAACTTTACTTGATTTCGGCCTTTGGATTATTATTAATTATGGATTATTCAAGTGATCATATTATATTTCATTTAAAATAACAGAAATATAAGTTTTTTTATGTAGGCTTACACTTAAAAGTTTAGAGGTTAGGTCGTTATATTTTAAAGATTTGTACAGTATTGGAATTCAGGAAGTATTGTCCATCAACCGTAAAGCTGTTGACCTATTTAAAATGCTCTTTATTGAGTACGTAAACGAAACGATACAGACATAACATTCCTGGACTTGATGCCCAGTAGTGCAGATAAAGTAGAGTTCCTTTGTTTCTGTGGCATCGCGCGAAGGTACAGTTTGGTCAGTTCAATGCTCAGACTTTCTTTAGCTTTAGTCTGGTATACATTATAGCTGAATGGACTTCTCACAGAATAAAGGACGACCCACGGGCTCAGGTACGACTCAGGTGCTCAGATACAGGTGCTCAGATACAGGTGCTCAGATACAGGTGCTCAGATACGACCCAGGTGCTCAGATACAGGTGCTCAGATTCGACTCAGTTGCTCAGATACAGGTGCTCAGATACAGGTGCTCAGATACGACTCAGGCGCTCAGATTCGACTCAGTTGCTCAGATACAGGTGCTCAGATACAGGTGCTCAGATACGACCCAGGTGCTCAGATACGACCCAGGTGCTCAGATACAACCCAGGTGCTTAGATACAGGTGCTCAGATACATGTGCTCAGATACGACCCAGGTGCTCAGATACAGGTGCTCAGATACAGGTGCTCAGATACAGGTGCTCAGATACGACCCAGGTGCTCAGATACGACCCAGGTGCTCAGATACGACCCAGGTGCTCAGATACGACCCAGGTGCTCAGATACAGGTGCTCAGATACAGGTGCTCAGATACGACCCAGGTGCTCAGATACGACCCAGGTGCTTAGATACAGGTGCTCAGATACATGTGCTCAGATACGACCCAGGTGCTTAGATACGACTCAGGTGCTCAGATACGACCCAGGTGCTCAGATACATCCAGCCGCTCAAAGACCCTCGGGCTGAGGTACAACCCACGGACTTGAGTACGTTCATTGCTCGTAACTACTAGGTTAGATATTGTCTCTAACCATGTTTGTCTTAGAGATGACCCATGGGCTAAGGGACGACCCTCGGGCTATGGTATAACCCAGGGATTTCAAGCGCGACCCAAAGGGCTCAGAGATGACCCACGTGCAAGGTACGACTTTCGGGTTATGGTATAACCCAGGGATTCCAAGCGCGACCCAAAGGGCTCAGAGATGACCCACGGGCTAAAGGGACGACCCTCGGGCTATGGTATAACCCAGGGATTTCAAGCGCGACCCAAAGGGCTCAGAGATGACCCACGGGCTAAGGGACGACCCTCGGGCTATGGTATAACCCAGGGCTCAGAGATGACCCACGGGAAAGGGACGACCCTCGGGCTATGGTATAACCCAGGGATATCAAGCGCGACCCAAAGGGCTCAGAGATGACCCACGGGAAAGGGACGACCCTCGGGCTATGGTATAACCCAGGGCTCAGATATGACCCACGGGAAAGTGACGACCCTCGGGCTATGGTATAACACAGGGCTCAGAGATGACCAACGGGCTAAGGGACGACCGGACTCTTGAATCCCGAGTTAGATATCACCCCTAACCTTTGCCCTGATGGTTAACCTAACCTAACACGTACAGCAATACCAGCAACAGTAACAAATCCTCGGTCTGTCTCTGAATAGCTCCCATCTGCTTTTCCATACCTAACAAGAAATATCTAAAATAGTCTAATTCTATTTTAATTAGTAATGTGTGTACGACACTGCAACACCAAAGCAACGCTTGTTTAGCCATAAACACAATTCAATAATCAAACTAAACGTTTACAGAAAACATAGTTGAAACATTGAGGGAGACACAACATAGACAGTGTTACACACAGGTAGCTGTCTGTGATAACAATGTATGAATATCAATCTGGAATACAAAATAACATAAATAGTTTAGAGGCGTCGATATGGGAGGGAGGGGGGGGGGGGGTTGTGCGGACCGCACCGAGTGATGGGGGAGGGGTGACACCAAGGCACAACATTGCAACCGATAAACAAATTAACACAACTAAATAGTTTTTTTAGTAAAAATCGACAATCCAGACAGGAGGGGGAGGGAATGACACTAAGTAGTAAACGTGCTAATAGAGAAAACATTCAGATGCATCAAAAACCAAGTATAGATAAACACTGTTACCATTATTTGTGTACGGCTTAAACCTATCACCTGAATGAGGGTGGTGCGGTGGGGAAGTGTGGGGTGGAGGGGTTGACAGCAATTGCAAAATTTACAAAAAATTAAATGAATATTATCAACTAATGATACATCAATCAACGTGAAATCAAGGTGAAAACATGTCATATAATTTACTTTAAAAGGGGGTAGGCTCCGGAAAAAAAAAATTAATTACACTTTTAAAAAAAATATTATTTGTGTTTATTTAATTTAGGGTACTTAAGGGAAAATATGTGCATGCATCAATGACTCTCCTTAACATATTTTTGCCATGGAAATCGGCGGCCATCTTAAAAAAATAATGTGTGGAGGTTCCACGGTTAAAAAAAAAATTACAAATGTATTCATTATAATAAAATCATTGATCCTTCTTTTACTAACTCTAATAGAGTTAGCTAACTAGATTTTGCAACAAAAAACACTCGAGAAATATTTTTTTTTTAGAATTTTACAAATTTGTTGGGGAAATACCTTTCATTGTAACATTAGTTTTAATGGAATTTCACTATAAATGACGTCACGCTTTTTTGGACGATTTTTACCTCCCCCCCTCCCCTCCGTCACGCGTCGTCACAAAAAGCCAGACCCCCTCCCTAAAATGACGTCACACCTCAACCTACAACACCCCCTCAAAATTGCGGTTGATTTTTTTTTAAACATCGATATTTTTCTAAAATCTTGTCTAAACTATTACAATTTATTAAAACAGTTATCTAAAATGCGAAATAACGTCGAATATTCGTTTTCTAACATTGCTTTTTTATAATGCAAAAATGTGACGTCGCAACATCTGAACCCCCCCCCCCTTCCCCTCATCACACATCGTCACAAAATTACGGACCCCCCTCCCCCCTACGTGTGTGACGTCATTTATGGATGACCCCTATAGCACATTTTTGAAAGTTAGAAAATAAATATTTCCAGAGTGTTTTCTGTTACAAAACTAGACACCTTACTTTTTATTAGAGTTAGTAAATGAAGGATCAATATAAATATATACACAACTAGATCTGAGGTAAGGTCGTTCAGTTTATTAGTGTCCATAATTTATCAGACTTTCATAAATCTAGTCTAACTTATGTTTAAAACATTAAAATTAAATTAAAATTAAAAAATTAAAAACCTAAAGTGTTTCTTCTTCATAAATCCTTTCTTGCAAACGAGATTCATAAAATAAAACTCTGCATGATGCTTCTGTAAAATGTCAATAGCGTGTTTTAAAACTTTAAATTGATGCTAATTTATTCGACCCAAGGGAAATGAATCGAAAAGTTTATTGTTACGCCACTGGGCATCAACGATGGTATGTAATAACATGGTAAAGTAAACACACGGGTTTGAAGCATCAGATTATCAACAAATTAATTAGAAAGATAAAATTAAAGCACTAATTGGCCGACTACAGCATTGTTACTGGCGGCCCACTGGGAATGTTTCCATCTCGGCCCACTTTTATTCTCCCCGGCCGCCGTGCGGACCAGTCCACTCTTGTTCATAATAAACACACGCATATACATTGTCATATACTCATATGTATTACCGAATTAATAATCTTAAACATGTATAGAATACAACACAGGGGAGGGGGGGGGGTAGAACTAATACAACCATTAGCCACAGTGACAGGTTTATCATCAACGTAATTTGTTGAAATATCGTTTAATTAAATTATTATCTAGACGCCATACCGCATACGTGATTGAATTGTATGATATATATATATATATATATATATATATATATATATATATATATATATATATATATATATATATATATATATATATATATATATATATATATATATATATGTATATATATATATATATATATCTATATCTCTATATATATATATATATATATATATATATATATATATATATATATATATATATATATATATATATATATATATATATATATATATATATATATATAACAGTAACCTCCCTTGGATAGGTGCATTTAATTCAGATAAATAATAACGCGTCAACTGTATGTAATTAAACTGATTAGAGGGGAGAAGCACAGCTACATTCTGCAGATATCTCAGCATGGCTCCCTTTTTGTATCAGATAATAATTTTATTGGCAAAAAAATGAACAGCATATTAAATTACACCCTAAAGTATAAATTTGACTTGAACTCTATGCGTAGTGAATGTGGTGATTCCGTGAGTGTAGAATTGAGGTATCAAATGGCGTCTTCACAGCTTCCACGTCTGTTGCTGATCTACGTCTTGTTCATGCTAGGGAGCTGCAGGGAGGTAACTGAGTTATGGTGTCTTGTCGAAAGGTAGTGGTTGTCAGCTGTCAGTGTTTGAGATGGCCACTCACCAGTCATTATTTATTAGAAATCTGAACACGAGTTAGTGAACAGTACCGCCAAATAATTTTTATTTTAAATCTTTGGTTTGTCATCTTGTACACAAATAAATAAAACTGTTTTTCATATGTTACAAAACAATTTCAGATATCAAGAAAAACGAGATCCCTTCGTAAGTAAATTTTAAAAATATTTCTTAATACTTTGTTGTAAATGTGAAGACATAGATTTTATTTCTCGCAATAGGTTTGAAAAATCTATGTAATCATACATTAAAGCCGTTTGGGAACCATCGATTACACTCATTTTTATATTTTTGTATTAAATACAAGCCGAGAAAAGCCTTTTAGAATAATTATATCAATTCAAATATTTAAAAAAAAAAACGACCTCAACCCCTACTTGAAGACAACCAGATAGGCCAGGGAAAGTAAAACAACTAACGGCACAACAATTGTTTTCCATAATAAAATACACAATAGAGATCAAGGGGTATAGCCTTGTAGTTTTTTATATGAAATTATATATATATATATATATATATATATATATATATATATATATATATATATATATATATATATATATATATATATATAACAGGTAAAAATATGACATTTAACACACATACCGAAGTCTGTAAAATTACAAAGCAACCTATAGAATTACTCCCACCATACCGATAGACAAACCAAAGTCTATTTTTAAAAAAACCATTGCACGCAACATTTAGACAGACACGCCACAACGATCTTAAACTAACCAACACTTATCACTTAGCGTCTGACGGTACCTGTGGCTATCGATCCCTGATTGATGACTCTAAAAAAATTGTCGGTGGCAGAAATACAAGTCGTGGATTAGAACCATGGCAGGCCAACTTAATGATAGACATTTCTCCTGAGCAAGATATGTTTGGGCAATCTATATTCCATCAATGCGGGGCTACAATAATTAGCGAATACTGGATCTTGACCGCAGCTCATTGTTGGTGGTATGTATTGATTGACTCGTGCATTAAGTAACTTCATTTTGTTTTTCAAAAATTTACTTGCTACACTATTTATTTTTTAAGCAGCATGGAATCTATAAAACTAACCTAACTACTATAACTATTTAAAATTAAATTTTGATAAAAAATTAAAGTAAAATGCTGAGTGTTAATTGTTTGATGCTTTATACTTTCGAAAATCTCAAATTAATAAACATAGATCAAAAATATTTTCATGTTTAAAATTATTTATTTTAATTGATAAAACTTAATTTCCCCAACATTGAAGCAAAGACAAACACATATTGTGAAATTTAATTGGCTAGCAAAAGTAGATGAATCAACACGACGCGATTAATTTATTAAAAATTATCATGCCCATGGAAATAACAGTTAAACAAGATTTTTGTTTAGAAATATGTGTGGCTGTGAAAGGAATTTTACGTCAAATTTTGTTCATTTTATGTTCGTAACAAATCCTTGAAACTTTACTCACAGGGAGGAAAAAGAAATAAAAGTATTAATTGGTGAGAATGAAACAAAAATAAGTATACCAATGTGAGTAATTTTTTTCCATTGCTAACGTGTAATATATATATATATATATATATATATATATATATATATATATATATATATATATATATATATATATATATATATATATATATATATATACATATACACACACTATTCTTTTTATTAAAGAAAACAAATTAGTTTTCTTTTCATATTTTCACTGCATTTAAAAGCTTGTTGCTATAAAGTTTTTTTTAAATATTTGCTTTCTTTTCTAGTTTTTAGTGATTTCTAATTGAAGAAGTCAACACATTTCGAAATATTTTCCTTAAAACACAATCACTGGCTCGAGATATCTGAATGACGTGAATCTGCCTCGTGAAAGCAGCCGTCCGTTACCATATTTTACAGACAGCAGCAAGTTCTTAATTTTGTTACTTCCCCTTAGTTTAAAATCGTTTAAACACCTTATTTTCTGCCCGAAATATCCGTCACTAGATATCACGATTGTAAACATTCTCGTGAACCACAGCTCACCTGAATGTTATGGTGATTACGTCTAGTTGGCTATCTCCCCTTCTGTTATTGAATATAGTAATCTATCGAATGATTTAATTGTGTTATCTCCTCTTTGTTTCGAAACGTTTTAATTAATTTTTAATGACTAATTAAATATATAATTAGATTTAAAAAATACATTGACATGTATTGTCATCAGAGTGGAACGTATCTGGAAAGTTTGAACGAGATCGCTGCATTAGAAGTGGGTCCAAATTGAGTTGCAAGATTTGCCACAAACAAACAAACAAACAAACAAATAAGCAACAAAAAAAAAAAAAACAGACGTTGCGAACTAAATAAAAGCTTCTAATTAAACAATTTTATTATTTCAGCGATGAGAGCAATTATTTCGTTGTGGTTGGAGATTATAACCAGCTTGAATCAGAGAACGGGGAAGAAAAATTTGACCGAGTGAAGTTTATCCTGCATGAGGATTACAAACAGGATAATACAAGTGAATATTTAATTATATTCTGTTACATCCCTACAACTTAATCCCAGAGATTCTAAAGGCTTCCTTTTGACGTGGGAGACAATGAATCAACCCAGAGATGTGAAACTTGCGCGTAACCAGTTTCTTTCAGGCTTCTCTTCCAGTAGCGCATGTACATGGCCTCACCCCCCCCCCCCCCCCAAGTAAAAGAAAAAGTAATTTATATAGAAAGTATATACTTTAGTCTTTAGCCAGACTCCATCTTTCCAGAAAATTAACCCCTATCTGCGGAAGAAAAATATATGAAAGAAACACTGACGAGGTCGTTGGGTTGCCCGAAAGGAATACTAACCAATGCTAGATTATAAGATTCCCTTATGCAGATTTTATATGACATGTTAGACGGAATTAAGTTTCTACATTGATAGAATAGGTTAGAAATTCTATTGGTTGTTTTTTTTAAGTCTGTACACCGTTAAGTTTTATCCTTATCTCAATCAGTGAATAGAAATAACAAAATAAGCAATTACAAAATTTTAAAATCAAATTTATAGCTATACCTCATCTCAAGCGTTAAATTTTATAAATTACTCTTTAATTTTTGTGAAAGCCCCCCCCCCCCCCCCCCCCAAAAAAAAATTGTAATACAATCAACAGAAAACAGTAACAGGTAGAAAAGCTAAATAATTATCAATAATCTACAATTCAGACCTCACTTTACCGTATTCCCCCATTGAAAATTTTCTTTCTTTTTTATCAGCGATGGAAAACGACATTGCCTTACTGAAGATCTTGCCAAAAGACGGCCGTGGTATAAAGTTCACCGACTACGTCCAACCTGCCTGCCTACCTAATGCCGAGACTCCGTATACACCCGGTGAAGAATGCATCATTTCCGGATGGGGCGACATGGACGGAGATGGTAAACTTTTATTCATTAGTCAATATCGACACATTAAGTGTCGGAATCGTTATCGTTATTGGATAATAAAGTCATCGATTAGATCACCGAGCTCTTATAATGAATTTATCATATTTTCTAATTTCGAAGAGTTTAATAGTAGACAGTGTATAGTCATACATATTAGCACCACGAACTCAGGCTCGTTGCACATTCTTTGCAATAATAAAATGAGAGTAGCTGCCTATTCTATTTTATTTTTTAGCACCAGACACATTTTTTTTTGCACATTCTACTACTTTCTTCATCTTATGGCGATGCATATGTATATGATCTATTAGCATAAGCGCTAATACCAAAACATCAAAATATTATTGTTAATATACGTATAATTTAACATGTAATTTATTTGAGTATTATTTCCAACCAAACAATTTGTATAATTTGAATTCGTTTAAAAATGGGTTATATGTTAACTTCATCGCTTGTTTAATAAGTATTTTTTTCTGATGTGTTTAGATTGTAATACAGTTGATGCTACAGTCTTGCAAACCGCTATCGTACCTATTGTTTGGAATGAAGCATGTTCTGCATATTATGAGAATTTTATGTGGAAATTCGATGCGAACACAATGATGTGTGCCGGTTATGCTGAGGGAGGGGTTGACACTTGTCAAGGAGACAGTGGCGGGCCTTTAGTTTGCAATATCGATGGTATGTTTGTAATTGTGGGCCTTTCGTTTGCAATATTGATGGTATGTTTGTGATTGTGGGCCTTTAGTTTGCAATATTGATGGTATGTTTGTGATTGTGGGCCTTTAGTTTGAATATTAATAGTAAGTTTGATTTTGGCGTTTAGTTTGACATATTAATGGGCCTTTACTTTGTTTTATTAATGGAGAGTTTGATTTTGGGCCTTTAGTTTGTCATCAGTTATACGTCTGTTTACATTCAGCGACATAGTTTGTCAAAATGTTTCTAAATATTATGCTTTTTAGTTTCTGACAAAACCATTTTCTACATATCTTGTTTAAACTTACTAAAAACATTTATAATTTCATAATTCATGTTCCATATATAAAATTCTACTTTCGCATTTACTGTAACTGTTTTCGACTAATTAAAAAATAATTGATTAATTTTTAAATACACACGCCGCGCAACGTTTTAAATAGGATATCTGTACTTGTAAAATTCTTCTGTATTTTATATATACACGGAGTACTTGTAACATTCTGTTTAAAAAAAAAATTCTCTTTACTGAAGGTTCTTACACGGTGTTGGGTGTGACGTCATTTGGCGAAGGCTGTGCCAAACCTAACTACCCCGGTGTGTACACACGGGTACAGAGCTATTTAGACTGGATTGGCGAGACGATTAAAAAACACGAATGTGATGATACTGACTAGGAGAGCCTCAAATTTAAAAAAAAAATAACTGGCGTCTTCAGCTGAATTAAGTAACAAGTGATGGCTTAAAGATTCAAGATGAGTCTTGGAAAAAAGGATGATTCTGACTAGAAAATAAAAAAAAAACTACTCTGTTAAAATAATGAAAATTGTCTTTACTTATAATTATAAACTATTATTATTATTTTTTTTTTTTGAAATTTTAATTTAAGGACAAAAGAATTTATTTTAATTTTACAGTCAATTAAAAAAAAGCGAATGTTGAGCCACTTAATACTAGGCTATGGGTAATAAGTATGGGACGGTGAAGTCGTATTGTAGTCATAACCAAATGTGTATCTAGACCAGACGGTCAATAGGGCAGTTGAAGTAGAGTGTGCTAATTTTTGTCATCTCGACAGAGGAAGGTATAATGTATTCAGGGACAACCCACAAACCTAAGCACGGTCATAGAGCCCTCGACTTCTGACTAAGATCTGGTCCCTAACATTTGGCTTGCACGCTGAACTCACGTAATCGTAACTCTAGTATAGTAGCACCAGCATTTAAGGGGGTAGGCGCCGTTAAAAAAATATTTAATACTCATTAGGAAACATTTATTTCTCTATAGATTTTTCAAAGCTACATCCGCATATGCGTTTTCATTGAAACAGTTGGTGGGAAAATCTTGGTAACTATGGCAACGGCGGCCATCTTGAAAAATTAACCTATCCGTGGGTTTTCTGCAATTGAATTCATATTTTAAGCTCAATAAACAATGAATTCATAATCGTTTACCATATTTTGGGGTACTCAGCTAAAAAATTCAAGTGCAGATCTTCAAACTAATTTGTTATGAATTTTCAAAATGTCAGTCCGGTAAAAATTCTAACTTTTTGGGAATTTAAATTTGGGTCTTAAATTTGGCGGATGTACCTTAAAAGAGCTGTAGATAAAAAAAAAATGTTTGCACTCTGGTATTAAAAAAGTGTTGTTTTTTTTTCCACCTGAACTTACCCCCTTAAAAAATTCTCGATCCTGATCCGTATTACGTCAACAAGAAGTATATACAATAATCTAAGAATATTGTTTAGTAGCAATGCGGCCCAAGTAATGTGTTTTACCATAAACGCAGTTCTGCTCTTGAGCAGGATACAATGTGGGCTTTGTGTTCATTGGTGGACTGGCTGTTTCCAAGTGGCCCAGGCAAAAAAGCCCCCCCCCCCCTTATTGATAAATTTCAGGAAACATTTTCTCCCATCCAAGCCTGAGGTCCGCCTAGGCCTAAAAAGTCACTGGTCATTTTACAAATTGCAATATACAGTTAAAAACATATCTGACCTACAATTTTTAGCTACACACAAAAATGCATTCATCGAAGTTTTAAATCAAAATATAACATCTTATTGAAGGGATGGAGTGGCCTAGCAGTAGAGAGCTGGAATTCTAACCCGTAAGTCTCGAGCTTGAACCCGGGTTCGAGTCAGTAGACCGTCCATGAGTCCACACAGCTCTGGTGTGTACCTAACTCACGTAAAGGCAGCCTGGCATAGCGCTGACCACAATATCCCTTCATATCCCTCAGCTAGCGTCTATATTTTCTATCACTATTCGGTTCCTTAAAATCATCGGTTTTTTAAGTAGGCCTATGTCGATTTTTAGAGATATCTTTGTTTAGCCATCAGGCTAATTTTTCGAAAGTTACTTGAGTAGATTATATAGTTTATTGAGTTTACAAACTTCAATCAGATGCTTATAATTTTTCAGCAAACAAGTTATATTTATGCAGTGCAAAGTAAAGGAAAAAAATGACATTTATTTTGTAAGGTTTGCATTACGGGGAAAAATCCCGGTGGGCCCCCAGAAAAAATCTAGGTAGGCCCCCAGAAAAAAATCTAGGTGGGCCCCCAGAAAAAAACTAGGTGGGCCCCTTGAAAAAAATCTAGTTGGGCATCAAGTAAATTTGTAGTAATAGTCCTATTAATGTTGATTTAAAAAAAGTGTTGGTATTTTATCATTCCTTCATACGAAGGCGTAACATTAACAATGACAACTTTTCAACCTTGGGTTGGCGGCCCCTTTAAAAGATTTCTTGTTTTTTGGATCCACCCAGTCCACTCCTGTCTACAACTAAGGCTTCCAATAACTCATGGGGTGAATCTTCACTAATTCACAAGTTAATAAAACGTTTTGTATGGCCATCAGGATCTTAATCTGTATCATAAAATGATTTTCCATTGTGAAAATATCCCCGCTTGCTGAAAATCCTTCGACTCAAGGAAAAATAATCGAAAAGTTAAATTCTAGGAGACTGGGCATCAAAGATTATACATGGTACAATGGACAAATACGCACTCTGGGATGTATGGGTTTGTTGACCAAGAAATTAAGTTAAAAATCAAATCAATAATAGGCCTACTACAAATCGTTATTGGCGGCCCACGAAGATTTTTCCCAACGGCCCATAGAGAAGTTTTCCTGGCGGCCCAGGGAGATTTTTCCAGACGTCCGGGCAGGTCAGTATCTCCCTGTTCATGTTGGACACAAGTAGAAAAATATCTGTAACAACAATTTAATATTAAACCTGTTTACAATACACCACAAGGGGTAGATCATATCCAACCATTAGCCACAGGGGCAGTTTAATCACCATGTTGCAGTAGTTGTTAACATTCACTTATTATCTCGACGACTAGGATTGTTCGTGATGGAATAAAAGTTTGTTTGGAGCACACGCACGCACACAGCGAATAAACCCACACGCACACACTCACACGAACGCACACACACAATTACACACGCACGCAATAAAGCACACACACGCACACGCACACACGAATTAGCAAACACACCCGCGAACTCGCACACACACACACAATGACACACGCACGCACACAAGCACACACACTCGATCACACGCACACACACACACACAAACACACACGCACAAACATACATACACGAACTCGCATACAGACACGCACACACACACGAACTCGCACACACACACAGAAACACGAACATACACACAAATGTGTATTATACTCAGTTTCACGGGAGAAACCATGCGTGCATCTCCCGTAGATTTACGCAGATATTAATTTCAGATAAATTATGCATGTACTGTAATTAAAATGGGCGAGTGGGGAGAGACACAGCCCGAATTCTGTCTATAAATAGATTTGACTCTCCTTTTGCATCAAGATAGTTATTTTATTGGCAAAAAATGAACAGGATATTAAATTATAATCTAAAATATAAATACGATATGAAAAAATGACGCAGTTAATGTGGTGATTCTGTGAGCGTAGAATTGAGGTATCCCAATGGCTTCCTCACAACTTCCTTGTCTGCTGCTGATCCACGTCTTGTTCATGCTAGGGAACTGTAGGGAGGTAACTGAGTTTTCGTGTCTGTAGTGTCTTGTAGTGGTTGTGTTCGGACACATGTCTCGTCATCAGTGTTTTGACAGTTGTCAGGTCATCAGTCAGTGTTTAGAGAGAGGTCTGGTCATCGGTCAGCGATTAAAACATCCAAAAAGTTTCTTATTTGAAATCTTCTGTCTACCATCTTATACATTTATTATTAATTTGTTTAAAAAATTTAAGATATCAAGAGAAACGAAGAGATCCTTACTGAACCGTAAGTAAAGAAATTTGGAATTTTTAAAAATGTAGCTCTACATTATTTTGTATTCATTATCAACAGTCTTCACATCGTTTGATGCAAAAAGTTGCTTTGAGTATTAGTCTAAAACCGGAGATAAATAACTTATGACGTCACGAGATGTTGTTTTATCAAGAAGACACTGTTGTCTAAACAGAGGCGTAGCGACCCTTCTCAGCGCCCGGGGACAAACTTTCGATTTGCACCCCCTTCAAACTTTCGATTTGCACCACCCTCCCCCCCCTCGGTTTTTTTAATTTGCACCCCTCTCAAACTTTCAATTTGTTTTTCCAACCCATTTTGGCGCCCCCTAAGGACATATGTCCCCCCACGGCCCCCCCCCCCCCCTCGCTACGCCTCTGTGTATAAACAAAGACTGGCATCAGGGAAGGAACTAAAAGTATCCTTTCTAGCCTGGGCCAGATGAAGTAGAGTTCACCTGTTTCGACGACCCCAGCATATAAATGAAACAAAAATACACTACACAAATTTATGTTGTTAAAATTGATATTTCATTAAAAATTTCACAAGACAGGATACAGATACTTTGGTAAAATCTCTAAACTAATACCACATTCAACTAACAGGTAGAAGAGCAAATTCTCTAATATTTCCTTACATCCAGATTACATAAAAAAACATCACAATAACTAACATACAAACACAGAACAAAGTCTATGAAATAGTCCCACATGTTAAAGATGCAGATAGGCCGATTTCAATCTCTAAAAATAAACACCACACAATCAAACATTGACCGAAATCTCTAACATAGCACCACATAGAGGAAGACAGACAGACATACATACAAACAGAAACAACCACAAACAACCACAAAATCCCTACAATAGCACCACATACAACATACAGAAAGACAGACAGACATACTGTGAGGTGGGATGCATGGATTAAAAGATCTTCCGTCAGTTGTGAGGGTGGGGAAAACAGTAAAACCACCAAATGTGAGAGTGGGGGTTTTGAAGATGAAGCGAATCCAACACACAAGTTCAAGTCAAAATATTAAGTTCTTTATTAAAAATTTACATAATCAACTTCCTACCTAACTAGCCTATTCTATACTATCTACTACTACTAACTACGCACTCCCATGACCAATCCTAACGCTATCATTTAACTCTCTACCTAACTCTACATTTTTCTGGCCGTTCCCTACTCTACTTAACTATCAACTAACTGCTCCCTAGCTCTACATATCTCCGACCGGCTCTGCCCAACTCCGAACGTTCTCTTTGCTAGCTAACTATCAACTGCTACCTAGCTCTACATATTACGACCGTTCTCTAACCGATACCTAACACCATCTGCTTGAATACTGACCCACGCTTCAATGGTCAGCTGACCGTCCCACGTGACCGGTCAGCTCCTGTACTTTCATTTGTCTCTCTAACCAACTAGCTAAAGTCTGTTTCTATTAACTTCTTCTACTTTTCTTAAACTAGCGTCATCACACATACATACAAACAGAAACAGACCAGTGCCACTGTAATAACAACCACCAAATCTCTACAACAGTATTACATCCCACAGACAGACAGACATACATACAAACAGAAACAGACCAGTGACACTTTAATAACAACCACAAAATCTCTACAATAGCACGACATCCTACATACAGACAGACACACATACAAACAGAAACAGACCAGTGACACTTTAATAACAACCACAAAATCTCTACAATAGCACGACATCCTACATACAGACAGACACACATACAAACAGAAACAGACCAGTGACACTTTAATAACAACCACAAAATCTCTACAATAGCACGACATCCTACATACAGACAGACACACATACAAACAGAAACAGACCAGTGACACTTTAATAACAACCACAAAATCTCTACAATAGCACGACATCCTACATACAGACAGACACACATACAAACAGAAACAGACCAGTGACACTTTAATAACAACCACAAAATCTCTATAATAGCACGACATCCTACATACAGACAGACACACATACAAACAGAAACAGACCAGTGCCATTAAAATAACAACCACCCAATACCCAGTTTCTGGCGTCACCTGTGGCTATCGACCCCTGATTGACAACCGTAACAAAATTGTCGGTGGTCGGAATTCAAATCGTGGATCGGAACCATGGCAAGTCAACTTATTGATAGATATTTCACCAGAGAAAGATGAGTATGGGCAATTTATATTCCATCTCTGCGGGGGTGCAATAATAAGCGAATATTGGATCTTGACTGCAGCTCATTGTTTGATGTAAGTATTGATTTGACTCTACTGTATTTATAAACTTCGTTTTGGTTTTCAATACGTATGTACAACATTAAAGATATTAAATGAAATATGGCAAACCAGTAACCACTATGACGGCGTGACCGAGCGTTAGAACGCTATACCGTTATCTTGAAAGTCTCGTGTTCGGATCCCGTAATCTGCAAATCGTCCCTAATTCAAACCAACTATGGTGGGCACGTGACTCACGTAAGGAAAACTCTATTATGCCGCTGCCATTGAAACAGATGAGCTCTACTTCATCTGCCCCATGTGTCTTGAGCAAGAACGAAGAAAGATGATGAACGACTGTGATTAAAAAGTATATGCAGATGATTACACATTGTTTCCCTTAAAAAAACAACAACATAATTTGCTAAAAATACTCCAATGTTGTTTTTGAAAATATTTCATATTTTAAATAATTTACAACTAAAAAACAAAACGAAACGGTCAAATACTGAAACAAAATCAAAGATAAACACATATTATGTAAGCTGGCAGGCAATTGAAGAAGAATCATCAAGACGCAATTAGTTAACTTAATAATAACTAATTAAACAAGATTTTTTTAAAATAGAAAATTAGAAATGTGTGGTGTTGTGAGCATGGTTATACGTCGTAATGTGTTCAGATAATTTCAAACAAAATGCATTACACTTGTTCTACAGCAAAGAGTTTAACATCACAGTTCGAGGCAGAAGAAGAGAAAAAAGAATACGAATGTAAGCAGCCCTTTTTCTCTCTTTCGATATAAAATTATATATATATATATATATATATATATATATATATATATATATATATATATATATATATATATATATAGTATAAAAATACATAGTCCTAAGTGTAGACTAGATGTTAATCTGATATGGTATATATAAATACATAAGCCAAATTAGGCCTTCGAAGACACTTTACTTTACACGGCCTTTACTCACAAATACACATACGTACACACACAAGCACATGCACATAATTATATATATATATATATATATATGTAGCATATTTGTTTATCTTTATTCTCATAACCAAAGACGTCACCAGGTAGGGTGCCACGTGTGGCGTAGCCCACGTTATCACCCTCTCTGTCAAAGATTATAGGATTAAGGGATTTAGTGAAACGACGAGTAATTTGGTATCACTCCTACTATTACTCTCTGCCCAAATATGATTATGTATTAACAACAAAGCCAGAAATGCGGCTACATTGCAAACTAGCCGGCCAGTTTGCGAAGTGGCAGGTGTTAACGGCCAATCTCCGAAGAGCTTAAAGTCGACAGCATATTGTTCGTCAATGTCAGGTGTAATTGTCTAGTTTACAAAGTGGTCTAATTCGAACTTTCATTATTACAAATATTACTTCCATAAGATTTTAAAATAAGATAAAAATTGTGGTGGGGCGGCCTTTTTTTCTTCAAATACCTTTGTTTAATAATAGAATCTTCCTAAAAAGGGGGTGTTAGGTTACAGTTAGTTAACTAAAATACACCTTAGTCCTATCATATGCCTAACCAGGGGCGGAACTACCATACCGCCAGACCCCGCAATGCGGGGGGGGGGGGGGGGGGGGGGGGCAGGACGTTTAGGGGCCCAGTTCCGACCAAAAAACAATGAATTTTTTTTTCAAAAATTATGTTTTTCATGCATCTTGAAAGTGGTTTTGTAAAAAAAAAAAAAACAGGTCTACTATAGCAGAGATTGTTGCGTAGAAAAGTATTTTAAAATCTACAAGAGCTATAGTTTGAAAGGTAGACAAACATTCACACTACTTCCATGACTTACTGCCCTTCTTTAAAATAGGGATGCCCACGAAGCTCATTTTAAATAGTTTTGTACTATGTATATTAAAAAGCAATTGATTCTCTGAATTGTTACTTAAATAAGACGTACTATACAATAGTATGGCTATAAAAATCAATGTTTTCAAAATTGATATTATAAAAGCCAAAAATGAAAAAAATAAACATAACGCGAGAAACCATTCACGAGTCAAGCTAACGTCTTTATATATTTTTGACCAGCATGATGATGATTTTTTTCAAACTCGAACTGAGTGTGGACTAAATTTTTCTGTTTTGTTCACTCAGAATGGTTATATATTGCAATGAAGTAGACTAAATTACTCACTTAGGATATAGATTTTATATATATATATATATATATATATATATATATATATATATATATATATATATATATAGGGGGGGGCCTAGTTTTTTCTTTGCGGGGGAGCCTTTGATTTCTAGTTCCGCCAATGTGCCTAACCCTAAGTTCTAATCTTAAAACTGGTCGAGATTACTAATAACAACATAAAACACTTACTTTTGAAAGAGTCTACTCAATCAAGAGTATTTTCAATCATATGACAAACTTTAAAAAAAATATAAATTTATAACTTTAATGTGGTGTCACTGTATTAAACGGCACCGCACGGTGCAATATCCACTAATGGTCCTTGTCTGATAACGCTACTGCAAGAAACGCTTACATTATTTCAGAAGTGAGAGCAATTATTTCGTTGTGGTTGGAGATTATGAACAGTATAAATCTGAGGACGAGGAAGAAAAATTTGAAAGACTGAAATTTATCCAGCATGAGGACTTCTCAGACACAAGTAATTTATTTAATACACGAGACTATACAACCCTTTTGGTTCTATGGCACATTACTTTAAGTTTTCATGGTATCTGTTACAGATGTTAAGTGTTTTGATCAACGAGTTGACAAAATACGTTAGGATACCCGATATATATATATATATATATATATATATATATATATATATATATATATATATATATATATATGTAGAACAGTAGAATATCAGAAGCATTTATTACAATTTTTGCTTTTTAAAATTAGGCTCCCCCAATAAGAAACAGTTAAAATATTTAAATTTTTTAATTTATCTAATCCATTAGCCCCCCCCCCCCCCCATCAAATATATCATTAAATAATACAATTAACTAATAAACTATTAGAAACTTATAACATTATCAAAATAAAATCTTCATTTATTCCCCATCTAAGGCGTGTTTTAGAAAACCTGAAAACACCGAACCAGCCTCGAAATCCAGCACCACCAAGTCCCACTCAGATGCACCTAAAACCCATGACCACAAAGTATCACCACCCAGCACCATTCAGCACCACCCAGCGCGATTCAGCACCACCCATCACCCTTCCTCCAAAAATCCAACATCACCCTTCCACCAAAAATAAATGAATGCTACAAAATAGTATCATCAGTCAACGGTTTACTCTCCCCTCCCAAAAAAAAAAAAAAAAAAAAAAAAAAAAAAAACTATTCTTATTTTAAACTTTAATTCTTATCAGCGCTTGTCAACGACATTGCCTTGCTGAAGATCTTGCCAAAAGACGGTCGTGGTATAAAGTTCACAGACTACGTCCAACCTGCCTGCCTACCCAATGCCGAGACTCCGTATACACCGGGTGAAAAATGCATCATTTCCGGATGGGGCTACACGGACATCAAGTGTAAAGTGTATTCATTTGTCGTGAGATTAACTAACAGTTCTGTTATTTTGAATTCCGGACATATTTTCAGCTCTTTTCGGTACTTAGTTTTGAAATAAGTGAATTACATATCAGAAATATTGTAAATAACGTGTTTTCATGCAAAACTAGTCAAGACGATAAATACGGAGCCTGTGTAATGACGTCTAGGTTGCTTGGTATAAACATGCGTTTAAAAAAACAAACAAAACAATACATTTTAAACAAAAAGTACAGGGGGTTGCATAAAATAACAAATAATAACAGTGGAAAGTCTCTAAAGGTTTGAGCTTTAAGTTAGAAGTTGAGTTTTGTAACTGTGGGTACTACTAGGGCCACATTCCCAACCAGGCCTCTTCTATCCTGCCGCACTAGTACTCCTTTTGTCCTCTTCTATCCTCTCTGCTACTGTCTTACCGTTTGTCCTGTTAAATGTATATGTATAGGTTTATGTATATGTTGGCAGATATATATAGATTTAATATGAAAATATGTATAGGTATAAGTGTAGGTGTAGGTGTTGGTGTAAGTGTAAGTGTAAGTGGAGGTGGAGGTAGATGTGTAGGTATGTAGAGGTACAGGTATCATTTACGCCCATGATACCATTTGTCGTAATATATTTCTTCCTGGAATCTTTTATTCGTTAGATACTTTTATCTGGGATTGTCGGAGATCATTTGTCCTATCACTATATATATATATATATATATATATATATATATATATATATATATATTGATATATATATATATATATATATATATATATATATATATATATATATATATATATATATATATATATATATATATATATATATATATATATATATATATATATATATATATATGTATATATTTTGAGCGATTTCCGATAACCGGAAGTGGTTCTTTTTTACTTTGAACTTTTCAAAAGACTATAACTTGAGTACTATTTCAGATAGATAAATAAAATTTCACATGTAAGAAAAAGATCTTATTCTATAACTTCTATCAAGTTTTAAGTAATTTCTGTTGACCAGAAGACTCAAAAAAGCATGTAAATTTATAAAGTACTAATAATTTTTTTTCTACTAGATTCTATTCTATTTTTAAAAGTTTAAGTAAACAAAAATCATATCTATATTCCGAGTTGCCATCCCACGTAGTGTTATATTAGAATATTCGCGAAAGTTTAGGGGAGATCACTCTCGGTTTATTTATAACGAGCCGACCCGCAGCGTATCATACGCCGCTATTTAGTTGTTTTATTTTCTACTTTTCAGTAATTCATAATTTGTGAATTCGACAGTACCAATGCTGCCACTGAAAATATTTGCTTTAAAACACTAACCCCCCCCCCTTTCCCCTAACCCCGACCCTACATCACCCCCCCCCCCCCCGTGAAAGCAGCCTCCTCTTAGTTATTTCTTAGTTACCTCCTGTAAGTTTAAAATCGAACCAAATTATCTGCCCCTAATAGAAACCCGGCTCTACGGCTCTACGATTTGTAAACATTTAGCTTTGTAAACATTTAGCGTGACCACAACTCACCAGACAATGTGGCGGTGGGGGTGGTAGTGATAGTGATAGAGAGAAAGAGAGGGGACTGCAAGGAGGCGCTTGCAGCTTGTTTTCTAACGGCTCCCAGAAGAGAATTATATATATAGATTGTTTAACCACTTATACCGAGTTTAGTTGTGATTCGAATTTTTATTCCACACACGGGACACATACTAAAACAAAATTTTCTTTTCCTAAGGGTCTCACACGGTGTTGGGTTTGGTGTCATTCAGCGTAGGCTGTGCCCGGCGCAACTTCCCGGGGGTGTACACACGAGTCCAGAGCTATCTTGACTGGATTGACGAGACGATTCAGAAGCACGGATGTTAAAATGACTAATTCTAGGAGTTTTTTATAAGCTGCCTCTTAAATGACTGTCAACTTCAGTTGTCAATAAAAAAAAAGATGGCTTAAGGATTCAATATTAGCTGAACTTTTTGGTCCACACAGAAAACTAATAAAATAATAGAAATAAATTATTGTCGTTTTCTTGTCTAGAAACTAGAATATATCCCTCGATATAATTAATAAGTAAAAAAAATTAATTATATATATATATATATATATATATATATATATATATATATATATATATATATATATATATATATATTTATTAGAATCAATTGTGATACAATTAATTGAATGTAAATGGTTAATGAATTAAATCAAGAATCTTTGTTGTATTTTTTGTAGACCCTTGAACAATATTATAAGTTATTATATATATCATTATATATTATATATATCATATAATCTATGATTATCACAACATTTCTTTCACTGTCTACAAGAACTGAAATCAATATCTGAGACAAAATGGATGCCACACTGCACAACCAAACTGCTACTATCCCCCCCCCCTTTTTTTTTGTTTAGCTGATACAATAATCATTTCTGGAATATGTTTTCGTACGTTTGAGAAAAAGAAATTATTTTGTAGATCGTTAAAAATGTTTCGACAAAAATAATATTAAAAAAAATGTGTTTTGAGTCGAGAAATTGTTGTTAGTAGTCCCATGTAAAATGAAACATCAGAAAGAACTAACACGTTGTAAAGGAATCACTTTCTTTCTTATGAAATTTTTATTATCTATTTTAACATTGAACTAGTTTATTATCGATTCCTATTGTAAAACTGTTGTAAAGTGAAACAGATGGGTAACAAATCACAATCCGTTATAAGAGTTGAAATTTTCATCGTTGATTAATATAAAACTAACATAAGATTTTCCTTTAAGTGAAATTTTCTTTAAGCGTTATTGACCATTGCCATATCCGTTTTGGAATGGATTTTGTCCATTTTTGGAATCGTTTTTGTCCATTTTTGGAATCGTTTTTGTAAATTTTGGGAACCACTTTTGTCCATTTTGGGAATCACTTTTGCCCATTTTGGGAATAACTTTTGCCCATTTTGGAAATCTCTTTTGTCCGTTAGGGGGATCGCACACCTCGATGCAGTCCTGGAAGTTTTCGAAGCTGTTCTTGTTCTCTATACAGCTGGCGTCCACGAAGGTCTCGCAGATGCAGGAAGTGGCGTTGAAGAAGTAGCGCTCCACGCCCTCGATACAGGTCTCGTTCAGTGGCGGGCTGAGGCACAGCTCAGCTAGTGGGGAGAGGAATCGACCGGAGTTAAAAATTAATTGGAACAAAATCACAAAGCTCGTGTGAATTTATTTAGCTAATAAGGAGAGAAATCTATCTGAGTTAAAAATTAATCCTAGCAAAAAATAAGGGAAAACAGATCATATTGTTTCAAATTTATATGATATGTACGTATACAAGTTTGGGAAAATGAAAACAAAACAATGCATAATTATTAATTAAAAAAAACAACAATGCATCCATTTGAAAATATGTTCTATTCAGATCGGTTGTATAGTTCCGATTCCGTTTCTCTGAGAATTATAGCTGGGCTAAAACGTTTTGATTTAAATCGAAGACGTAGCTCTGTATGATTTGAACTCTCAACAAGTAGACAACCGTGAGCATTATAAACAACTAGATTGTAATGTGTTGACTACTGAGAAGCATTGATACATATTGTATTGAAAGAAATAGCTGCCAATAGCGTCATATTTGAAGATTCGAACACTTAAAGCTACCGGACCACCGTCGCTCCCACAAGCAACCTTTCTGACTAAACAAAGGCTTGTAATAATAAACCCTAAACGTTCTCGAATATTCTAATATAACACTACGGGGGATGGCAACTCGGGATATAGGGCTTGTAAGTAGGTCACAACTTCTCATTCTAGTACTTGTCAGCTATTTTATTTCAAGACCGTAGACTTACAAGCCCTATCGACAATTTTTTAAAACAATTTTTAATTACTTAAACTTTTTAAAATAGAATAGAATATCGTAGGAAAAAGAATTGCACACCAAGTGAACGCCAAACAAAATGTGCATAATAAAGCGGGATATTATTAGTACTTTATAAATTCACATGCGTTTTTTTTAAGAAATCGGAAATTACTAATTACGGTCAACGGAAATTATCCAAAATTTAAAAGAAAGCAGAGAATTATATCATTTACTTGTATGTGAAATTTCATTTATCCATCTGAAATAATACTCAAGTTATAGGCTTTTGAAAAATTGAAAGTAGAAAAAGTTCCACTTTCGATTATCGGAAATCGCTCAAAAAATGATACGGATCTACTAATTTGATATAATACTAATTTGAAATTTCATCAACCTAGCTGTAATGGTACTCAAGTCATCGTGTTTACATACACACATCCACACATACGGACAGAACTGCAAAGTCCAGTTTCTCCGACTCGATTACGCGTAAAATGCCATTTTTAATAAATCTGGATTTAAATAAGTCCCCTATACTCCATTTATGATGAAGTACTGAGAAGTAAAACGGTGGAAACTGTCAAAATTTCATGTGATTTTTGTGCACGATTACAATACTTTCTCTATACTTCATATATTAGAGAAAGTAAAAAAGCATACTGGTGAATTTAGGCTGCATACATAATTCGACTTTCAAAAAGAAACACCTCAAAAATGTAATAAGAACATTAAATAAACCGGGAGTGATCTCCCCTAAACTTTCTCGAATATTCTTATATAAAATAACAGGGGATGGGAACTCGGGCTATAGACATGATTTTTAATCCATTTTAAATACTTAAAGTTTTAAAAATAGAATAAAATCTCGTAGACAAATTAATTGCACACCAAGTGAACGCCAAATAAAAAAGCGCATAATAGTGCGCAATATTATTAGTACTTTTAAAATTTACATTAGTTTTTTTGAGAAATCGGAAGTAGCGTAAATTACTACTTCCGGTCAATGGAAATTACTCAAAATTAAACAGGAGGTAGAGAATTTGATCTTTAACTTACATGTGAAATTTCATTTATCTATCTGAAATAGTACTCAAGTTATAGGCTTTTGAAAAATTCAAAGTAGAAAAAGTACCACTTCCGGTTATCGGAAATCGCTCAAAAGTTGATACGGATCTACAATTTTGATAAAATACTTATATATGAAATTTCATCAACCTAGCTGTAACGGTACTCAAGTTATCGTGTTTACACACGGACAGACACACACACAGACATACGGACAGAATTGCAACGCCCAGTTTTTCAAACTGGATTACGCATAAAACCTCTTAATTTTGATAAATCTGGATTTATAATTTTTGCCCGATTAAAATAAGTCCTCTATACTTCGGATGTGATGAAGGACTGAGGTGTAATACGGTAAAAATTGTTAAAATTTCAATTGATTTTTGTGCACGATTACAATACTTTCTCTATACTTCGTATATACGAGAAAGTAAAAACAATCTCTAAATTACAGAATAAATTTACATCATTAAAATTTGTATTGTCTGGCCCGTTTTGATAAGACGGAAAA